AGGAGTGTTGAAATCTCCAGCTATATGGTGGGCATATCCATTTCTCCTTGCAACCCTGACAGCTGTTGCCTGTGTAGTTCAATGCTGTTGGGTGTACACACATTAAGGATTATTATGTCTTCTTGGAGAATTGACCCTTTTATCATCATGGAATGCCATTCTTTATCCTTCATAACTATGCTTGCTTTGAAGTCAGATCTGTTTGGAATAAATATAGCAACTCTTGCTTACTGTTGACTAGTGTTAGCAGGATATAACTTTCCCCATCCATTTACCTTTCATCTATATGGGTCTTCATATTTAAAGTGAGTTTCTTGTAGGCAACTTACGGTTGGGTCTTGTTTTTTGGTCCACTCTGACAATCTGTCTTTTCACTGGTGCTTTTGGACTATTGATTTTCAGAGTGATCACAGATATGGTTAGCTATATGGTTAGCTCTATATGGTTAGCACAGGTATTAAATACCTACCATGTCTGTGACTATTTTCTATTTGTTACCTTGGTTCTTTGTTCCTACTTTGCTTCCACCCTTTCTGGCTTTTGTGTGTGTGTGTTTCTAATTGAATGATTGACCTACAACAGTGTTACTTCCACATGCAACACGGTGATTCACTGTTTCTGCACATTAAAAAATGATCACCACTGTAAGCCTAGTTACCATCTGTCACCACACCAAGTCACCACACTATTGCTGACTGTATCCCCCACGCTATACACCCGTCTCTATGACACACGATTTTGTAGTGGAAATCTGCACCCCCCTTTAGTCTCCCTCACCTAAGTCGCTCACTGTCCCACCACCCCTCCCCTCTGGCAAACACCTATTTGTTCTCCACGAGTCTGATCGTCTCTGGTCGTTCGTTTGTTTCTTTTTTTAAGTTCCACATACAAGTGAAATCATACTATGTTGTCTTCTCCATCTGACTATTTCCCTTAGCATGATACCCCCTAAGTCCATCCATGTGGTAACAAATGGCAAAGTTTCATGCTTTCTTATGGCTTAGTAATATTCAATTACATATGTATCCGCCTTTTCTTTATCCATTCATCTATTAGTGATTAGTTTGCTTCCATTATCTTGCCTATTGTAAATACTACTGCTGTGAACATAGGGTGCATTATCTTCAAATTAGTATTTTTGTTTTCTTTGGGAAAATACTCAAAAGTGTAATTGCTGGATCATATGGTAATTCTATTTTTAATTTTATGAGTAACCTCTATATTGTTCTCCATAGTAGCTGCATCAATTTAAATTCCCAGCAACAGTACACATGGGTTCCTTTTCTCCACATCCTCACCAATATATTTTATTTGTATTTTTGACAATAGCCATTCTGACAGGTGTGATGTGATATCTCATTTTGGTTTTAATTTCTTTGATTATCAGTGAAGTTGAGCATCTCTTCATGTGTCTACTTGTCATCTGTATATCTTCTTTAAAAAATATCTATTCAGGTCCTCTGCCCATTTTTTTTTCTGATTTTCTTTTTTGTTTGATTGTTTTCAACACTGAGTCATGAGGTCTTTGTATATTTAGGATATTAACTCCCTTGTTGGATGTACAACTTGCAAGTATCTTCTCCCACTCAGTAGGCTGCCTTTTCATCTTGCTGATATTTTCCTTTGCTGTGCAAAAGCTTTTTAGTTTAAGTCCCATTTGTTTATTTTTGCTTTTGTTGCCCTTGCCTGGGAAGACAGAGTCAGAAAAGAACTGCTAAGACTGATGTCAGAGAGTATACTGCCTATGTTTTCTTCTAGGAGTTTTATGGTTTCAGGTTCTACACTTAAATTTTTAATTCATTTCGAGTTTATTTTTATATATGGTGTGAGAAAGTGGTCCAGTTTGAGTCATTTGCATGTAGCTGTCTAGTTTTCCCAGCATCATTTATTGAAGAAGCTGTCTTTCCTCTGTATTTTGCCTCCTCTGTTGTAGATTAATTGACCTTATGTGTGTGGATTTATTTATGCACTCTCCATTCTATTCCATTGACCCAAGTGTCTGCTTCTGTGCCAGTGCCATCCTGTTTTGATTACTGTAGCTTTGTAGTGTAGTTTGAAATCAGGGTGTTTGAAACCTAGAGCTTCTCTCTTTCCAAGATTGTTTTGGTGATTCACAGCCCTTTGTGTTTCCATACAAATTTTAGAATTATGTGATCTGGTTCTGTGAAATTTTCCATTACTGTTTTGATAGGAATTGCAGAATCTGTAGATTCCCTTGGGTCGTATAGTTATTTTAACAATATTAATCCTTCCAATCCATAAGCACAATATGTCCTTCCATTTGTTTGTGTTGTCTTTAGTTTCTTTCATCAGTGTCTTATAGTTTTCAGATTACAGGTCTTTTACTTCCTTGGTTAGATTTATTCCTGCCTATTTTATTCTTTTTGATGAAACTATAAAGGGGATTGTTTTCTTAATTTCTCTTTCTGATAGCTCATTGTCAGTGCATAGAAACACAACATATTTCTGTATATTAATTTTGTAACTTTCATCTTTATTTAATTAATTTATTAGTTCTAATTGTTTTTGGTGGATTTTCTAATATATAGTATCATGTCATCTGAAAACAGTGACAGTTTTACTTCTTCCTTTCCAATTTGAATTCCTTTTATTTCTTTTTCTTGTCTGATTGCTATGGCTAAGACTTCCAAATACTATATTGAATAATATGGGGAGAGTGGCATTCCTTGTCTTGAATTTTGTCAAAAGCATTTTCTGGATCTACTGAGATGATCATATGATTTTTAATCCTCAATTTATTAACGTGATGTATCACATTGTGTTATTTGCAGATTTTGAGCCATCCTTAGGTTTTGGTTTGCTTACATAGGCTGCCAAGACATTAGAGCCACCTCAGTCTAGTGACTTCTTTGTTTAATTACTTTAAGACAACTAATCCCAGTATATGTTCAAATAACACTATAGTACTTCTCAGGGAGTGTGAATGCCTTTGTAACAACAAAATAATACTAATCATCCCCCCTCCTTTGAATCATTGCTGTCATACCTTTTACATAGTATATGATTGAATACATTATTGGTATTATTATTTTAGACAAACTGTTGTCTGTTAGATCAATTAAGAGTAAGTTTTAATTTTACCTTCACTACTTTATTCCTTCTTTATTAAATATATTATTTGAAAATATTTTTCTGTTTTTGTGGGTGGCCTTTTTACTCTGATAGTTACCTTTTGATGCACAAAATGTTTTTAATGTTGATGAACTCCAGTTTGTCTATTCTTTCTTTTGTTGCCTCTGCCTTTGGGGCCATTGCCTAAGCCAGTGTCATGAAGCTTTTGCCCTACATTTTCTTAATGAGTTTTATATTTTTAGCTCTTATATTTAGACACTTGATCCATTTCAGTTAGCTTTGTAATGGTGTTAGAGAGGGATCTAATTTCATTCTTTTGCATAAGAATATCCAGTTTTCCCAGTACCGTTTGTTGAAAAGACCGTCTTCTCCATCAGATGGTCTTAGCAGCCTTGCTGAGACTCACTTGACCACACACGTGAGGGTTTCTTTCTGGGCCCTCTGTGCTGTTCCTTGATCTGTCTGCCTGTCTTCATGCCTGTGCCACAAGGTTTTGGTTACTGTAGCTTTGCAGTCAGTCTTGAAATCAGAAAGTGTAAATCCTGCAATGGTGGTCTTCTTTTTCAAGATTATTTTGGCTAGTCTCTATTTCTCTGAATATAGCGAAGTTTGCTTGTTTAGAGTCTGTGTCTGATAATCCCAGTGTCTGCTGTTTCTCTTCCTTCTGCTTATTCCTGTTAGCGGTGTCTCACTTCCTTGCACGCCTGATCGTCGGAGTAACTCGAGGCATCAGATGATGCCATCTTCCTCCAGGCAGAGTTTTTCTTTACTCCTGCCAAGAACCTGGTTCCCAGTCAGAAGCTGCCTTAATCTAAGCCCCGGGCTTGCAGTGCCTGGATGGCCCAGGTGAAGGAGAGGTGGAGTGAGTGCCTGCATGGGGACCATCTACTTTGGGTTAACCCTGATCATGACAGAGGCCTTAGCGATCCCAGCCTCACGCGGGGGTTACCAGATTCCTCACCTCGAGCTAGCTCTCAGGTTTGGCATTTTTCTCTTTCCCTCCATGAGACTACAGAACTTCAGCTGAGGCTTGCCTCTGTTGCTTCTACACCTGCAGATGCACTCACTTCAAATACTGGGCTCCTCTCCAGTCTCCCCTTGTCTGAAACTTGGAATCGAAACACGTTCCCTTGTTCACTCTTTGTTGCGTTTCCGAGGTGTATTTGTCTGCATTTTTTTGTTGATGTGGATTACAGAGCCTGCCCTCACCCCAAGAGTTGTTTCTAAAAACACAGTTCTGACCTCAGTTTCCCAGGACAGGCCATGAGGGTTGACAGCAGACTCTGTGGTCATTAATTCCCTCATCTTGTCCAGCCCAGCCTGTGAGGCCAGTTCAGGATTCACACCATCCTGCAGGTGAGAAGCCAGAGCAGAGAGAGGCAAGGCTAACCTGCCTGCTGGCCACAGAGCTGGAGAAGGTGGGGTTAGCACAGGACCCTGTTCTGTCCGACCACAAGGATGCCGCTTCACTTCCTGTTTCCACTGTGAGGAGTCCTGGGCACAGGCATCCCCATCTGGCCGTTGAGGCCCTCCCTCCCCTGGCCTCCTGCTCACCCCTGCAGACCTGCTCAGAGTCTGTCCCGCCCTTCTGAAGCCCCTGTCGGGAGTGGAACTAAAGAGCTAGGGCCACTGGGCAGGTCTGAGCCCCCCACCCTCCCAAAGCCCGGGCACACTGGAGGCTCCCCACCCCACGCTGACAGCCCCAGGCAGGGCACCAGCAACCGCAAACAGGTCAGAGCCTGCGCCCCAGGAGAGGATGGAGCGGGCCCGGGGACCCCAGGTCAGGAGCCAGGAACTGTCGGGCCATCCTAGAAATGCCCACCCAAGGCTGGCTCAGCCTCAGGGGCGCCCAGTGGCTGAGGCTCGGAGGCCCCAACTCACCCCCCTCTCACTTTCTGCCCCAACAGGTGAACAACAATGGGATCATCTCCTTCCTGAAGGAGGTTTCTCAGTTCACCCCAGTGGCCTTCCCCATCGCCAAGGACCGCTGCGTGGTAGCAGCCTTCTGGGCGGACGTGGACAACCGGCGAGCAGGGGACGTGTACTACCGGGAGGCCACGGATGTGGCCACACTGCATAGAGCTACAGAGGACATCAGGCGCTACTTCCCCGAGCTCCCAGGCTTCTCAGCCACTTGGGTGTTCGTAGCCACTTGGTACCGCGTGACCTTCTTCGGAGGCAGTGCGTCTTCCCCTGTGAGTGTTCCGTCCTGGGGCGGGGAGGACATCCCTCTGGGGCCCAGGGTCTCCCTCCAGGCCCCTGGCTTGCTGGGCTGGGCCGGATGTCATCCCCATGCCATGCCCAGAGGGGACAGTGGGGCTCAGGGACAGAAGCCACCTGCCGAGGTCACAGGGCCAGGCTGGAGGACGGCAGAGCCAGGACCTTCCTGGCCGCCTGGAAACCACCCACATCCAGGAAAAGGCCAAGTGCCCCGACACAGCAGCTCACATACTGGGGCTGCAGATGGTCTGTTGGGGGTTTTAACAGGGCTATGATGGTGAATCAGGGAATGTGGGCTCTTTCTGTAAACATTACTACAAAAGAAATTTCACATGATTGAACTTCTATTTACAAAGGGCCTATTAACATATCTATACTTCCTTTGTTTTTTCTCATCACTAGTTTGTAAGAAAAATGTCTTTTTAACAAAAAGTAAAGGAAAAGAACCCACAACCCCACCAGCAGGGCAGAACCATTCCGTGTGTGCTGTTGTGTACAGACTCACAAGATAGCGAATAAACGGAACCACCTAGACTGTGCTGCTTTGTGAGTGCTTCCTTCAGGCACTCTGCATTCTGTGTTCTTCTACGTGTTTGGTTATAGTTTCACCTCTGCAGAGTCATTTTACCTATTACCTCTCCGCCTGGGACGAAGGAGGCGCCCAGGGTCCCTGCTGAGCGGACATTCTCCTCTTTGCAAACCCAGTGGTGTCTGTTCCAAAATGATTGTCTTGTGAGACAGGGACCCAAGACTCTGGGTTTGGGATGGAAGTTAGTCTGGGAGCTGGGAAACGGGAAGCCCCCCTCCCCAGGGGCAGCTGCAGGAGCAGGTGGATCCACAGAAAGTGGCAGTCCGGCCTCAGGCATGGCCTCATCCTCCTCAGAGGCCTGGGCCTCCCAGCCTACATAGCCCCTCCACTGCTCTCACCAGCCGGGGTCCTGCCCCCCAGACCTCCCCCCATGCCAGCCAGCAGCCGTCTGTCTCCTCCCTGACTTCCGTGGCCTAGCACTAAGTCTGCCTTCCTGAAGGCAAGCACTCGGTCTCCATGTCACCTTTCACCGTGGGGCTCCCCGCGTGCATGCCCCACAGCGTGGCAGCACCTGCCCTCGGGTGGCCCCCAAGGGTGCTGCACAGCCCCCAGTGGGTCGTGAAGTCAGATCCTGCACCCATCGCCAAGAGGGAAATGGTTGCCCACAGAAATCTAATCTCCCCTAAAAACGTGCCCAGTCACGCTCTCGAAAGCCACAGCCAAGTGAAGTGCCGCAGCCCTGCCTGCACCCAGCCACACACATTACTATTCCCTGCCTGCCAACCATACAGGGATTTCTAGCTTTACACATCGTTGATTTCTAGCAATGGTGAATCATCGACTACTTGCATTCTATTGTGATGTTTCTGTTCATACCCTAGCCAGTTTTTCTGTGATGTTTTTGTTCTTTTTCTTATTGATTCAAGGAAGTTCTAGTTGAATTAAAGACACCACTAGTGCTTCTGCCACGTGTATTATAAAAACATTTTTCACTTCACTGTTTGTCATTTGGTTTGGCCTTATGACACTTTTTGGAGTCAAATGTATAAATCTCCCTTTTGGTTTTTGCAGTTAACCACCATCAGGTGTAGAAGTCCTCTCCCGAGATGCTCTACGTATTTGCCTATATTTTCTCCCAGGGTGCTGATGGTTTCATTTAAAACCTTACTTGATTTGGGATTTATTTTCCTAAATAAGTGATGTAAAGCTCTGATTTAATTGTTTCTCAGTGTTTCCTATTTGTCCCATGATCTTTTCTTAAACAGTTTCACCCTTTGCCCAATCTGAAATAGAAGCTCTTATGTATGTTTTCATGGAGGAGGATTCCATGAAAATCAAAAAAATTAATGATTGAAACCGCTTTTCCTCGTTTCCCCTTTTTCCTTTTACCTGTTTGCCCACTCCACACGCGCTGGTTTGTGGCTGTGGTCGAGCAGGCACGACCCCTCTGTGCCCCCAGGCCCGCAGGCACAGGGTCTGCTCCCGGGTCTGTGGGCCCCCACATCCCTCGTGGGCTTACGCCCTCCCCAGGCATCAGACCTGGGGGGCAGACCAGGGGGCCGCAGCCCTGTGGCGAGGCCATGGGTGGGGGTGGGGGTGGGGCTGGGGCCAGGCCGCGCTCAGGCCCCTCTTTGGCAGGTCAACACCTTCCAGACGGTGCTCATCACGGACGGCAAGCTCTCCTTCACCATCTTCAACTACGAGGCCATCACCTGGACCACGGGCACACACGCCAGCAGCGGGGGCGACGCCAGCGGCCTGGGGGGCATAGCAGCCCAGGTAGGGGCCCCGCTCCCCACCGCCAGGGCTGTCACGAGCTGGAGAGGCAGGTAGATGGCCCTCCCCGCACACACAGCCAAGGCAGAGCCTCTCACGGCCGGAACCGAGGAAGCGTTCCGGGTGCACACGGCCAGCCTGACAGCGCTAGCTGCCGCCGGGACGGAACTCTGTGTGCCCGGCTGCGCCCGGGTGGCCTGGCCACGGCCTGCTCTGAGGGTCAGTGCCCAGCAGACGGTCCCAGGCGTGGAGGGCGGTCAAATGAGCCGCCCAGGGTCTGGGAGCGCTCCGCGCCCCCTGCCGGCACTCTACTTTCTTCTAAGATCACACTGGTCCCTGGCCCCAGGCGAGGCCCAGAAGCCCAGGAGTGAGCAGGAAGGGCGGTGGGGGGAGCTGCCTGGACCAGGACCCCACAGGGTCAGCGCAGGAGGAGCCACGGGTTAGGGCGGGACCGGCTGGGACGCAGCGGGGCGCGGACAGGCCTGACCCTTTAGTGCTCCCAGCTCGAGGCCACCGCGCGGGAGGTGGGCCTTGGGAGCTTTGGGGAGACCTGCAGACCCAGCCCGCCCCCGCCCCCCTCTCCAAACCCGCCCCCAGGCCGGCTTCAACGCGGGAGACGGGCGACGCTACTTCAGCATCCCCGGCTCACGCACGGCGGACATGGCAGAGGTGGAGACCACCACCAACGTGGGCGTGCCCGGGCGCTGGGCGTTCAGAATCGATGATGCCCAGGTGCGCGTGGGGGGCTGCGGCCATACAAGTAAGAGGATGGAGCAAGCGCCCGGGTGGCGGGCGGGCGGGGCGGGGCCTGGGGAGGCTGGTGGGGAGAGGAGGGGCGCCCCGGGCGCCGCCCTGGGGACGCGTGACTCCAGCCACCTGCGTTCCCTGTGCCCGGGCTCACCCCTGAGCCTCAGTCACCCCGGGAGACTTCCTGCCTCTGCTGTGGGGTGGGAGAGGTTTGCTGGAGACCTCGGTTGGCGGTGTAAACAGGTGGCGTGTCGGTAAAGTCCCCCCAGGGCGTCCTGAGCGCCCCTGCGTGGACGCCTGTGTCCTTGGGAACTCTGGGAGCAGCTCTCTTCCCGCCCATTTCCCAGCCTTGCTTCTTGGTGGGACTTGGTGCTGGGGCGGGTTGGGCGGGGTCCGTGACGGAACTCAGAGCAGACGGGAGCAGGGTCCACCCCAGGGTCGAGCACATGGTCCCACCCCAGTAGAAACAGCGGGACTGACCACAGAAGGGTGTGTTCCTGCCCCACCCACCCCCCAACCGTGTGACCCTGAGTTGCAGACCCTCCTGCAACCCTATTTATAAACGGCAGAGGCGGGGCGGGGCGGGGCGGGGCGGGGCGGGGCTCAATGACTGGTCCAGCATCCATGGAGGGCTGCTGATCACTGCCCCCGCCAAGTCTGGGGCCGGTGAACCAGATGCTGAGACCCCCGCCCCGCCCCGCCAAGACCACCTCCCACTCCCATGACGACCACGGCCACAGAGAGGGACTGCTTCTCCTGAACGCTGTCCCAAGGACGAACCCAGCACAGAGCAGCCCCCAGACCGCCTGGAGGCAGACGCGCACACCAGGGGGCGGGGCTGGGGGTGGGGGGGCAGGCGCACACTGCACGGAGGACTGGACACAGCCCTGGTGACAGAGCCCGAGCCCACCGGCTCAGCAGAGCACTGAGTAAGAGCCAGTGTGGGGGCCGCTGGTTTCGCCCCCTGCCCTGGGGGTGAACAGCCCTCTCGCACCCCAGAAGGATGGCACGACCCTCCCCCCATCCACCTGACTCAGGACAGTGGGGTTCAGGGCATGGGGAAGTCAGTCACCACCCTGTGGGCGAGCAGCAGGGAGGCCTGGCACCTGCCAGAGGCCAGGGCTTGGGCTGTGGTTGAAGAGTAAAGTGTGGGTGCAGGTGGGTGAGCAGGAGTTGGCAGGTGCGTGCTGCCATGCAGAGGCTGCAGGCTGTGACCCTGAGGAGTGAGGTCTTCAGAAGAGGGTCCGTTCAGTCCCCTGGGGACCCTATTACCACATGAAGATGCTTCCCCCCATCCCAGGCCTCTGTGGGCAGCAGATGAGGGGCAGTGCTGGGCCCCAAAAACTCGCAGGCGCAGAGGCCCCAGGAGTGCAATGCCATGAGGGTGGAGTGCAGGGGACCAGTCCCCTGGAGTCCCCAGCACACCTCAGGCCCAGAAGATGAAGCCTGTATGCGTCAGTTGGGGTTGCCAGGAAGGGAGGGTGGTTCACCCCTGGGAGGCAGGGCACCCACCCCTGAGAGGAGGGGCACCCACACCCCGCAGAAGGGCTGGCCCAGAAACGGCTCAGGCAGCCAGCCAGCACCTGCCACAGGGCAGCCAAGCCCCACACGGCCTGAGTGCCCAGACGGCTGGAGAACGGTCAACGGGCAGGTGTGGGCCTCGGAGACCCCCACAGCATCGGCGGCTTTCGGGACCAGAGGGCCCTTCCAGGAACGCCCCCCCCCCCCCCACCTCTGGACGCCAGCCAGCTCTCCCTGGGGCCCTCCTAGTAATGGGAGAGCGGAAACCCTGGGACACTCTTGCGTGGTTGTTTTGTTCTGTTCTTGGCCAAGCTATGCAGCTTGCAGGACCTTAGTTCTCTGCCCAGGGACTGAACCCACGCCCCCAGCAGTGAAAGCACAGAGTCCCAACACCTGGACCGCCAGGGAAGCCCCCGGGTGTGCTTAGTAACGGTGCGTTTCCGTGCCCTGCTCCTGCAGCGCGGAGGGCCCCACGAGCTGCCCTGCCGGCTGCCCGGCCCCCAGGCCAGGGCCACCGTAGGTGCTCGCTAGGCAGCTGCGGGCGGCGCGGCACCTCCCCCAGGGGGGCTCCGGGCCGGGCTGACACTCTGCCCTCCGTGTGTCCGCAGCGTCCGTGTGCCAGGCCTTGCGTCCCTGCCTCAACGGCGGCAAGTGCATCGACGACTGCGTCACAGGCAACCCCTCCTATACCTGCTCCTGCCTCTCGGGCTTCACGGGGAGGACGTGCCACCTGGGTGAGCTTCTGCAGGAGCCCCCCCTTCCCCACCCCTTGGAGGGACCAGCCCCGGGAGGAAGCCCCCCCACACCGCCCCAGAGGTCCCGCAACCTGTGGCCCAGGGTCTCCGTCCCTGCGTCCTGGGCGGCGTGCACCCATGTGGGAGCCAGACACAGCAGCTCCACGGCTGTGAGCCCGCCCAGCCCTGGCGGCCCGGCCCTCCCAGGCGTCCCTCCACTGAGGCTTCAGCCGCCCCATTTTCCAGATGTGAATGAGTGCGCCTCCCGCCCGTGTCAGAACGGTGGGACCTGCACACACGGCGTCAACAGCTTCAGCTGCCAGTGCCCGGCCGGGCTCAGGGGACCCACCTGTGAGACAGGTGAGAGGGTCCCGCCAGCCCCACGGGCCATGGGCCACAGGGCGCCCGGGATGGTCCTGCCCGACCGCGGTGGGGGCGTCAGGTCGACATGCTGCAGGGGGCCTTGCCCCAGATGCGGGTGGCCAGAAAGGCAGCGGCGGGGTGGGGGCAGGGGGTGCAGCAGCCCGGAGGAGAGGCCCCGCCCCGTGGCAGGAGAACTGAGCACAGCACTCAGACCCCTGAGGCCTTGCAACAGGGCAGGGCCTGCTCCCAGACCCTGTCACTCTAGGACCTGAGCCCCCAGGGGCTCCTGGCAGGACTGGACGCTGGTTCTCCCCATCCTGGGGCTCTCACGGCCCAGCCATGGGTTGAGGTCTTTCTCAAGACCCTCTTGTTGCTCCCAAACTGCAGCCCACACTGCAGTTTGGTGAGCGATAGTGGAAGCTGCTAGGGGATCCCAACAGATGGAGCCCTTAAGATCAGAGCATGGTGGCCCCTGACCCCCGTCGGCTCAGCCAGAGACACTCCCCCCAGACACTCACGGATGTAAACTGTCATTTAGAAACGCAACACTGTTAAATCAAAGGGGAACAGGTAACACCCGCACCAGTGTCAGCTAGAAAAACATTTCTAATGGAGACTTGGGGCCACAGGGAATGTTTTCAAGTGTCTGACTCTGGTGTGTAGACACGTGTCCAGGCCAGCAGGGCCCTGGGGGCCTTGGGGCAGTGCCAGCAGCCCTGAGCCTTGGCCTCTCCATGGCCACCACAGCAACACCCGCAGCAGTGGCCCCAGCCCCCAACCAGGTTCCCTGTTCTCTGGACCCACCTCGGCGCCCAGAGTCCATGCCAACAGGGGCACCGGGCAGTGTCCAGCAGGGACGTGGGCGCTGGCTGCCTCAAGTCTCCCCGCTCCCACCCATGCCCAGCCCTGCTCTGGTGGGGTCAGGGTCTCAGAGACAGGGACCACCCAGGAGGCTGGAAGTTGGGCCCCTTCACCTCCGTGCCCCTGTCATCTGCTGGGATGAACCCAGTTCAGACGAGCATTCGGTGCCAGTGGCCGGGGACAGCCCTGGACTCCAGGGCCCACTGCCCCCTGGAGACAGCCAGGTCCACCCACATGCAGCCCGAGGGTCGGGGTTGCGGCTCAGTGGGAGCCCGGGCCGCACAGCTGGGAACCCCATGGCCTTGCACACTGTGCTCGCAGCGCAGTCTCCATGTGATGACAGAGAGTGTCAGAACGGCGGCTGGTGCCGGGTGGAGGGCAGCACCGCAGCGTGCGTGTGCCCAGCGGGCTACACAGGGGCAGCCTGCGAGACAGGTGAGTGCGCCCTCGCCGGCAGCGGGGAAGGGTGGGCTGGGGCGGGGGCGGGGCGGGGCGGGGAGTGGGGTATGGGGGGGGCAGGGTGCTGGGTGGGCAGAGGCTGGTGTGGAGCCGAGCCCCCACCTCTGCCACCTGCAGACGTGGACGAGTGCAGCTCTGACCCTTGCCTGAACGGAGGCTCGTGTGTCGACCTGGTGGGGAATTTCACCTGCCTGTGTGCGGAACCCTTCGAGGGACCTCGCTGTGAGACAGGTAATGGCCGTGTTGCAGCTCCCGTGGGTGGGCTCTGGTCTGGGCTTTGCTGTCCACGTGCTGGATGAGGCCCAGGCAGTCTGCTCCCCTCTCTGAGGTGGATGGCCACACTCCCAAGGCCCCACCCCCTCAGCAGATTCTTGGCTGTTTATTGCCTCTTCTCCCCGCCCCAGAGCCCTCACCGTGACAGAAAACAAACCTTGGGCTGATCTCTACTACACGTGATGAAGTCTGCTTGCTTCTGTTCTACTGCATGTTGTTTTAAATGCTGGTTGCTCCTTGGAAGAAAAGCTATAACAAACCTAGACAGTGTATTAAAAGCACAGGCATACTTTACCAACCAAGATCCGTCTAGTCAAGGCTATGGTTTTTCCAGTAGTCATGTATGGATGTGAGAGTTGGACTATAAAGAAACCTGAGTGCCAAAGAATTGATGCTTTTGAACTGTGGTGTTGGAGAAGACTCTTGAGAGTCCCTTGAACTGCAAGGAGATCCAACCAGTCCATCCTAAAGGAGATCAGTCCTGAACATTCATTGGAAGTACTGATGCTGAAGCTGAAACTCCAATACTTTGACCACCTGATGCAAAGAACTGAGTCATTGGAAAAGACCCTGATGCGGGGAAAGATTGAAGGCGGGAGGAGAAGGGGATGACAGAGGATGAAATGACTGGATAGTATCCCCGACGCGATGGACAAGAGTTTGAGTAAACTCCAGGAGTTGGCGATGGACAGGGAAGCCTGGCGTGCTGCAGTCCATGGGTTTGCAAAGAGTTGGACACAACTGAGCAAGTGAACTACACTGAATTTAACCATATGTCAGGATAAAATTCTAAACTCTTTAGATGAATGTAAAAGAATCCAGGACTCCAAAATACCCACCCAAAACTTACCAGGCATACAAAATGTTGAGAGTGTATGACTTACAGCCAGAAGTAAAATAGATCAAAAGAAACAGTGGCCAGAGATGGCCAGAGAATCAGCAAATACAAATGTTTGATCATCCATCATGAACATGCATGTGCCATATGTTCAAGACTGTTGAGGGAAAAGACATAATGAGAAGTAGATAATATAAAAAAAAAAGTTTCTAGAGATAAAAAACATAAATCTGAATTCAAAAAAAACCCAAAAAACAAAAAAGACACTGGATGGTGTTAACAGCAGGTCAGACACTGGAGAAGGAAAGGTCAATGACCTTGAAGAGAGAAATGGAAACAGCTCGACATGCAGCCCAGAGAGGAGAATGTGGACGGACAGCAGCAAGGCAGGGCCTGTGCGTGGCCACCATGTGCTCCAGCAGGTGTGGCCCTGGAGTCCCTGGGGGGGGGGATGGGCTGAAGGGGTGCAGGAAACATGTGAAAAAGCGACAGCCAAACATTTTCTAAGTCTTATGAAAAGGAAAACCCAAAATTCAAGAAAAACATGAAAAAAACCACACAAAGCCCAACATAAATCAAATTGCTGAAAACCACTACATGAACCGAGAAGTTCCAGATGCACAAACTGGATTTAGAAAAGGCAGAGGAACCACAGATCAATCTGCCAATATGTGGAAGATCACAGAAAAAGCAAGAGAATTCCATGAAAACATCTACTTCTGCTTCACTGACTACACTAAAGCCTTTGACTGTGTGGATCACAACAAACTGGAAAATTCTTTAAAAGATGGGAATACCAGACTGCCTTACCTGCCTCCTGAGAAACCTGTATGCAGGTCAAGAAGCAAAAGTTAGAACCAAGCAGGGAACAACAGACTGGTTTAAAATTGGGAAAGCAGTGCATCAAGGCTGTATATTGTCACCCTGATTATTTAACTTCTATGCAAAGTACATCATGCAAAATGCCTAGCTGGATGAATCACAGACTGGAATCAAGATTGCTGGGAGAAATATCAATAATCTCAGATATGCAGATGATACCACCCTTATGGCAGAAAGCAAAGAGGAACTAGAGATCTTCTTGATGAAGGTGAAAGAGGAGAGTGAAAAAGCTGGCTTAAAACTCTACATTCAAAAACTAAGATCATGGCATCTGGTCCCATCACTTCATGGCAAATAGACAGGGAAACAATGGAAATAGTGACAGACTATTTTCTTGGGCTCCAAAATCACTGCGGATGGTGACTGCAGCCATGAAATTAAAAGGTGCTTGCTCCTTGAAAGAAAAGCTATGACAAAACTAGACAGCATATTAAAAAGAGAGACATTACTTTATTGACAAAGGTCCACATAGTCAAAGCTATCGTTTTTCCAGTAGTCATGTATGGATGTGAGAGTTAGACCTATAAAGAATGCTGAGTGCCGAAGAATTGATGCTTTCAAACTGTGATATTGGAGAAGACTCTTGAGAGTCCCTTGGACTGAAAGGAGATCAAACCAGTCAATCCTAGCGGGAATCAACCCTGAATATTCATTGGAAGGACTGATGCTGAAGCTGAAGCTCCAATACTTTGGCCACCTGATGTGAACAGCTCACTCATCAGAAAAGACCCTGATGCTAGGAAAGATTGAAGGCAGGAGAAGTGGGTGACAGAGGAGGAGATGGTTGGATGGCATCACCGACTCAAGGAACATGAGTTTGAGAAAGCTCCCGAAAATGGTGAAAACAGGGAAGCCTGGTGTGCTGCAGTCTATGGAGCCACAAAAAGGCAGACACGACTGAGCAACTGAACAACAGCAGCAACAACAAACAGGAAATATTAAAAGTAGCCAGAGAGAAAAGACACAAAGACACAAGGATGACAGCAGACTCATCATCAGAGTCAATGCAGGTCGGGCGACAGTGGGACAGAACCCTTAAAGCCCTGAAAGAAATAAGATATCACACTAGTGCTGTATACCCAGAAACACTGTCTTTCAGAAATTAAGATGAAACAAAGATGCTTTTCAGATGGCCTCTCAGCAGCTCAGAGGACACAAGCTTGGAGACCAGCCAGGATACAGGGAAAAGGAAGCACTGCTGGCCGACCCAGCCTGACTGATATTCACAGACACCCATGTTCCTTCCAGGGCTTGCAGAGCCTTCACCATGACAGACGACCCCATCGGCCATAAAATGAGGCTCAATAAACTGAAAAGGGCTGTGTTCTCTGACCCCAGCAAAATTAAACTGGAAATCAACAGCAGAAAGATACCTGGAAAACCCTGAACATTTAACTAACAGAGGTGCTTGATGAGCAACGCTCAGAGACCCTGGCCTCAGCCAGGCCCTTGGTGTACCACAAGCCCCGCTGCACTCCAGCTTCTGCTCCAGAGAGGGAGTTTGGGACTGAGGGCTGCTGGAGCCCAGTCTGCAGGCACTTGGCACAAAGAACAGCAGTTAACACACCTACTCTCTGGTCCAAGGCCCTGTTAACCCACTCCCAGCCCAGGCCCTCTGCCAGGCCTTGGGTGACCACTGGCTTTCTTGCAGGACACGACCCAGTGCCCGACGCCTGCCTCTCAGCCCCTTGCCAGAATGGAGGCACCTGTGTGGATGCAGATCAGGGCTACGTGTGTGAATGCCCTGAAGGCTTCATGGGCCTCGACTGCAGGGAGAGTGCGTGTGGGCCGGGCTGCCAGGGTGGGGGCCCCGTGGGCTGTGCATGTGGACACCCATGGAGAGGATCTGAGAGTGGGGAGAGGGGCTGCGCAGCAGGTTTTATGGGACAGTGGTCAGGAGGGCGCCCCCACACTGAGGCCTCTGCCCCCTCCCTCCGTGGCAGGAACCCCCAGCGGCTGTGAGTGCCGCAATGGTGGCAGCTGCCTGGGGGCCAACAGCACTCTCTGCCAGTGCCCACCAGGCTTCTTCGGGCTCCTCTGCGAATTTGGTGAGTGCCCAGGGTTGGGACAGGGGCTCCTGTCCTGCCCTGCCCTGAGAATCCCGGAAACCACGGTGAGCCCCGGGTGTGGGGGGCACCCCAGCCTGGTCACCCTGGGGGTCACGCAGTCCCTGGGCCTCCCCCTCGTGTGCAGAGGTCACGGCCACACCCTGCAACATGAACACGCAGTGCCCCGACGGCGGCTACTGCATGGAGTACGGCGGGAGCTACCTGTGTGTCTGCCACACCGACCATAATGTCAGCCACTGTGAGTGGGGCCTGCCTGGAAGCTGGCGGGGGAGAAGGTGCTGGGAGGTCCTGGGTGCAGCAGCAGGAGGCCTGTGAGGGGACCTGGGGGTGGACAGCCTGGCCATGCACCCTGTTCCACCCGCTGCAGGCCATGTGTTAGCGTCACTAGGTGCCTTCCAGCTCAGCTGCTGGGATGTTAACGCCTGACAAGAGCCGGTGGAGAAGCATGTTTGCACGCGTGTGTGTTAGTGCAGATACCGAGTGACTTGGGTAGTGAGTCGTCACGTGTGATGGTGGTGACGTGATGTCAGGTGGTCCTGACACTAGGACTCCTGTGGACCACAGCTCAGTCCCAGCTCACAGAAGAGCAAAGGGAAAATCTAGAAAAATTAAAAATGTGATAGAAGATATTCTAGGGGCGGCCTCCGAGCCCAGCATGAGGACTCAAGACTCTGGCATCGGTTCTGGCCAGGACGCCTGGATGACCGCCCTCTGCCCCACAGCACTGCCGTCGCCGTGTGACTCCGACCCCTGCTTCAATGGAGGTTCCTGTGACGCGCACGAAGACTCCTACACGTGCGAGTGCCCGCGGGGCTTCCACGGCCGCCACTGCGAGAAAGGTGGGGCACAGCAGCTTAGGGGGGTGGGGGGCTCCTGCTCGTCACAGCGCTCTCCTCGTGGCACTCCCCTCACGGTGCTCTCCTCACAGCACACTCCCCTTCCTGCTCACTGTTTTTCCTGTGGATTTTACAATCACTTATTGACCAAAAAATTCAGTGTTGTCCAGTCGCTAAGTTGTGTCTGACTCTCTGTGACCCCATGGACTGCAGCACACCAGGCTTCTCTGTCCTTCACCATCTCCCGGGGTTTGTCAGATTCATGTCCACGGAGTCAACTTTATAAATGTAATGCAATTGGAGAATGTCGACATTTTACAACTCAATCACAGAGGTTAGCCACTTAAGACTGTAAGCGCTCTTCAGCAAATACACTGTGGGCGTCACTGTACCCACCCTGCCCGCCCACTACTGTCCCTCCAGCAGCTGGAAGCAGCGCTCAGGACTCTTCACTGACCCAGGCGTCCCCTGGTCGGGGCCCAAGGTGCTGGCTGCCTGGCCCGTATGCCCACATCTGTCCTCCCGGGCTTGGCGCCTGGCCCCGTCCAGCCCTCCTGCTGCCTCATGTGTCCAAAGAGCTGAAACCTGAACCCCTGCCTCTGCCGCTCCCACGGCGGCCCTGAGACTGGGTCCCTGGGGCTCCGACCACAGCAGCCATGGCCTCCCCACCCTGCGGGGGAGGGCTTTCCAGAGAGCAGGCTGATTCTGGACACGGGCCACCAAGGTCATGCATGCCTTGGCCAAGGCGTCCCCAGAGGGGGCAGAGGGACATGGACAGGGTGTGGCCAGAACCTGGACAAGCATCCTGTGAGGCCCCACAGGGCGTGGGGGGGCCTCCTGCCTCACATTCCCCCCAAGAACGTTGAGGGGGCTGAGGGTCTACACTTCTGGTTGAGCTGTGAAGGTGGGACATCCCCAGTACAAGACGGTGGTGGGCCCCCCAAGGGCCAGGAAAGGCCCCCAATACAAGAGGGTGGCAGGCCCCCAGTACAAGAGGGTGGCAGGCCCCCCAAGGGCCAGGGAAGGCCCCCAATACAAGAGGGTGGTGGGCCCCCCAAGGAGCAGGGAAAGCCCCCAATACAAGAGTGTGGCGGGCCCCCCAAGGACCAGGGAAGGCCCCCAATACAAGAGGATGGCGGGTCCCCCAGGGACCAGGGAAGGTCCCCAATACAAGAGGGTGATGGGCCCCCCGAGGGCCAGGGAAGGCCCCCAGTGAGGCACGGAAACATGCAGATCTGAGGGGAATGGAGGGCGGCGGGGGCAGCTCTCCAGTGCTTCTCGGCAGAGCCTGGGCAGAGGAGAGAGCAGCGGGCGCAGGGCCCCCCGGCTGAGTGGGGACGGCAGGCACAGGGGGGCGGGGCGGCGGGCACGGGGTACCCGGGCCGAGTGGGGACGGTAGGCACAGGGGGGCAGGGCAGCAGGCGCGGGGCCCCCGGGCTGAGTGGGGATGGCAGGCACGGGGGGGGGCAGGGCGGCGGGCACAGGGCCCCCAGGCGAGTGGGGAGCACCTGACTGGCTCGGCCCTGGGCAGCAGCCTCAGGGGCTCCGCTGACTGGAAGCCCTGGCCTGCGGGCACTCTGGGCCAGGAGGCTGGCCCCGGCCGACCTGCCTGCCTGTCTGTCTGTCCCTGGCAGCCCGGCCGCGCCTGTGCAGCTCTGGGCCCTGCAGGAATGGAGGCACGTGTAAGGAGGCTGGCGGCGAGTACCACTGCGACTGCCCCTACCGCTTCACTGGCAGGCACTGCGAGATCGGTGTGGGCCCAGCGGCATGCCGGCCTGGGGAGGGCGGGGAGAGGCTGGCCTGGGACCCCTGCCCTGCCCCCTGCGTCTGCTCATCAGGAGCACCCCACAAGCCCACTACCGCCCCTGCTGAGGGTGTGGAGGGACGAGGGGAGGGACCGGGGTGGGGGGCGGTGCATGCGACCCCCGGCCCTGCCTGATGGGTGCCTCTGCTTACAGGGAAGCCAGACTCGTGCGCCTCAGGCCCCTGTCACAACGGTGGCACCTGCTTCCACTACATCGGCAAATACAAGTGTGACTGCCCCCCGGGCTTCTCAGGGCGGCACTGTGAGATAGGTAAGAGGGAGCTCCTCACAGCCCCGTGGTCGGGAGGCAGAGCTGGCGTGAGAGGCAGGACGCTCCTGCTGCGCAGGGGCGGACAGTGATGGACAATGGGGTCCCCGCGCCTTTGCAGCCCCCTCCCCCTGCTTCCGGAGCCCGTGCATGAATGGGGGCACCTGCGAGGACCTGGGCACAGACTTCTCCTGCCACTGCCAAGCAGGGTACACAGGACGCCGGTGCCAGGCAGGTGAGCAGGCCAGGTCGGGGCCAGGGCAGGGCAGGGCCCAGCAGGGGGCTGGGGAGGGAGGGGAAGGAAACCTCTGAGCAGCCCCTGGGGGCCGGTTCTGCCACCTGGGGCAGGCTGCACGGGGAGCAAGGGGCTCGGGTCAGAGCAGCGGGAGGCCAGGCAGGGGCCTGCAGTGCAGGGCCGGGCTGCCGTGTCCTTGCAGAGGTGGACTGCGGGCCCCCCAGCGAGGTGAAGCACGCCACCCTACGATTCAGCGGCACCCGACTGGGCTCGGTGGCCCTGTACTCGTGTGACCGAGGCTACAGCCCAAGCGCCTCCAGCCACGTCCGGGTGTGCCAGCCACAGGGTGTCTGGAGCGAGCCCCCCCAGTGCCACGGTGACCGGGGCCCTCTGCTGGGTGGGGGGAGCCACGCCCCGCTCCCCTGGGCTGAGCGGGAGAGCACGACCCGCAGTTCTGACCCTGGCCTGTGTCTCCTCTGTGCCAAGTGAGGCCAAGACCTGGTGCTGATGGTGGTGACAACCGGTCCCCTCCACTCAGGACCCTTCTCTAAGGGCTTCTGGTCCTCAGAGCACCCCAGAGCATGAGGTCCAACACCCACAAGCCCACTCTGCGGAGGAAGCCACTGAGGTCAGGAGGCAGCCCAAAGGCAGAGCCCTGCAGAGGCAGATCAGGGCTTAGGATCCACTCCTGCTCCCAGACCCACCCAGGCCTGTGGGATCAGACCCTGCATGAACAAGGCCCCCACGAGCCCCCTCGGGCATTTAAGGGGTGTTGCCCCGCAGGCAAGGCCCCCCTTGATCCAGGCACCTGGAGACAACGGTGCTGCAGATACCACTGCCAGCAGTGCATTAAGCCAAACAGAACATCCCAAACTGTTCAGACCATCTGTGTAAGGGTAACACAGTCTCAGAAGACAAAGAGTTTTCAGCAAAATAGCTTAGGGACAGGACAGCAATCCAGAGGAGAGAGGCACAGAACACAGCGCTTCCTCCCAGATGCCCTGCAAGGCGTCGGGCCTGGGCAGCCCTCTCAGGGGTAGAGTTCCAGAACACAGGTGCAGTCCCTGGCCTTAAGCATGCTCCTTTACGCCTGTCCTTCCAAGCCCCCCAGGGCTTGTGGTCACTGTCTAGGAGGCCACGCCGGGCCCAGGGCTGCTTCTCCGCAACGTGCCATCAGAGGAGGAGTGGGGACCACCAGAGAACGTGCGCTCACAAGCCAGGGTACCAGGACACTCGAGGAGCACGGCCACCTCAGAAACAGTAATAGAGCCCAGAAAACATATACTACTGGGAGTAGAAACGTAGACGATGAGTAAGAATGTAAAATAAGCATGACAAATACACAAAAAGAAACATGGCGTTGGCCATAAAAATAGAATCAACAAATAATATTTAAAAGAAAGCAGAAATAAGATGATTGAAAAACTAATAGTAGAAGTAACAGGCACAACTTATAAATGGGAACAGACAAAGACGAAGCTAATGAGTTGAAAAATCAGTGTAAGGAGTTGTACCAAAGAGAAGAAGGGAAATACTCATAAATCAGAAAGACAATGTAGGCTCTGAGGAGTGTATAAGTGCTGACATTGACGTAACAGGACTCCAAGAGTGACAAAAATTAAAATAGGATGGAATGTTGCAACAACTATGGGACTAAGTTCCCAGAATAACTGATAAATGATCAGAGATTGAAAGGGCCTGCAGAATGTCAAACAGGAGGAAAGAGAAACATTAGATACATTATAATAGAATTTAAGAAAATCAGAAAAAGATCCTTAGAAAAAGGGACAAGAATCCACAAAGGAACAAGAATCAGATCAGCACCAGACTTAGAGAGACATCAGGACTGAGATACTAAAATGGCATTTTAAAGATAGTGAAGTGATCCATTCAGTTAGGGTGTAGACAGAAAACACCATCACTCTCACTGTAACATCAAGGGAGCTCCAGAGAGCCCATAAAATCGTACCTTTTAACTCATCAGAGGGCTGAGGATGCAAAGTTTTCCCACAAGGAAGCACCAGGCCCAAACAATGCCATGGATCAATCCCACCAAACTGCCAAGAAGCAGACTGCTGCAGTGTTACACAGGCCCTCCTGGGGAGTAGAGAAGAGTGTGTGCCCAACCACTCCACAAGGCCAGGACAACCTTAAACCAACACCAGACATGGACAGGTGGAGAGAGTAAAGTTATGGGTCCATTAAACGTGAAATAGATGCAGAAATCTGACAGCCTATAAAGACTATATACACCATAATGAGGCTTCCCAAGTGATGCCGGTGGTAAAGAATCAGCTTGCCAATGTAGGAGACCCAAGAGACATGGGTTTGATTCCTGGGTCGGGAAGATGCCCTAGAGTAGAAGTGGCAACCCACCCCAGTATTCTTGCTTGAAATGGCAACCCACTCCTGTATTCTTTCCTAGAAAATTCCATGGACAGAGGAGCCTGGTGGGTGACAGTCCATGGGGCCGCAAAGTCAGACACAACTGAGCACACGCACACCATTCTTGAGCTGAGCTGTTGTAAAAATAGTTTGATATTAGAAAAATTTGCTACACTAACCAACTAAAGGAGAAAAGTCATATAAGAATCTCAATGAATGTATAATAAGCATTTGATAAAATTTATACCTATTCAAGTAACAAATTCCTACCAAGTAAGAATTTTAAAAGTACTCCTCATCCAGATAAAAATAATATGATACACACACACCTTTCTAGTACCACATGGTATAATACAGGATTTATTGGAGGGAAAACTTATAAAAGAGAAATAGCAGAGCCCACAGAGCCCCCCACGTGTTCATTAGCCCACAGGGAGATGTGCTTAGACCAGGCATAAGCTAGGCTGAAAGCATGGTTACACTGAAGCACACCAATTATATTCCACGTATTTACAGAGGAATGAGGACAGGTTCCCTCAAGAGAGCTTTGGGGCTTCCCTGGCGGTCATGGTTAAGGCTCTCTGCTTCCCCTGCAGAGGGCACAGGTCCAGTCCCTGGTCAAGGAGGCTCTGCATGCTGCACGGTGCAGACGAAAACAACAAGCAGAGGAAGCTGTGGACCAGTGTCCCCTGATCCTCATCATACAGGAGGGGATCTGGAATTCAAAAGCTGCTCTTCCGTTGAACTGACTCAGACATGCTGAGCTACCAACAGGGGGAAGGCAATTAGCTTCTGAGGCAGTTTTATGATGGGTCTCATCTAACGTAGAACAGACATTATCCTAAGTGGAGAAACATTCCCCTTAAAATTCAGAACAAAATAAGGATGCCCATTATCACTAAGTCTAGTCAATATTACATTGTCAGTAATAGCCTATGCAATGAAGTAAGAAAAAGAAAGCAAAGCCATGAAAATGCTAAAGGAGGAAGTAAAAATGTTAGTATTTATAGCCAATATGGTTGTCTTTCAACCAAAAGAAAACTATATAAATGATAGAACATGTGATATGTTCGGTGAATATAGGTTATTATAACAAAATTCATTGCATTTTTATATATCAACAACAAATAATGATTAAATGACATATTTTTTATAATTTATAATTAATTATAAAGAAGACATGTGCAGATGAAACCAAAAACTGATTCCTTGAAAGGATCAATAAAGATAATAAGCTTCTAGCTAGACTGATCAAGGAAAAAAATAAAAATTAGCAATATCAGAATGAAAAAAGGGACATCACTAAAGACTATATGAGCATTTAAAGGGCAAGGAGATACTGTGAACAACTTCAGGCCAATATATCTCACAATTTAGAAAAAATGAAGAAAGACACTAATGTCCACAACTGACACAAGAATAAATAGAAAATATGAAGAGCTTCATATCTATGAAGGAAATTTAACTTGTGGCTAAAAACTTCCCTGCAAAGAAAATGGCAGGACCAGACTGCTTCACTGAGTTCTGTCAAACATTCAGAAGGAATAATAATACTATCCACACAGCTCTTTCAGAGAATGTAGGAGGAAGGAACCCTCTTCAGCTCATTTTATGAGACCAGTATCGCCTTTATACCAAAACCAGAGACACTACAAAAATGAAGTTACAGGCCAACAATATTCCTCATGTGCAAAGCACAAAAATCCTAACAAGACATTATTAAAATCCAACCCACTATTACATCAGAAGGCTAATACAGCCTGACCTAGAGGGATTTATCTCAAGAACAGTTTAGCATTTGAAAATCAGTAAATGTAATTCGCCATATTAGAAAATATAGGAGAAATCAATATGATTATTTTAATAGATGCAGAAAAAGTCATTTGACAAAATTCAACTATTATTTTAAAAATTCTTAGCAAACTAAGAGTAGAAGAAAATTTCTTTAACCCGATCAAAGGGCATCCATGAAAAAAAATCAACAGCTAACAAAGCACTTACGGGTAAAAGACTTCCTGCTGTTATCAGTGGTAAAGCAAAGGTTCACCAGTGCCTTCCACCACTGTCCTGGAGGCCCTAGACCATGCCATAGGAGAGAAAAGGAAGACCTCATGTCTATCAGGCAAGAAGTAAAGATGACATGATCGTGCACACAGAAAATTCTAAGAAATTCTACAACAGAAGCAACAGAATAAGTGAATTCAAGCAGGTCACAGGATACAGGGTCAATACACACAAACAATTATATCTTCATATTCTAGCAGCGGAGACTTGGAAAATGAAATGAAACAATATTATGTACAATAGCATCAAAATGATAATTTTTATATATGTGAAATGAATTATAGACAAAATGTAAAAGCTAAAACTATAAACTTCTGTAAGAAAGCATATGAGAAAATCTTCATGATAGCTGGAATAAAATGGTTAGGTACTCAGAAAACATTACATTGTTTCTCCACTTCCCACCACACCCAACAATTAGTTCCAGATGTATTAAGGACTTAAATAGGTTTTTTTAACTATATAGTTTTGTGTAGGGAATGTAGGTTAACTATCTCTTTGGCCTTAAGGCAGGGAAAGATTCCACAAAAACCACTAAGTATAAAAGGAAAAAATGGACAAACTGACTAGTGAAAAATTAGGAACTTAAATGCATCAGCCTTAAGAAAGTTGGGCTTCCCTTGTGGCTCAGCTGGTAAAGAATCCGCCTTCAGTACGGGAGACCTGGGTTCGATTCCTGGGCTGGGAAGATCCCCTAGAGAAGGGAAAGGCTACCCACTCCAGTATTCTGCCCTGGAGAATTCCATGGACTATATATATAGTCCACGGTGTCACAAAGAGTCAGACATGACTAAGTGACTCTCACTTATGTATATATTATATGTTATATATACACATATACATATATATGTATACACACACACACATATAATCAACCCAATAGGTAAAACACATGAGTAGGAATTTCATAGAAGTAAACAACATTCCTTTTGTCAGTGATGTGCAAAATGAAAATCAACAGTACAGTGAGATACATTCAGTTGGCAAAATTTCCGAAGTCCAAAAAGTCCATATATTGGTGAGACTATGGATAAACAGGATTTGTTCTAAATTGCTGGAGGAAGTGTAAACTGGTATAAGCACTTTGAAGACAATTTAATAATTTGTCAAGCTGGCCATTCATATAAACTGTGTCCTTGCAATTGTACTGCTCGATAATTGTAAATCTAGGGAAAACTCTACACCAGGAGATGTCAAAGACACAGAACAGCAAGAAATCTAAACCCAACCCCAAAGCCTACCAAACAAGAGAGATAAAGTATGGTATAATCACACTGAGGAATATTATACAGTGATGAAAAGAACCCACAACATAGAAACATCTATTAATACAATGTTGAGTGACAAAAGAGTACATTAACCACAATATCCTATTAATAAAGTTCATAATAGCAAAAACAAAACTGTATATTGTCCAGCATATTGGTAAACATTTAAAAACTAGGAGGCACAGAGACGATAACCACAGACATTCGAGTCACAGTGGGATATGCATGTGAGCAGATGAGCCAACATTCTCAGCCCCCAGGTCAGGTGCTGGCCCCCAGGGGCCATTCTGTCAGTACGATTTATTTACTTATTTACATGTTAAGCTTTAAAAGTAAACTGTTTTAAGCTAAACATCGTTAACTCAGGAGCAAAATTCCCAGTTTTTTAAAATTCCACAGTGAAAATTTCAAAATGAAGGGCTGGCCCCCAAGGGTCTCGGTTTCATACACGATTGTTACATAATGAACAGGCGCGGTGGGGTCCTCAGGAGCATCCCCAGCCCCTTCCCGGAGGTGCTGCTCTTCCCCTCCAGGGCCCTCCTTGAGTTCTGGCCTCTCCCGGCACCTGGGATGTCGTAGACTCCCGCCCAGAGCCTCCTGTCAAAGCTCATGTGCGTCCCTCTTAGTCCGGCTTCAAGTCATCCCTGCTAACAGCAGCAACACTGCTCTATTCTTGGGGTGTCCCCCGGCGCCTGGCACCCGGGCTTTCCTTGCTCAGAAATCGACGAGTGCCGATCCCAGCCGTGCCTGCACGGGGGCTCCTGCCAGGACCGCGTTGCCGGGTACCTGTGCGTCTGCAGCCCAGGGCATGAAGGAACCCACTGTGAGCGGGGTAAGGAGGTCCCCGACTCCCGTGGGCTGGCCACTCCCCTTGAGCCCCAGCACCCAGCATGGCCTCTGCCCAGTCGCTCCGCTCTGTGTGCTGGGGTCTGGCTGGGTTGCTGCCTGATCTCTTGGGCCCCTGCCGGGTCTGATGTCCAGAGGGGCAGCAGTTTATAGATACTCTTGCCTACAGTCCCCAGGAGGACTGAGCGCAGCTGACAACAGCTAACTATGACCCTCTCCCCTGCCTCCCGCAGACTCTGGCTGGTGGGGGGGGGGGGGAAGTGGGGGTGAGGATCCAGGGGCAGAGAAGGGGGGTGCAGGGGACAGATCCCAGTCCTGCGTCCGAGCCGGACTTGGGGGGAGGCCCCATGAAGCCTGCTCCCTCATGCCTGTGCAGGCCAGGCGGCCACAGAGCCTGGGCAGTGAAGGCAGCAGGGGCCTGGACAGGCTCCGTGGGCAGAGTGAGGACAGGCGAGGCTGCAGTCCGAGGCCCAGGAGGCCCCAGGGCGGGGGCCATGCAGCCTCGTGTCCGTGTCCCTCTCCTCAGAGACAGACGAGTGCCAGGCGCAACCCTGCAGAAACGGAGGCTCCTGCAGGGTCCTCCCGGGGGCCTTTGCCTGCCAGTGCCCCCCTGCTTTCACTGGCGCCCACTGCGAGACAGGTAGGGACTGCTCTCGGGGTCCCCATGTGCCGGGCCCTCACCCACACTCACGATGCCCCGGACGCCTGGGAAAACCTGTTTGCAACAAGCACAGACGCTGGGCTGCTCAGAGCAGGGGGCAGGGACAGTGCCCAGGGACAGGATTCTGGGGGGATGAGGGGAGGGCCAGGTGCCCGCCAAGAGCGCGGGTCACCCCCTGCCCACCCCCTGCCCCCAGCGACCTCGCCACGCCGTCCCTTCCCTTCCTCCCGCTGTCCTCTCCTCCCTCCCCCAGACACCCCCTTGCTGCCCTGGCCGACTCTCTGGGTGTTCTCCAGAGGTGGACGCCTGCGCCTGCAGCCCCTGCCAGCACGGAGGCCGCTGTGAGAACGGTGGCGGGGCCTACCTGTGCGTCTGCCCAGAGGGTTTCTTCGGCTACCACTGCGAGACAGGTGGGGGTCCCGCTCCCTGCCCGTGCACCCCCGTCCACCTGGCTCCATGTCCAGCCACAGGCTGTGCCGCCCTGGACAGGCCCAGCTCACAGCTGCCCCAGGGGACTGGCGCTCCCAGTTCCTCACAACGAGAGACCCTTGCTCATGAGCCTGTTAGGGCCCCTGAGGACCGGGCAAGGGACGAGGCCTTTCCTGACCACGGCCTGCAGCAGCCCCCACCCCGCTGCCCGCCACTGCAGCACTGTGTTTCTCTGCTCAGCATTTCTCCCAGCTCGCTGTATGTCTCCCCAGGGTAGGGTGGCCTGATCTGTGCTGTCCCCAAGTGTCCCGTAAGCTGGGCCTGACCGGCACTGCTCAGATATGCCGGGTGGACGGGTCCTGGGCTCCAGCCCCACCACGGGGCACAGGAGCCAGCCCAGCGATGAGCACGGTGTGGACGGTTTGCGGCCCTGTGGGCCCTGGCCTGGAAGCCCGGAGCTGCGCCTCAGCCCCAGCAAACACAGGCCGTGGAGGGGCTGGTGTTCTCAGCGGCCCCCCAGGAGTGGTCACCTTGGCTTGGCTGCAGGTGGGCCAGCCTGGCCTCTCCGTGGGGGCCCTGGCAAGCCCTGCCCCTCTCCCGGAGAGTGTCCCCCATATCTGCTCCCCAAAGGGCCACCTGTGACTGCCCACCTGCACCCCACAAGCACACCAACATGGGATCAGCCCAGGGTCAGCATCAAGGGCCCAGGGGAAGGCGCCTGGCCAGACGTCCATTCACTGCTGCCTCCCCCCACAGTGAGTGACCCCTGCTTCTCAAACCCCTGCGGAGGCCGCGGCTACTGCCTGGCCAGCAACGGGTCCCACAGCTGCACCTGTAAAGTGGGCTACACCGGCAAGGACTGTGACAAAGGTGAGGCGGCGAGGGCGCCAGCGTGGGGGCTCCCCTCCCACCCAAGGGCTGCAGACACCCCGCGGGGCGGGACCAAGAGCTGAGCGGCCCCCAGAGCAGAGTGTCCAAGCAGCTGCTGCCCCAGGCATGCCCGGGAAGCCGGGAGGTGCATACGAGCCCGAGGGCAGCATCTGGGCAGTCCCACTCAGGTACATACAAGAGACCCTCCAGGAGCCACTGCCAGAGGCCAGATGTGGGCACCACGGCAGGCTCCAGCCAGCAGCTGCCCACCTGTGCCCCGGGGGGGGGGGGGCAGACCCAAGGGCCAGTGGGCCACACACCTGCCTGGGGGCCGGGACTCGCCCGGCCGACAGCTGACACCCCCCTTCCCTTGTTCTTGACCGAAACCCTGAAGAGCTCTTCCCACCAACGGCCCTCAAGGTGGAGCAAGTGGAAGAAAGTGGGGTCTCCATCTCCTGGCACCCCCCCGAAGGCCCAGCTGCCAGGCAGGTGCTGGACGGCTATGCTGTCACCTACGCGTCCTCAGATGGCTCCTACCGCCGCACGGACTTCGTGGACCGGGGCCGCTCCATGCACCAGCTCCGGGCCCTGGCGCCTGGCAGGGCCTACAATGTCTCCGTCTTCTCGGTCAAGCGCAACACCAACAATAAGAACGACATCAGCAGGCCCGTCCTGCTGCTCACCCGCACGCGTGAGTGACGCAGCACCGCTGCGCACCCCCAGCAGGGTCCCGGCGGGAGGGCCCCTCCTCTGGAGGAGAGGGATGGTGACAGGGTGAGAGAGGGGGCTGGGGAGTGCAGGGGGCCCTGAGAAGGTGCTGGGACTGCCATGGGGTGAGGCTGGAGCCTCCCTGCAGGCTGGAGCAGAGGCAGCCGTGGGGCACCAGGGAGGCCGTCTGGGCGTGCTGCCCTGAAGGCAGTGGTGCGCAGAGGCTGGGCCCCACTGGCCTGTCTGCTCCTGGGGGCTGTGGGGGAGGGGGGACCCTGGAATGCTCCCACAAAGGTGGGTTGGTGGGTGCTGGCCCAGGGAGTCAAGAGATGGGGAGGGGAGGCTGGAGGATGGAACGAGAACTGGGCAGGGGCATGAGCACTGGGCATGTTGGGAGCCCCTTGAGGGTGGCTGGCAGGGCGGGGCAGGGGGGCACAGGTGGGCATGGACGGGGCAGGTGGGCACGGACAGGCAAGTGGGCAGGTGGGCACAGCTAGTCATGGGGGCAGGGCAAGTGACGCAGGCATGGCCTACTGGCCAGGTGAGCAGGAAGATGAGGGTCCTGGAGGGCAGAGGGGAGCACCTTCTCGGGCCCCTTGGAAGGAGGCTGCACGCATGCCAACAGCTAGGATGCCGAGGGCCACGTGTGAGGAGGGACGAGGCCTCAGGACGGGGTGTCCTGGGGAAGGACAGTGCACAGGGCCAGGAGGGTGGCCCCAGTGTGTGACAGAAGAGCCTCGGGGGCTGGGGGCAGACAGGGCCATCCTGAGCTCGGCTCTAGTGAGATGCGCTTTTGAGGCTGCTCAAGGTGGGCTCTGGAAGGAAGACAGCCACCCCCGCGCCATAGGGGTGGGGGTGAGGCACCCTTCCTGCAGCCGAGGGCTTGGCACTCTGGGGGCTGGGGCACCCCTGTCAACTCCCTTGGCCTGGGGTTCACCCCCTTCCCTGGCATCACCACGGCCTCTCCTGGCTTCTCCCTGGCAGGCCCCAGGAGCCCCCAGATGGTGCAAAGTCAGTGAGTGCCACCAGCCAGCCAGCGAGTCAGGAAGCTCCCACCCTGTCCCCTGGCAGGCCAAGACCACTCAGGGCAGCACCTGCAGCAGCCCCTTTGCAACACTCTCACCCTGAGGCAGTGGTCCAGGGCATGTCCACCTGCCCCCGGTCCTTGCTGGACTGAGGGACGCCTTCAGCAAGCCCAGGCTGGACAGGCATCTTGAGGGCACCTCTGTGCAGGTCCCCAGGGCCCTTCCCGAGCCCCCTCTCCAGCCCCGGCCCCACCCTCAGGGGTGAGGAGGGGCCACACAAGCTGCTTGCCCACTATCCCCAGGACCCCGCCCCATCGAGGGCCTTGAGGTCACCAACGTGACAGCCAGCGCCATTTCGGTGCGGTGGGCTTTGCACAGGATCCGCCACGCCACCGTCAGCAGCGTGCGCCTGTCCATCCGCCACCCTGAGGCCCAGGAGGAGCAGTCCACTGATGTGGACAGGAGCGTGGACAGGTTCACGTTCAGGTAAGAGTGAGGGCACCCACTCCCCCCGCCCCACCAGGCTCCTGCCGCCCTCCCACCCCAGCCCCCTGGAGGAGCAGAGGCATGTGATCAGTCCTGGGCCCCACTGCTGCCTCGCCTAGTGTCAGAGTGCCCGAGAGAGCAGGGATGCTCTGGACTCTGCAGATGGCACCTCCTGCAGACAGAAGAAAGAGGCCACCAGAGGCCAGCCCAGAGTTCCTCCAGCCCGAGTCATGAGACTCCGTGGAAAGGGAGAAAACAAGCACCCCTGAGCTGCCTGACATTTTCTACTTCATTCAAATATGTTCAAACCTTAAGCTGGTCAAGGACAGGGCAGCCTGGCGTGCTGCAGTCCATGGGGTCACAAAGAGTCAGACACGACTTGAGCAGTTGAACTGAGCTGAACTGAAACTTCTTATGCATATTACTTATTATATACCAACAAAACTACAAAATAAAATTCAAGTGAACATCAGTCACTCAAAATGACTGATGACTGGAATAAATATTTCAGCAGCACCACAAGGAAGCTTCAGACCCCAAGCCTAGGCCCCCAGCTCAGGGACGCTCCCAGACAGCAGCCCATGATGGACCCATGAGCCACTCAGAGCTTCTGACCCAGGCAGGGAGGATGGGCAGTGCTTGAGGGCGGGGTCAGGAGGGAAGGTGGCAGCTGTGACGTCCCCACCAAGCTCCTGAGTCTGACCACAGTTGTGGAGGTGGGCTCAGGCACAGCTCTGCAGCGTCCAGCCTAGAGCAGCCATGGGCCATGGCTGGGAGAGGGGCTCTGGAAGGCGGGACGGGCAGGCCACCGACCCACCCGTACCTGCACATTTCCAGCTTGGAAACTTCTCTCCACCACGTTTCTGTGCTCTTCTGTCCAGCCGCATGGCTATCTGTGTTGGAGACCACGCCCCCTCCCCTTGTCTGTGAAGTGTGGCTGTGGCTCCTTCTGCCCATGCCCCAGGAACAGCAGGATAGAGACACAAATGGGGTCCCAGGTGGGCACTCCTGTGTTGGGGTCCCCAAGGCCATCCCCAGGTTCACGAGGGGGTTCCCCAGGACTCAGCAGAGACTCAGGACAGAGACAGGGTACAAAACGACGTCAATGAAAGGAAGAGGCAGGCGGGAACAAGGCAGGGACCATGTGTCAGCTTCCACAGCCCCTCCCCACACACGACAAGGTCCCCCCCCACACACCCCCAACACACCCCACCCCCACCACAGCCTGCAGGTACTTTCCTGGGGAGCCAAGTAGACATATAGCACCCAGGGCTTTTACCGGGCAGGTGGGCGGGGGTAGTCACCAGCACCTGAGCCTGGAGAAGTTTCCAGAACCCCAGAGGAAGAGATGCTCAGCTGGCAGGAGCCTCACTGTGCACAGACATTTAGGGGCAGGGAGACCCTCTCCTCCCCAAGGGCACTGCGGGCCCTCAGAAGTTCCATCCCAGGGCCAGCCTCATGGGCAGCCCTCCACAGGGGGCAGACCGGCCTGTCTGTTACACCCTTTTCCTTCAGTTGCCCTATGCTGGCCTCTGCTGTCTGAACACCAGCTTCCGACCACACTGCAGCCACCCCAGGCCTGTGTCCAGTCCAGCACTAGACAGACAGACCAGGGAGTAGCTTCCTATCCCAGGAGCACTCAGCTCTCAGGCCATAGTCTGGCCTCTGTGGAGGCTGCCTGGCCACCAGTCCTGGGATGCCTCCCACCTGTGTCACACCGGCCCCGGGACGACCCCCACCTGTGTCACACCGAGCCCGGGAAGACCCCCACCCGTGTCCCACCGGCCCCGGGACGACCCCCACCAGCCCCAGAACGACCCCCACCTGTGTCACACCGAGCCCGGGAAGACCCCCACCCGTGTCCCACCGGCCCCGGGACGACCCCCACCAGCCCCAGAAAGACCCCCACCTGTGTCACACCGAGCCCGGGAAGACCCCCACCCGTGTCCCACCGGCCCCGGGACGACCCACGGGCGGAGCCGTGGTCTGAGAGCAGAGCCATCCTGTCCCTCTCCCTGGCCTCCCTTCCCCACAGGGCCTTGCTGCCAGGAAGGAGATACGCCATCTGGGTGAAGGCCCTCAGTGGGCCTGGGGGGCAGGAGCGCCCCACAGAGAGCCTGGCCTCAGCCCCGGTGCACGTGTGGACCCGTGAGTAGAGGGGTGAGGGCTCTCGGCCCCCTTCCGGAAGTCCCCCAGCCCTGCCCTCAGTCTCTGAGTGGCCGCAGCCCCAGAAAGCTGCCCTGGCCACATGCACGTGGCCCAGAGGGGCCTGGGATGGCGACTGCAGGGGGCTGGGCAGGGCCCCTGCCGGGATGACCTCCCGAGGCTGCCCTCACTGTGGGTGTTCCCAGGCCCCTGCCAGAGTAAGGTCACTGAACAAGGGCAGGAGGAGAAGACAGCAAGGATGGACAGGCTGTCCACCCGGGCGAGAACACCCGGCCCTCACCGTCCCTTCCTCCCCAGCACACAGGCTGTCCAGGCACAGGAGGGGCAGTGAGCGGGGGTGGGGAGGGCAGGGCCTCGCCTGGTGGGACAGGCAGACAGCAAGGGTCAGGTCCTCACTCTGACCCTGGGTGTGGGGTCCCTGGCCCACCCTCTGCCCATCTAGCCCACTCCCCTACCTACATCCCAGGAGAAGGTGTGTGTGGCCAAGCTCAGGGGGATGAAGAATGCCATGCGGGAGGGCAACCTGATGGACTGCGCTGGGGGGGGGGGGGGAGGGGAGCCTCACGGGGTGTCTGCTGTTGCCAGCCCTGAGCAGCTGCCAACGCCCCTCCACCTGTCCTCGGGGACAGTGAGGTCTGTGACAACCCAGTCTGGCATCCAGCAAGGCTTTAGCCTCCATGTCAGATCTTTAGAGTGTGTTCTGGGCAGAAGACTCCACCAGCCACCTTCACTCCCCTCCCCTGCTCCGTGCTCATCCAGGGCCTCTGCCGCCAAGCAACCTGACTGCCGCCCGAGTCACGGCCACCTCTGCCCACATAGTCTGGGATGCCCCCACCCCAGGCACCTCTCTGGAGGCCTACGTCATCAACGTGACCACCAGCCAGAGCACCAAGAGCCGCTACGTCCCCAGCGGGAGGCTGGTGTCCTACACGGTGCGGGACCTGGTGCCCGGGCGGCGGTACCAGCTCTCGGTGACAGCCGTGCAGAGCGCCGAGGGCGCCCAGCTGCACAGCGAGCCTGCCCACCTGTACATCATCACCTGTGAGTGCAGCCCTGTCTAGGACCTTCCCCCGGCCCAGCCACGCTGCTCCAGGGATGGGCAGGCAGCCCAGGAGCAGCGCTGTGCTGGCACAGGACTGCACGCGCAAGAATGGGGGGCGGCTCCTGCGCAGCTGTGCTGGGTCAGTGAGCTGGCAATTGGGAAGCATAAGCGTCGTGCGCCTCCACTCATGGTGTCCACCCAGGTGGACCCCAAACGGCGAGCAGTAAATACAGGCCTCGCCTGAAAACAGGTGCCCAGAGGAGCGAGTGGCAAGACCCATGAGGCTGGCAGCGTGGAGGCGGGCCTGGGTAGTGGCCTGGCCCCTGAGGAACCCCTGGACAGCACCCAAGAAAAGTGGGGCAGGACAGCCCAGAAGCGGGGCTGGGACAGGCAGGAAGGGAGCTCAGTGGATGGATGGAGGCGGGAGCAGCTGGGGAGAGAGGCCCAGGGCCACAGTGAGGACGCGGGTCTGCTCTCAGGCACTTGGGAGGCCTGCCCACCCCACGGGGGTCTGTACAACCCCCTACCTGTTCCAGCTCACAAAACAGTCTGTCTGGATGGTGAGGTGCTGCAGGGAGGTGGGCAGCAGCCTGGGCTCCCTCGTCTCCCAACCCACCAGCCTGCCCCCGGGGCACGAAGCCCATGTGCCCTGAGACACGAACCCACCGGCCGGGCGGACAGGGGAGGTGGGGCCCCTCTGTGAGCTGGGAGGAAGGGCATGCAGGTGAGAAGGGTGCCAGCCCTGGGGTTGGGGCGGGTGGCCCCAACCTGCAGAGGAGCGGCCCCCTCTCGGGGTGTGCGGGCTGTGGGCCTCAGCCCAGGTGGGTCTGGACGGGGCCCCAGGGCCTTGCCTCACCTGCAGGTGGAGAGCCTGGGCCAGGGCGAGGGCTGGAACCAGCACCTGGACAACACCCAGGCAGCAACCACAGCTCCTCCTTGGGCAGAGGTGGGGCTGGGCTGCGGTGGGGTAGCCCCCTCTTCAGCCAGGCACAGGGGAGCCCAGACCAGCCCACATGGCCACCGCTTCCTCCGCCCACCCGCAGCCCCAAGGGACAGCACTGACAGACGATGGCACCGAGACGGACTCCCCCAGAAGGCGCTGAGAACCCGCCCAGCCCCCGCACGCCTGCCCGAGCTGCGCCTGCTCAATGACCCCGGTGCCCCCGCGACGCCAACCCAGGCCCCCAGGTGCCTGCCTCAGCTGCCGCCCCCGAGACCCCGGCCCAGAGCCCCTGCTGACCCTTGCTGACTCTCGCAGGTTCTCAGAGCTCGTGGACGGCAGAGGACGAGTAAGGGCCAGGTTCGGCAGCTCACCCCGCAAGCGGGTCACTGTGAGATCACGTGAGTGGCCAGGCTGACCCGGGTGGCCTCCTGTCCCCAGCAGGACAAGGGAAGAGACCCCTAAAACCTGGATTTTGAGACCACCCCCAGTGCCCAAAGTGTTTGCAGCAGGGGGACCCAAAGGGGTCGGGGCCCAGGACTCCAGGGCCTGCATGAAGAGCCCATGCCACCCGCAGGCTCCCAGGGAGCCTTCCTAACACAGCAGTCCACGGCAAAGGGACAGGCGGCCAGCAGGCGCCAGAGATGGACAAGAAACCTGTTAGGAGCACATCTGAGTGAGGACACCCCACCGAGTGCTGTGGCAGGAGCGCAGGGTCCTTGGACTGGCCGCACCAGCCTCACAGGCTCTAGAAGGGCCGAGCACGAGGTCTGGCTCAGGGCAGAGAAGTTGGGGGAGGCGCTGTGGCCCCTCGGGAGCAGGGCGTAACTGTGAGGGGGAGACGGCACCTCAGCCAGCAGCTCAGGGTGAGGCAGCAGGTCAGCTGTCGGGCCATGAGTGACCTCTGCCCAGCAGTCCCTGCTGAGGACTGGCAGGATGGTCAGGACTGGGCTCTGCCCAGAGAAAAGCTGATCCTACCCGAGACGGCGCCAAGACCCACCCGGACCCCACCACACCTGGCCCTGTGGACATCCCCAGGCCCTGAGGGAGAGAAGCCCCTTTCCAGAAGGAAGGCAGCCCCAGGACAGCGCGAGGCAGTGGCTTCGTGGTCAGCGCTGTGGCGTCTTGATTTCTTCTAGAACCCACGGCTCTGGTGCAGCTGGAGAACACGGACGAGGTCCCCACGCCGGCCAGCCTGGCCCCCCAGCTCCCCAAACGCGGCGGTGACAAGGACATGGAGAGCAAGTCAGGAGGAGCAGACTACCGGGTTGACCACCCTCGGGGGCCTGAGGACGGTAGGTGAGGAGGGGGCTGCCCACAGCGAGGAAACAGCTGAGCACCCCACCTGCCAGGGGGCCCAAGATGACACGCAGGCAGACGGGGCCGGGCCTGGGGACTGCACCTGCCTGGACACTGGGTCCTCCCTGAGAGACAGCCCACCTCCCCCAGGTGTGTGGGGGACAGATGGCAGGAGGCAGGAGGGCAGCCGTCACCAGGAGGCGGCTGCTACCCGGGCTTGGCGAGCAGGGCCTGTCCCCCCAGGCATGCTCCCAGGACACCTCCCCGCTGGGCAGCGCCAATAGGCTGTATTCCTTCCACAAACCCAGACCCCCACTCAGCCTCTCCTCCTGCTCTGACCATCGGGGCCGGGTCCCTCTGGGGACAGCTTAGGGGCAGTGGCCCTTTCTCCTGGTCACACCACGGGCCCAAACTGGGCTTGCCCATCAGCCAGCACTCTGAGAAGGCAGAGTGCCAAATGCCCAGGATGCAGCCTCACTTGTGGCCCCCAGGGTGTACCATGGACACCTGGGCACACCCAGGCACCTGCGCCAGAGGGTGTTTGCCAGTGGAGGCTCCCAGCCCCACAGTCCAGCACTCGGCGGACGAGGCCTGGGTGAGCCCGTGAGAGGCAGTCTGTGACTCAGATGCAGAGTGAAGACACTCGTGTGGCTGGCGTTTTGTAAGTGAAAAACATTTTGCCCAAGGGTTTCCATTGTGTCAGCCCTTTTAAATATTAGATGCTTCATTTCACAAAACTCAGAAACCAGAGGGGCGTGGGGTGGCCTCTCCTGGGTACCCTGGAGAGACTAGGGGTGCTCCAGGCTGGCCCTGGACGCCACTGCCAGCTGCAGCGTTTGCTGCCATGCAGGACGAAGCCTTAAGGGTGTGAGATGACCCCAGGTGACGACAGGGCAGACGCTCTCTAGTGGCCTCCAGGGGGGCAAAATTAGTCCTGGTCTCGGCGCCCTGGTGGTCAGACAGCAAAGCCTGCAATGCAGGAGACTTGGGTTTGATCCCTGGATTCAGAAGATCCCCTGGAGATGGACATGGCAACCCACTCCAGTACTCTTGCCCAAGAAATTCCATGGACAGAGGAGCCTGGTGGGCTACCAGCTATGGGGTCTCAAAGAGACAGACACGACTGAGCAACTAACACTTTGGCTCCCGTCAGGCTCACGATCAGACCAGGCCGGCCCGTTCTCAGTGAGCCAAGCTAGCTTTTGCTAAAATCATGGCCATCAGCCCAGGCACCCAGCTATGACCCACAACATAAGCAGTGAGCTGTCTCCTGCTGCTGTCCTCCTGGTGACCAACGAGCCCCAATTCCGTGCTGCTGTCCTCTGCTCCACCAGAGGCTAGGCGGCAGGGAAGTGTGAGATTTCTGTCCGCGTGGGACAGAAACACGAGCAACACGGGCTTTCCTCACCGGGCGCATCTCGCCCAGCCTCCTGCACGCGCTCACCCTCTCAGCCTAGCACCTGGTCCCCCGTGAGCTCACTCCAAAGGCTCCTGGGCCCAGCCTGCTGTTGTCAGCAGTGCTGCTGTGTCCTGCCCACGTCTCCTGGTTTGGGATGTGGAAATGCCCACATGAAGAGAGCCTTAGCTATCTTCTGAGTGGCCCACCAGGCTGGCCTCCTCCTGGCAGCAGGCAGTACAGGGTTTGCCAGGTTTCTGGATCCTGCCAGCAGGACAGCTGAGAGAGCACACTGGGCCCTGGTTTGTCTCTCCAGAGCCGGCATGGTCAGCGGCTCACCGTGGCCCTCCTGTCCCACTGCCTGTATGCCCTGGGCCTCTCTGTAAAAGGCTCGTGGGGCCAGTCTGGGCACTGCCTGTCAGGGCCTGGGCTGTTCCTGGTGCTCTCAGCTTGCCAAGGTCCACGTGGAACTTTCCATGGACCCTTACAAGCTCCCGAGGCCCTCGGCCTGAAACACACACTTGAAGGCCAGTTTCCCTGGGTGCAGGACTCGCGGTTCACAGCTCCTCTCAGTTCCTCAGGCAGCAGTCCACGGTCATCTGGACTGTCACTGGTGTCACCTGTGTTCTTCCTTCCTTCTAAGTCATCTGCCCCTTCTCTCTGGAAACTCTCAGAGGTTTTTTTCGGAAGGAAAGGACACCCCAAAGGCACAGCTAACGCCCGTTTGGCATCTGCTAACCAAGCAGATCTCTGGGTCAGGGCCCTCCTGGTGGAGTCCCAAGATGGCAACCTGGTATTCTGGGAACTTGGAGTGAATGTGGGGGCTGGTCAGTCTTCCTGTTTCCCTCTTCTTACCCAGGACAGCTTCTGGGCTGTGCTGGTCACATCCCCCAGGAGCCACCTCTGTCCCACACACAGGTGTTCTGCGGGAAGGACCTGAGCCTCCCGACCCTGTGATTTGTCCCTCGTACAGGACCCCACTGCCCCACCACAGGGCACAGCCGCATCCTCGTCCCCGGCCTCTGTTCAAAACAGCCTTCACTTTATTTACTTTAGTGTGTGTGAGAGAGGATGAACTCGGGATTCAGTAGACCGGGGCTACAGAAAGCGGAGCTCTGGTGAAAGCCCCTCTGCTGCACACAACCCCAGGCCCAGGGTCCCAGGCACGGCACAAGTGTCAGTCAGCCTCTCAGAAAAAAGCAAGTGGTAAATCTGTTACCTGGATTTGATATCAAGGAACGACGGCTAATTCTATAACAGTAGCACTGTGCTTATGTGAAAATTTTAAGTCTTTATGTACTAGATGCTTGCTGACATATTTACAGGTGAAATGGTTTCTGTGAACTGCTTTGAAATCCAACTAAAGAAAGCAGATGGAAAGCTGGAAATAGATTAAGCCAGGCTGACAGAATGCTCGTAACTGAAACTGAGTGACGGTATACGGGGTTCTTCATGCTCTAAACTGTTAAGTTTTACCTTTTCCATGACAGAAGATAGTTTCAAGCCCTCAGCTCCCTTTAGCGCACCATGAAAGCTAGGGGACAGAAAGGGGGAAGGAAAGTGAAGCACACACGAGGAGGAAGGCGAAGCAGCGGGCAGAACCCAGGCGGCCGCGGGGAGAGCGGGGGCGGCGGGGTCTGCCCGGTCAGCGCCTCACGGGGAGGTTGCCGAGGGGACGGCAGGGGAGCAGCTGGATCGGACGGTGGACGCTGAGGGGGAAAGGCCGGCTCTGCCCCTCCCTGGCAGTGCGACTGACAGGCCTGCCCGCAGCTCCCGCTTGGCCGGGCCGTCAGCAGGCAGAGAGCGGCTGCGGCACAGAGGCTGCCTGGGTCAGGGCTTGCGGACAGGCACTGGAGAACGAGGAGGGCTCTCAAGGGTTGGCCTCTGCATTCCAAGCAGAAGAGCCCCACGCACGGGGCAAAATCGCACGGAAATGTGGGGCGCGGGCACAGACCAGCAGGGGGCAGAAGCCTCTCCGGAAGCGCCCAGAGCCCAGCCGTGATGGGAGCCGCGGGCTCAGGCTCCTTCGCCGCGCGACAGCTCGGCGCTGGGGCCGGAGCAACCGCTCCGCCCTGCCGCCTCCACTCCCCAGGCTAACGGGCTCGGGGCAGGCGCACAGGCCACCCTCTCCCTCGGCGCTCTGACAGCCCCTCAGGCCCACCGCTGTCGGGAACAGCAGGAGGCAGCAACGCTGATGCTTCCGAACCCTCCCGTGGGTCCCAAGACTAACAGCTCATGGCCCGTTTGCAGACATCCCTGGGAACTGCTCAGAAAACCCCTGTCAGAACGGAGGCACCTGTGTGCCGGGTGAGGATGCCCACAGCTGTGACTGCAGCCCAGGGTTCAAAGGCAGACACTGTGAGCTCGGTGAGTTTGGAATCGCTCCCCCTTGCCTGTTGGGGCCACCAGGGCCTGGCCTTGAGATGCCCATCACAGTAGGCTCGGACAGGGGCCCGGTCACAGCACCCAGACCTCCAAGGGCACAGGCAGGGGGGACTGGCAGGCAGTGAGCCACCAGGCCTCCGACTGCCCAGATAACAGGGGGCTTGGGGGACAGTGACTCCGCAGGGACAGGAGGCGGTGGGAGGGAAGAGGGGCCTGCTGCCCTCAGACATCTGGGACAAGGACGAGAGGCGGATGGACAGAAGTTCCCACACCACACAGCCCTGAGGCCCATCAGGCCGACTCTGGCGAGCCCTGAGGGAAAGCAGCCTGCAGGCTCCCAGGACCCCAACCCAGAGCAGCACCCTCGGTTGCTAAGTAGCCGGGACAGGGACCCAGCCCAGGAAGCCACAGGGCAGAAGCCGGGACCACAGCGGCTGCAGGAAGAGGGCACGCGGCTGTGAGCTCCTGGCGAGCAGCAGCCCTCCCTCTGTGCCAGCAGCCTGCACGAAGGTGCCCCGGCCCTGCACACGGCTGTTCTCAGAGACCAAGTCCATTCCGGTCTGGGAAGGAGGCATCTGTCACCACGTGTAAGTCCCCCTTCCCGCCTGCACCGCGCTTGTGGTGCGCCCCTGACCCTGCAGTGCTCCTGCCCGGCCCTCACAGGGCCGAGGCCTAGCAGCTTTGACACTGGCCCCTTGCTGGCCTCACCCCTTCTGAATGCTTCCCCCAGTCCACAGGCTGTCCTTTGCTCTCGTCGACCATTCCTTTGCTGTGCAAAAGCGTTTTAAGTTTGACTAGGGCCCATTTGTTTGTGTTTGCTTTTATTTCTTTTGTCTTGGGAGACTGATCTAAGAAAATAGTGCTACAATTTATGTCGAAGATTCTTTTGCCTGTGTTCTCTTCTAGGGGTTTTTAGTGTCATGTCTTACATTTAGGGCTTTAAGGCTGTTTGTGTTTATTTTTGTATGTGGTGTGAGGGAATGCTCTGTGATTTAAATGTAGCTACCCAGCTTTACCAACATTGCTGGCTGAAGGGCCCATCTTTGCCACTATATGTTCTTGCTTCCTTTTTCACAGGTTAACAAACTATAGGTGGTAGTGGTGTTCAGTCACTAAGTCGTGTCCGACTCTGACCCCGTGGACTGCAGCACGCCAGGCTTCCCTGTCCTTCACTATCTGCCGGAGTTTGCTCAAACTCATGTCCATTGAGTCGGTGATGCCATCCAACCATCTCATCCTCTGTCCCCTCCTTCTCCTCCTGCCTTCAATCTTTCCCAGCATCAGGGTCTTTTCCAGTGAGTCAGCTCTTCACAACAGGTGACCAAAGTATCACAGTTTCAGCTTCAGCATCAGTCCTTCCAATGAATATCCAGGACTGATCTCCTTTAGGATTCACTGGTTGGATCTCCTTTCTGTCCAAGGGACTCTCAAGAGTCTTCCCCAACACCACAGTTCAAAAGTGTCAATTCTTCAGTGCTCAGCCTTCATGGTCCAACTCTCACATCTGTACATGACTACTGGAAAAACCATAGTGTTGACTATACATACCTTTGCTGTCAAAGTGATGTCTCTGCTTTTTAATACTGTGTCTAGGTTTGTCATAGCTTTTCTTCCAAAGAGCAAGCATCTTTGAAATTTCATGACTACAATCACCATCCACAATGATTTTGGACCCCAGGAAAATAAAGTACCTCACTGTTTCCACTTTTTCCCCATCTATTTGTCATGAAGTGATAGAACCAGATGCTTGAATGCTGAATTTTAAGCCAGCTTTTTCACTCGCCTCTTTCACCCTCATCAAGAGGCTCTTTAGTTCCTCTTCTGTTTCTGCCATTAGGGTAGTTATCATCTGCATATCTGAGATTGTTATTTCTCCTGGCAATCTTGAGTCCAGCCTGTGAGTCATCCAGCTCAGCATTTTGCATGATTTACTCTGCACAGAAGTTAAATAAACCGGGTGACAATATACAGCCTTGAAGTACTCCTTTCCCAATCTGGAACCAGTCCATTGGTCCATGTCCGGTTCTAACTGTTGCTTCTTAACCTGCATACAAGTTTCTCAGGAGGTAGGTAAGGTGGCTCTGGTATTCCCATCTCTTGAAGAATTTTCCAGTTTGTTGTGATCCACAGTCAAAGGCTTTAGCGTAGTCAATGAAGCAGACGATTTTCTGGAACTCTCTTGCTTTTTTGATGATCCAGCAGATGCTGGCAATTTGATCTCTGGTTCCTCCGCCTTTCCTGAATCCAGCTTGTACATCTGGAAGCTCTTGGCTCACGCACTGCTGCAGCCTGGCTTGAAGGCTGTGAGCATCACCTTGCCAGCGTGTGAGATGAGCACAGCTGTGCAGGAATCTCAGCATTTGCTGGCTCTGCCTGTCTTTGGAATCAGAATGGAAACTGACCTTCTCCAGTCCTGTGGCCACTGCTGAAGTTTCCAAAATGTGCTGACATACTGAGTACAGCACTTTCACAGCATCATCTTTTGGGATTTTAAACAGCTCAGCTGGAATTCCATCACCTCCACTACCTTTGTTCACAGTGACGCTTCCTAAGGTTCACTTGACTTCGCACTCCAGGATGTCTGGCTCTAAGTGAGTAATCACACCATCGTGGTTATCTGGGTCATGAAAATGTTTTTTGTATAGTTCTGGGCATTCTTGCCACCTCTTCTTAATCTCTTCTGCTTCCGTCAGGCCCATGCCATTTCTGTCCTTTATTGAGCCCATCTTTGCGTGAAATGCTTCCTTGGTGTCTCTGATTTCCTTGAGGAGACGGATGCCTAGTCTTTCCCATTCTACTGTTTTCCTCTATTGCTTTACACTGGTCACTTAAGGCTTTCTCATCTCTCCTTGCTCTTCTCTGGAACTCTGCATTCAGTTGGGTATATCTATCTCCCCTTTCTTCTTTGCTTTGTGCTTCTCTTTTCTCAGCTATTTGTAAGGCCTCCACAGACAACCATTTTGCCTTCTTGCACTTCTTGTTCTTGGGGATGGTTTTGGTCACAGCTTCCTGTACAACGTTACAAACCTCCATCCACAGTTCTTCAAGGCACTCTATCAGATCTAACCCCTCAAATCTGTTTTCCACTGTATAGTCATAAGAGATTTGATTTAGGTCATACCTGAATGGCTAGTTGTTCTCCCTACTTTCTTAAGTCTGAATTTGAAGTAAATATGTGTATGGGCTTATTTCTAGGTTCTCGATTCTGTTCAACTGATCTGTATGTCTGTTTTTGTGCCAATACTACATTGATTTGATCACTGCAGCTTTACAGTATAGGCTGAAATCTGGGTTATACTTCCAGCTTTGTTCATTATTCTCAGGATTGCTTGGCAATTCGTGTTTTGTGGTTCTATATAAATTTCAGGATTATTTGTTCTAGTGCTGTGGAAAACATCATAGGTGTTTTGATTGTTTGGGGGAGTATGGCCATTTTAACAATATTAATCCTGCCAATCCAAGAGCATGGGATATCTGTCCAATTCTCTGAATCATCTTTAGTTTCCTCTATCAACGTTTTAGTTTTCAGTAATTTGGTATTTCATCTCCCTGGCTAAGTTTATTCCTGGGTTGTTGTTTTAAGTGATTTTGAGCAGGCTCTTTTTTAACTTTCTCTTTCTCATATTATGAGTGTAAAGAAACACAACAGACTTCTGTGTATGAATCTCGTGTTCTGCTGCCTTGCTGAGCTCATTTACTAGCTCTAATAGCTTTTGTGTGGAGACTTTACAGCTCCCCATACAGAGCGTGATCTCATCTACAAACGGGCAATTTCCCTCTTCTCTTCCAATCTGAACACCTCGTGTTTCATTTTCTTGTCTGAGTGCTGTGCCCAGCATTTCCAATACTGCACTGAATAGAAGTGCTGAGAGTGGACCTTCTCTGGCTCCTTTATTGTTTGATTTTTTGCAAGGCAATTCAGACAGACCCCTTGAGGCCTGTTTTAGGGTGGCTTTAGCACAGCCTTACTCTGGGGTTCACCCTGCCCCCCTTTTAAAGCAAGGCCCTTCCGGGGTTTCTGCTTCTCTGCATCAGCCTGCCGTTAGTCAGGGCCTCCCCACTCTGGTTCTGGGGCTGCCCCGCCGCTCCGTGTTCCCCTCCGCCCGCCTCTGTCCAGCCTGTGCACACACAGCTTCAGCTCCAAGGGGAGCCCTCTCCAGATGTCTGGAGCACTTCCTCTGCACAGCTCCCTCCTTTCTGGACTCTGACTCACAAACTCCTGCCGCCTCTGCCTCCCCAGTTCCAATCTCTGTTTCACCAACTCAGTGCAACCACTGCTTGGATTCCCCCTCAAACCACCACAGCCCAAACAGCGCCTACAGGTGGAATTCCAGCACAACCACAGAGCCCGTTTGTTCCCCTTCTCTCCAGGTCAGTCCTGCACTGTTTTCTAACATCTGAAAAGACTAACTTCCTATATCTTGTCCAGTTCTCCAGTTGTTCACATGTGGTTAATTCCAGATCCTGTCACGGCCACATGACTGGAAATGGAAGTCATATCTAAGGCTTCAGATCCTAAAGGCTCTCCTAGACTGAGCTCATGAGCTGGGGTTTTACCCACTGAACTCCCTGGATCTCTTTCAAACAGCTCCAACATTCCAAAAGCTTTAATGTCTCATTTGTTGTTCTCTATAAACTTGTGACAGAGGCAGGATAAGGAATTCCCGTTTTGTATGAAACTGAGGCTTACGCTCCAGAGGCATCTCAGAGTACACTAGTAATAAGGCAGGGCTGGGGTAAAGTCTCTTGTCCTGTGTACCACGCACATCTGATGCCTGCATCTCCAAGGTTTCTCCATCAACTTCCCAGAAGAGGACAGTCTTATTGTCTCAAAGCTTTAGGGCCAAGCAGCCTGTCTCATGGAGAAGGAAATGGCAATCCACTCCAGTATTCCTGCCTGGGAAATCCCATGGAGAGATGAGCCTGGAGGGTTACAGTCCATGGGGTTGCAAAGAGTAGGACAAAACTTAGCAACTATACAACACCGCCTATCTCAAGCAAGATGTGCCTGTGAAACAGCAGTCTTTTTCTCTTACATGACGTGCTCAACACTCATCATAATGTACACTTAAAATGGGCATATCTTATTCTATGAAATTTATACCCTGATAAAATTGTTTTAAAATTACATAATTTTTATGTTGACATTTTAACACATCTATAGGAGAAAGTCTTATTAGGAAAATAACAGCCTTCCTCAGAGGCCTGCACAGTTACTGTGGGTTGGTGTGGACTAGGTGAAGGAGCTGGGCAACATTCCGCTCAGCCCCTGGCTTCACAAAGCTCTCTGGTGACGCAGGTATAAGAGAGTCTACAAAGTGCACCCGGACACCTGCTTCAAGGAGAGCTGTGAGAGCACCCGCGCCAGAACCCCAGACAGGTGTGTCCCAGGGAGGGGCCGAGCCATGCCCGCGGGTGACTAAGTAATGGGGCCAGCGTGGCCCTGCTGACTGGGGCTGGGGGATGCCACAGGCCATGGCTAAGCCCAGCTGCCAAGATGTATAGCCCGGCTATGTGCACAGCAGCCCACAGATGGGCAATGTGGGCATGGGGCATGCTGGTGGGTCACAGGGCGGGTGCTGTGGGAGCTTACATGGTGGGTGCTGGGGTTGGGAAGATCACAGGATGGTGCTGGGTGGTGGGTCACAGGGCAGATGCCGTGGGAGCTTACATGGTGGGTGCTGGGGTTGGGAAGATCACAGGATGGTGCTGGGTGGTGGGTCATAGGGCAGGTGCCGTGGGAGCTTACATGGTGGGTGCTGGAGTTGGGAAGATCACAGGATGGTACTGGGTGGTGGGTCACAGGGCGGGTGCGTGGGAGCTTACATGGTGGGTGCTGGGGTTGGGAAGATCCGAGAATGGGTGCTGGGTGTGGGCTCATAGGGCGGGTGCCGTGGGAGCTTACATGGTGGGTGCCGGGATTGGGAAGATCACAGGATGGTGCTGGGTGGTGGGTCACGGGGCGGATGCTGTGGGAGCTTACATGGTGGGTGCTGGGGTTGGGAAGATCACAGGATGGTGCTGGGTGGGGGCTCATAGGGCGGGTGCTGTGGGAGCTTACATGGTGGGTGCTGGGGTTGGGAAGATCACAGGATGGTGCTGGGTGGTGGGTCACGGGGCGGATGCTGTGGGAGCTTACATGGTGGGTGCTGGGGTTGGGAAGATCACAGGATGGTGCTGGGTGGGGGCTCACAGGGCGGGTGCTGTGGGAGCTTACATGGTGGGTGCTGGGGTTGGGAAGATCACAGGATGGTGCTGGGTGGTGGGTCACGGGGCGGATGCTGTGGGAGCTTACATGGTGGGTGCTGGGGTTGGGAAGATCACAGGATGGTGCTGGGTGGGGGCTCACAGGGCGGGTGCCGTGGGAGCTTACATAGTGGGTGCCAGGGTTGGGAAGATCACAGGATGGTGCTGGGTGGTGGGTCACAGGGCGGATGCCGTGGGAGCTTACATGGTGGATTCCGGGGTTGGGAAGATCACAGGATGGGTGCTGGGTGTGGGCTCATAGGGCGGGTGCTAGAGGGAGGTGCTGGGCGAAGTCACAGTGTGGGTGCTGAGGCGTCACTCTGGTTATGGAAGTTCACACAGTATCTGGCACTAGTATTAAGAAGGGTTACTGACAGGCCCAATTATATAAACATGGTAAATCTCTATTTACTTTTTATTCACTCTCACCGAGATCTTTCCCCAAAGGGATCAAGGTAGCCACAGAATTATTATACAATGCGCTGCCTGAGTACAGACGGCAGAGTCCGAACCTCAGTCACATTCCCCATAGACCAACCAGGTGCCACAGGCCCTGGGTCTCGCGTTACTGAGTCTAGGCGAAGCCCCGCTGCTGCCTGACCCGAGTGTATCGCCCACCTCCCAAGCCCCCATCCCTCACACCGCCATTCACTCAGGCCCAGCAGGCACCCGCCTGTCTTCACTCCACAACGCCCACCCCAAATCAGGTGGGGGCACAGAGTAAGACACTAACCTGTGTCCTCGTCTCACTGACCAGGCTCCCAAACTGCAACATGTGTGAGCTGAAGACAAGACAGCCTCAGAGCCGAGAGCCAGGGCTGAGGGAGCTGCCAGGTCACAGGGACACATTCTTTTTCATAAACCACATTTTTCCAATTGTTTCAGGAAACAAAGTAACAGTCCTACACTGAAGAAATCCTAAGGTACGTTCCCTGGGCCCGCAAAGCTGCTGCAAAGTCTGAGGAGCGCCCCGCCCAGCGCCAGGTCCTCGGGCAGGCTGCCTTCTCCATGTGCAGCGCTGTGTCAGACTCTCAGGCCATCAGGTTTCAGAGCTTCCCAAGGGGTTAAAATGAGTGAGGAAAATAGTCCTTAAGGCCTCCCAGCAGACGTAAATTCAGCCCAGACACTCTGAGCGCCCCCGTCTCCAACAGCAGACACACGCCTTCCCCAGTCACCAGCAATGGCCATGGAGGGCTAGCTGGGCTCTCAGGGGCTGAGGACCACCCGGCTCGGGGAGGCGGGGCTGAGAGGCCCACGGGGAGGACCGGCGAGGCGCAGCCTGGAGCCAGAGGCGGAGGAGCTCCAGGAGTGCGCCCAGCCCTGCAGGGCCGGCCACTGAAGGGGGGCCCTGAGAGCACAACGGGGGCTCGTGCACTGGGAGCCCCAGTAAGCGCGCACAGGGCCCTGGCGTTCAGACAGCCTGAAACAGAAGGGGCCATCTAACACTATTCTTGCTCATGCCAGCGTGTCCCAGCCTCTTTGGCAATTCAGCCCCCTGGGACTGCCACCTCTCCACACAGAAACTCTGAGGTCTTCTCAACAGTCCAGAAGATGCTGGGCTAACCCAGAGACCCACAGTGCCCAACACAACTTCTTGTCAACATGACGCCACTGGGGATGAAGGAGGCCTTCTGGCTGGGCCAGGGCAGCTCGGCACTTGAGAAGCCTGTCCTCCGGGGGCGGGGGGCAGGAAAGGCAGGAGGAAGCCAGGGCAGAGCAGCTGCACACACAGCCGCCTGTTACTCAGAGGCCTTTGTAAAAACACCAGGAGCAGCACAGCCCTGCAGGCCCAGGCTGACACTAAAGCAAATCTTGGAAGGAGGAGGCTGGGCCCGCGGGCGGGGCAGCCACATGTGAGCGGGAACACGTGACCTCAAGCGGGTATCCCACTCCTCCCACCCCCAAATACTCAGAAGATGCACTCCAAGGCTTGCAAGATCACCACCCACAGATACAACTTAAGTGTGAAATATTTATACTGCAATAAGTCACCTGAAAGATAATATTTTATTAAAACTCATCCAATAAATCCATTTCTATAAAAACAAATCAGAAATCCTCAACTATTAACTTAGCAGATACTAGCTTTTAGAATACCTATTCTTAATACCTATTCTGAGGGGCTTCCCTGTAGCTCAGATGGTAAAGAATCTGCTTGCAGTGCAAGTGACCTCAGTTTGATCCCTGGGTCAAGAAGATCTCAGGGAAAAAGAAATGACAATCCACTCCAGTCTTCTTGCCTGGAGAACTCCATGGACAGAGGAGCCTGGTGGGCTACAGTCCATGGGGTCACAGAGAGTCGGACACGACTGAGGAACTAACGCTAACTACACTACTGCTGCTATTCTTAAGATGATGGAGAAAACACAAATAAGCAGGAAACATTTACACACAGAGGCTTCTCTGGTGCTCAGTGGTAAAGAATCCATCTGCCAATGCAGGTAATGATCCCAGGGTCAGGAAGATCCCCTGGAGAAGGGAATGGCTACCCACTCCAGGATTCTTGCCTGGAGAATTCCAAGGACACAGAAGCCTGGTGGGCTACAGTCCAGGGGGTCGCAGAGTCGGACATGATTTAGACTCAACAACACAACAACAATTCACACACAACAACTCACCCAAGACCGAAGTGCAAGAACTCATTTCAATTGAGACCAGGGACAGCCCATCTTCAGAGGAGAGATGGGGACAGCCCATCTTCAGAGGAGAGCCATGGCGTCACCAGTGAAGGGAGCAGCCTGTAGACCTCGGAGCTGAGCTGTGACGCGGCCAGCTGTCCCAGACACCAGGGAGCAGCCGGTCCTCCACAAGCCTGCCCCACCCCCCACCCACCACATCAGAGGGGACGCACCCACAGCTCAAGGCGGGGAGGGGTGAGCTCTTTAGGTCCTCTAGGGGCAACAGCCCAAAGCTGCTGTGTGAAGAGGAATGTGTACAACTACCTTTCTCCTCATACCTGGTCTGTTTTCTCTTCTAAGGATTCAGGATGTTCCTGTTGTGTTCCATCCACCTCACGAGTTTCTAAAGCCCAAGAAGATGAGGTCTAAAATCAGACTGAAAACAGCATCCTGGCTGGAGTCAGTGGCCTGAGCAGCTTCTCTCCTCTGGCCTCTGGAAGACAGCCAGCCAGGCCAGGCAGGCATCAGCCACAGGCAGGGAGACCTCCAGGACAGACCCTCACCAGATAGAGCCCAGGCTTGCTCTAAGCGAGCACTGCACACACGTCTGCCCCGGGGGAGCAAGGCTGCCCACCAGAAACGCTTCTGCAACCTTTGGAAACCAGCTTTCAGATTCCAACGTCAGAAAAGGATTCTCCCCTTAGGAACCAACCACCAAACTGAGGAGGAACTGCTATCTACACCTTCCAAGGCAAAGACTGTGGGGCTGGGAGAAGGTGCAGAGGTGAGGCACACTGGAAGCCCTTCGGCCGGCTCTCCTCTGCCAGCAGTCTACGCTGACTGTTTGCAGGCAGTGACCCACCATGTGGACCAGCTGATTTTGAAAGAGAAGATGATAGCAAACACTAGGCGGAGTTCACTTTTTAACCTGCAACGCTTTCTGTAAAAGCCAGACAGCACCTTTGAGTCTGCAAACCTGACGGCCACTGTGGCAATGGCTCGGCCCTGCAGTGGTGGCACAATGCAGCAGACACATGACTGATGAGGGTGGCTGGGTTCCAGTAAAAGTTACTACAAAAGCAGGCAGAGCTGAGTCGGCCCATGCGCCATGCTAAGCTCAGCCCTGGTCTCTGAGGCCGTAGGCTGCGGCCTATCCCCAGGATGGCAAGTCCCACCAAGGCACCACAGACCTCAAGGGTTTCAGGGAAACCTCAACGTTTCAACCCCACTTGGAAAGCCAAAGCAGCACGTCCACCAAGCACCGCGGGGCTCCTGCTACAAGCCAGGCAGTGTGGAGAGGCGCAGCCGGGGAGACCAGACTAGATGCTCGGAAAGGTCTCCCTGAGGTCACGACTCAAACAACGCTGTTGGGGGCTACCAGGCAACAGGCAGCATCTTCCACACCCTCCTTCACACACCGACCACCGCGTCATCCTGCCACCCCTCTCTGCAGCACGCCTCTGACCTGCACTCCTCCTCCCTACAGATGAGGTGAAAACCAAAGCGACAAAGCCCACCCTGCACGGCACTAAGCGCTCCAACAGCCAGCCCAGACTGGAGCTCAAGCCCCAGGCACCTCCCAGTGACCCAGCCCCGCCCGAGTCAGCACTACAGCGCAGGAAGGCCGCCTTGCTGTCAACCTTTATAAAAGACTTTTTACAGAGTTTATTTTAGGCTTTTACTTATATTAAAGTTCTGTGTGCATATGTCTGTGTATTATGCATTCTGTCATTTTCAGCAAGGCATTCTCTACTGTGCTCCCGGAGGTACCAGGTCTCCAAGGCCCACCTGGAGAAAACAGCAGAGAGCAGCCCAGGGCCCCGCACTGGGAGGACCGAGAGGAAACCACACGTGTGCACGTGCACTGCTGACCTGTGCCGTGTGCCGGGCCCTGCCCCTGCACCCACGTGAGCTCTGGCGCCACACACCGACGGCGAGACCACCGGAAAGTGGACGGGACGCCCCACTGCCACATAACAACCTCAAGCCCCTCAGCCACAGGCAAATGTAACATGCTCCTGTTTTGACCTTAGAAGCCTTTGTTCCTACAAGAAACAGTCTACTGAATCCCGAGCGTGGTGCTGTTTTCTTATGATTAACCCATTTTGGTGTTTTATAAATTATATATCTAGTAGAAGACTTCCTGATGCTAAAAGAATTATAATTTATCCTTGAAACATTACAAATGAGCCACTGCTTTTTCCCACATGGCTCCTTCGTCAAACTCTAATGTCATCCTTGGAAATCCTCAAAGTCCACCCAAAGAAATGAGTAAAATGGAATCAGAAAACTGTCAGGGGCATACACAGTTCTGTGTGGACATAAAACGAACAATCCTGGGCTGCCAAGGCAGTCTTGTGCTATTCAAAATTTGGAGCAACTAACCACACAATCAAGCTTAAATTTAAGATTCAGTTAGCCCCAACTGGGGAGCACAAGAGCAACATCCCAGGTTCCAGGGACAGTGCCAGCCACCAAAAGGCCATACAACACAAGAGCACAGGAAACCTCCTTCCCATGGCCAAAGAAGACAGTAAAGATGAAACCTCCCTTTTCCCGCTGCACTAGGGCTGACACGGTGCAAACAGGGAAAGCTATGCAGCACCTTGCTACCCCCCACCAGCACCCCAATAGACAAGGGTCCATCCAGTGTCAGCCAACCTCCGCAACTCTGCTGAGTCGGAACTACTGCCACTGGCAAACTACTGCCGCTGATGCTGGACTCCCTTGTGGAGGACTCACTGAGCTACTGGCCTTTTGCAGAAAGTGTTTCTCCTTGCAGTCATGCTCTGGCATGAGCCTGGAGAAAGCACAAGCATCTGCACCAGGTGCTGAATCCCCAAAGTAAAATGCAGCTCCAATCTCCCAACGACATCCCAGCACAGGGTGGAAAAGAACTATCATAAAAAATCTTTTAAATAAAAGAGAAACAACACAAGTAGCCCATTTAGAATCTTAAGTTCTCACTCATCAACACAGTCGTGTTTGCTAGAGGTGGCCTCGGAGCAGCATCTGCGCCCTGGCACCACTGCAGGCCTGTCCTGAGGCCGCACGCACGCCCTCGGGCCTAACGACACAACTGACCCCAGATGGTGCCGGGCACTCCCAGGAATTAGGACCACCCCAGTGAGGACAGCCACCTGACAGGACTTACAGCATCTCTGCGAGAAGAATGAGGCCAAGTACCGCGCATCTCAGGTTTTGGGCACATCGCCAAAAATGTCTTTTGCAGCATCAATCCTGTGCCAGCCAGCCCGTCCCCGGGGAAAGGCCCCCAGAACATGTAGTGACCCCCCATTCCCCGCCCCCCGAGCTCATGCCACCAGGGCTGGGACTCTACCTCAGAGATGAGCCCTGGTGCACACCCAAGCCTATTCCCCAACCCCAGCTCTTCAAAGTTGCTCCTCAGAATCTCTGGCCTCCCCAAGGGGCCACCTCTGGTGCCATGGAGCTCCCTGCAATGATGCCAAGCCCAGACCCTGGCCCGGCTCCAGACCCCAACACCCCATGACCCTGGCAAGCGCGCATTCTCCTCTGGCCTCAGAAGCCCCATCTGGACCATGTTCTGGTACGCTCCAGGTCAGTACTCCACAGCTGCCGGAGACATTAGGACTGGATGCGGCCCTTGGAACGAGCTGGCACAAAAGCAGGTTCCCCCACAGGTCAGAGACGGGCCTGTTATTCAGAAATGCAAAAAGCGCCCCTTCACAGTGCTGGCATCAAGAAGCTGTGCAGAACAAACCATATGTCACCAGTCAACTTTCTTTTACTCTGCTGTACGCTGAACGCAATTACAAAGCAATATTTTTTATTTAAAAACATGAGTATTTTTGTGGAAAATCTGCTACTTGTTGTCATTAAAATAAACTGTTGTGATGTACTAAAGCTTCACTGTCTTCTCCTAACTCTTTGTCACTAGAAGGATGTAAAATGACTCTAGAACCAGAAGAAACATCCCCACTCTGTCACAGAATTATCACCAACACAGATGACCAAGAAATAGTAAAACCAGACTCTGATGCACTGAGCCCCCTGACTTCAGGAGGTCCCAGTCTGTGATTCAGGATGGCGCAGGGCCCTCCACAACGAACCTGACTGATCAAGCCAAAGCATCTGCTGCTTAGTTTGGCCTGTCTACCTCTCAGGTGATTTCTAAACATTTTTCATCAAAAGACCAGTTTAAGAACAAAAAATAACCTGAGAAGAATGAAGTGAAGTTCCCAAAAGCTTTGAGGAAATTAAAATACCCCTCCATCTCTCTGGGCTCTGTTCACTCCAGTCCGTCCGTCACAGCTCCTGCTCCTCCTCCCTGTCCTCCTCCTCCTCCTCGTCAGCCATGCAGCCCTCAGACTCCTCTTCCTCCCGAGCCAAGAGTTTCTTAAAAACCTCAAACTCCTCAGCAGAAGACATCGCTGTTCTGGCCAGAAACTCAGCTTCCGAAACTCTGAGGATGTCCTTAAGTAAAGGGTTGGGGACCTGTGTCTGCCCCTTCTTGTCAGGGGTCTGGTACCGGCCCAGTCGCTCCAAGAACATGTGCCTCTGCTTGGTCTTGGTCATGGAGTACTGCAGGAAGTCCGTCTTCACAATGTCCACGTGTTTAATCCCCATCCTGAAATAGGCATACTGGAGACACAGACATGGTTAGGAAGGCAGCTGCAAAAAGCCTGGTAGGTTCCTAAAGCACAGCCAACTGTGACTGTCCAAAAGCACTTGGAGAAACCTGACTAGTCAGCAACAGCAGAGCAGTAAGATCCCCAACATCTGCATGATGGCCGAGAGCTTTCAAAGCATTTTCAAATTTATATCGAGAAAAATGCAGCAAAAAATAAAGGGCAGGAAGGAGAAATTAAGTCCTACTTTTCTTCATGGGGTAAGAAAAACTGGGAGCATGAAAAAAATAGGCAAACAATTCAGAAAACATCTAGGATCTGACCTAAGTCATCAAATTGTTACCGAAAACTTTAGAACAATCTTCATACTTACATTTCTAAGATCAACATGAAAAACAGATTCAAAAGAAAGGAAGGTTCTAGCTAATTTTAAATTAGGTATTTCAAGCAGAGGTCTCATATGAAGTCTAAGAACGGGCCTGAGTCATCCATTATTAATGGCAGAAAAGTTGCAAAAGATCTTTTACCTGTAGCAAAGAAGACTCAAAGCCGAATTCTCTGGCTGGTGTGAACCAAGAGGGTCTAATCCTGACCTTGTCTGCTTGCCCAGGTGAGTCAGCTGACCCTGACTACACTGGAAACCCGCTGCCACCCATCACACCACCAGTCATTCTTACCTGAAATTTGTATTCCAGCTCACCAGGGTCCTCCCGAAGAACATGCGGGCACCTGTGCAAAATCTCGGTGACTTGCTTCACAGTGAAAAGGCACTTCTCCTTCAGGACCCCGACGATGACTTCAACGTCCCGCTGACGCATGGTGAAAAGGTCAGGGCAACCGTAAAGTGCCCGCTTTAACTTCCCTGTAGACCATTAAAAAGGGCAGGTACATCATTGTAGGATATTCCAGAAACCCAAGGGGCCAACCACACCTAAATCGAGCCAGAATTTAAAAACAAACAAGGATCCTCTCCTCTACAGAAGGAGTGTGGCTTCAGATGTGTCTTCCCAGGAGCACTGTGGAAACACAAGGGGCCAGAATGGCTCAGCTCCCGTGACTCCCGTACACTTCTCAGACTCCCCAGTCCCCCCTCGCTGAGGCCTCTTTCAGGCTTCCCAGCTGAAAGGCACCTGCTTCATATGCTAGGTCCCCTCTTGCCCTCCTCACCTAGAAAAGACTTTCACAGGGATTTACTGGAAAAATCAGACAGGAGGATTGGACAGCAGCTTCCTGCATGTTGGGGCTTTGTATTCATGTTTCCTCCTGTAATAAAATAGTCCTTGAAACATTCACAACCAACATCTTAAGACCTAGGAGCTGGAACGCAATGAAAAGTGGTTCCACAATAATAACGTAATAATGGTAAGAATCCTGATGCACAAGACTGATCTCCAGGTTAGTAGAGTGATTGCAGGTTTTATCCACACTAAGGCACTTCTGAGGGACAGAGGCTCTACTAGTAACTGCATTAGGAAAATCGGCATAAACTGAGACTATCCCAGGCAAACTGGGGCATGTGGCCTTCCTATAGATAACTGAGTAAAACTCAGTACCTAGAAACTGGAAACCACTTAAATAAACTGTTAAATTTCCCTAACAGTTGAGTCAGTGTCTTGATAAAACATACTCAGGAATGAATTTCAGGAGTTTAGTGTTTATCTTTGCAGCTTAAGGTCACGCTGAGCTTGCTAATTTATAATGAAGACACATAAGGTGTTAGGGTTTCCCAGGTGGTGCTAGTGGTAAAGAACCCACCTGCCAAAGCAGGAGACAAAAGAGATGTGGGTTCAATCCCTGGGTTGGGAAGATCCCTTGGAGAAGGAAATGGCAACCCACTCCAATACTCTTGCTTGGAAAATCCCATGGACAGAGGAGCCTGGTGGGCTACAGTCCCTGGGGCTGCAAACAGTCGAACACGACTGAAGCAGCTGAGCACAAGGAAGGTGTTAGGTTGAGCCTTTCAGATTATACTGCAAGAGGTCATCTGTTAAGAGAAACACACACCATTACCTTTTGCTCATCTTCTAGAGAAGAGAAGGAGGCCTGTAGAGATCCTCTGAAATTTGGATTCCCAACCTTTTCTCCCCTTTCCCCATCCCCAACAATATTCTACCAACAAGAGACAAGAATGAACAAAACAGTGGAATTCCTCTGGTGAAAGTGGGTAGGGATCCTTGGAGATCCTCATGATGCCCCACCCTCCTCCTCCAAAAAAGCCCATTAAGAGACCCAAATGGACTTCCCCGGTGGTGCAATGGAATTAGAATCTGCCTGCCAAAGCAGGGGACACAAGTTCGAATTCGGGAAGATTCCACATGCCTCAAAGCAACTAAGCCTATGCACCACAACTACTGAGGCTGCGTGCTGCAATTACTGAAGCCTGTGCACCTAGAGCAGAGCTCGTGCTCTCAAACAAGAGAAGTCACTGCAATGAAAAGCATGCACACTGCAACCATAGAGCAGTCCACACAGCAATGAAAACCCAGGGCAGTCAAAAATAAAATTAATTAATTAATTTAAAAGAGAGAGAGATCCAGTGAGCTTTCAGGATTTGGGAAGTGTGAATCCTGTGGGGTGGGGATGATGGCTGGGGAACGGCCACTCCACCTGTCCCAGAAATCTGGAAAGATTTCACATTTCACATTAAATGAAGACACCTGACTGGACTCCAAGCCTTTACGGGGAACTCTAAGTCTCTGGCGTCACATCAGAGAGACAGACACAAAGCACTGAGCCCACCCCGAGTCAATTAAATAGCAAAGGGCACATACATACACATGAGCCAATGCCCACAGCCCGTGCCCACCACCGCCGCTCTAGATGCCAGAGCCCCCACAGTGAACACACCAGACAAGAGTCCGGGTAGGCCACTCAGCTCCCCATCCCTCCTGCAAGGCCCTCTGCAGAGGTCACTCTGCCTCCTCACCTCTAAGCCAAATCACACATTCCTCTCAAGGACCTCCCCCCGCCCCCCGCCAGAAGCCTCCTGAATCCAGCTCACCAGGCTATTCGGTCTCCAGCTCTGACTCCTCAGTACTACATATAAAATCCCCACCAGCTCATACCTTCTCCAAGGCCCAGCTTTCGCAGGTAACTGGAGCGCTTCTTCATTTGCATCACAGGCAGTTTCAATAACTGAGGACTTTTCTTCAAGGCCACATACACAGGCTCTGGATTCAGACCCAAAAGTACTAATTCTGAAATGATGTCCAGCATCTGTTGAGGGTGGGTACCTGGCTGTATGCTGAGCAGTTCATTAACATGGACATCACTGAAACCCATGTCGAGGAGGGAACTGACAACGTTCTCTTGCGACACAGGAGTTCTCTGCTTCTCAAGGAGGCACTGAGTCAGCCCTGTTCTGTGCTCCGCTTTGCGTGCACATTTTGGGGGGTCAACAAAGGATGACTCTTCAAGGCCCCCTCCACTGGAGACTGTCATTAGTTTACGCAACAAAAAAGCAGTCGTCCTTTTCTGTTCTCCAAGCTGCCGAGTCGGCCTAGTGAGGAGGGCCCAGGTAAGGGGGGTCAGGCGATGCCAATCAAAGACCTGTAAGACACAAAGGGAATGAATTCCTCGTCACACCAATGCAATGAACACCACAGGATTTCTGAGTCAGGGTATTTAGCTCCTTGGTCCCACACAAACATAAGTTTTTATAAGCAATCTGCAAAGTCATAACTGGACTTTAAAAGCCTACAGAGAAGTTCATGTACAGAGAACAGACTTTGCAGAAGCATAGATTTGCTTTTGCAGTTATAACTGGGGACAGGGACAAGGAGGGATTCGGAGAACAATTTCAAGGCCACCAGGTAAAGCATACCTTGAGGGGTGGGGGGGTCCTCTACCTGTTCATTGTTGGGGGGGGCTACAAATTTAGCTGAGAGATTAACAAGAAGAAAAATGTTTATTTATATGTGTATGTTGATTCAGGAAAGAGGTAGCTCCCTAAATGACTAGAGTTGGGGGCCAATGGGGGAGGAAGGTTTCTAGAGGAAGAACAAACGGGAGGGCTCTTCAGGGAACAAGTGGGAGCCCAGAAAGTTTGTGACAATGTTTATGTTGATACAAGGGGTCATCCCTCTTTTTTTTCCTTCAAGGCAGTATAACTCCCCAGGAGAAGGGCTCTATGGCCCCCTCACTCCTGGAAGGTTCTGCTTTTAATGAGATAAGGGCCGCTCCAAGCTGGCTTCTTTGAGTCTCTGCTTAATCTCAAACGTCTTTAGCTTAAAATCATTTCTGTGCCAACTCTGGGGTCCGAGTCGGTACCCACATCTGAAAACTCTGTATCTCGTACCCGTTTCCAGGTTCACCTAAGTGCATTCATTCCACAAACGGAATGCCGTTAGCCTGTCAGCACACTACACAGGGTTCCCGTTTACCTCACAACTCTTCAGGGGTCTGGCCCGCGCGCCACCAACAAGGCCCAATCCCCAGGTCCTCAACGCCCCTCAAGACGCGTCCCAAAGCCTCCCCAGCGCCCTCGGCCGCCGCGCCCTCGCCCTCAGCCAAGCACGCCCGCTCGGAGCGCCCGTCTCCCCTGTCGCCCCGTCAGTGGTCCAGCCGCGGGTTCGGGCCAGCGCCGGCGGCAGGGCGGGGTGGGGACAATGGGCTAAAACCGCACCAACGTGGCGGAGAGCGCCGAAGGTCGGGATGCCACACCAGGTCGGCACGCGCACACCCCCGCGACCCGCCAGGAGCCCAGGAACGCGGCGGCAGCTCACCTGCCGAGCCAGCGCCGACATAGCGCGGAAGCTGCGACGGCACCGCTGGCGCCGGAAGCAGCGCTCTCCGAACCCGCTGCTGCCGGAAGCAGCGCTCTCCGAACCCGCTGCTGCAGCCCTCCCGCGTCCGTCGCTTCCGCCCTCCCCCTCGCAACGCAAGCGCGAGGGAGGCAGTTCCTCCCGACCCTTCTCCACCTGTGTCCGGCCGTGGGCGTTGGCCAGAGTCTTGCGCGCCTCGCCCCACGCCTGCACCGTGGGCTCCCAGGCCACGGCTTCCCTGCTTCGTGCCCACTCTGCCGGGATTCCCGCTTTCCGGAGCTCCTGGCTGGCACAACAAATGAACAGCCCATTCCCCACACGCTCGCTTCCCATAAGAGAAAACTGTAACCTCGGCTCAAACCGGCCGCCCCCCTGGTCCAGAGAAAGTAGGTTAAGGCAGAGACTGGGCGGTCTGAGTAAAATGGAATCGTCCCAGGTGAAGTTATGTAAGATTTGATGTGGAACCTGTATCCACTAACAATACTAGTGTCAAGTGCAGTGAGAATGGAGTGATCACCAGGTTCCAGATGGGGCCTGGCGGCCGCGGAGCACCTACTCTCAGCCCCTCTCCGACTCTGAGAAGTTAGAACTGTGCCAGACCCAGGGACGCCCCCGGCCTTTCCAGAGCAGCACCTGCCAGGAGCAGCCTATGGTCTCGGGAGCTCCCCTTCCAGCTAAGCGACCGTCTCAGACTGCAGCCCGTCCTTTGCTGACAAGCGCCTTGACGCCTTGCCAGCTCCAATTACAATTCTTGATAAACACACACATATGCTAGAGGTGTTTAAACCATCCAAAGGAACTCCAGAAGTCTTTACAGTTTTTCTTTTAAAAAGGTCCTCCCAACTTAGAGGTATGATTTCCTTCTGGGATGAAATCTAGTAATGCTTCAGCCTAATTTGCATTCATTCTTAAATTTTGGATATAGACCTGTAATTGTTCAGGTATAGAAACTGGGTATCTTTCAAAAGGGGATAGTGGTGAAAAAGAACAAAAAAGTGTACTTTCTCAGCTGCCTAAACTCCATCAATTTTAAGTCCAAACCTTAATTTGTAAGCATTTCTTGTTTTATCTACTTGTTTCTGAACTGAGGAAAAGGACTTAATATTTGCATGGATACAGTTTATAAAGTACCTTCTCTGGGCCAGGCACCAGACTGGGTGCTAAAAATGTATCTTTTCACAAAAAGATGATATCAATAAAGAGGAAGGTTGTAAACCATGTAGAACTCAAGAAATGGTTCTGTTTCTGTTGATTTGCTTTTTTACCCTGATTTTCTCCTTGAAATATGCAGCTGTCAGAACTGCAAAACAGATCACGGTAATGCTTTTACACCCAAAGCCTAAGAACATCCTTGTGTGCCTCCCTGGAAGGAGTCACAGAACCTAATAGGTGTCTAGGTCTAGAAACAGTAGTGGCTGGCGTGCAGGGATCACTCCAGAACGTCAGTGGCAACTTCAGTGCTCTGAGAAAGCCTTGCTCTTTGGAATCTTACCTGTAATGTGGGGAGGAAAATTTTTCAGCATCTGCCTCAAAACTTTTCTGCCTGGATTCTTTCTGCAGAGAACACTCTCAAAGTGTTCAGACTTTCCTCTGCCAACAAATCAGGTGAGTTTTAGTTATTTTTCTTAGACAGAACTAACAGTTCTTGGAGACCTAGAACTTTGCATTCTCAGCCCATTGCACACCTGTCTGAAAAAAGCATTGTGTAACTTCTTCTGTATTATAAGCATCATAGAAACTACAAAGGAAAATATTTGGGTTTTTTTTTAAACTTTGAAGAGTTCTTAGAATATCATAAGACTTATTTGATTCTGAAGAGTAAATGTCACTAACTTACTACAGACTTTGAAAACTACACTTCTAAAAGTCCTGCCTTTACTGTCCCTGCTGGACAAAGGAAGGGCCCTCGTCATCTCTTGAGATGTCAGAGACACTCAGGCAGCACTTCCTAAAGAGAAGGGATGGTGACATCCTATATCCCAGAAGTTGAGAATAAAATGAACTGTCATCAAGACAGCTGCATACTTCCTAAACAAACACTGGAAACTGGGCGCAGGATTACACCAGAGGCAGGCTGGTCCTGAGCATCTTCTTGGTCCTCTGGGCAGGAGCCTCGGCCCTGGCAGAGAGTGAGGACATATGGGGAAAGGGGTACTGGGACCTTGAGTTAGGTTTTGTTTCCTCCCTGCTATTTGAGCAGGGGGGGAAATGAAAGGTTTCCTTCTAACCCCAACCGCTCTCTCTCCTCCAAAACATATACAAAATAGAGGCTGAATTTCAGATTAGGGTGGATTGGAGCCTAGAGGGAAGGAGTCATCTGAGTGTGTGAGAGCTGCACTGGGACCCGATCGGGACTGGGAGAGGGACCCTCAGGGCCGGATGCCCCCACATAGTCACGGGGTGGGGGAGATACCCCCCACATGGTCACAGGGGGCTCCCTGGGGTCAGACACCCCCACATAGTCACGGGGTAGGGGAGACACCCTCCCACAGTCATGGGTCGGGGCTCCCTGGGGCCAGATGCCCCCAGATAGTCACGGGGTAGGGGAGACACCCTCCAACATAGTCATGGGTCAGGGATCCCTGGGGCCAGACACCCCCACATAGTCACGAGTGGGAGGTCCCTGGGGCTGGATACCTCTGCATAATCATGGGGTGCTGAGGTGCTGGGAGGAGCTGTGGTGGACAGCAGAGCAGAGATAGATGATGGGCCAGCCCTGCTGAGCTCTGCACAAGGAGAAGGGGATGGCTGACACACCACACCCTCCAGTCTCCTTAGACTGGGCAAGCTTCAGAGACTTGCTGGGTGCACCCACAGGAGGGAACCCCAAGCTGACCAAGGCGGAACCTCTCTCCAGCTGTGGCACGTGGAGACACACAAATGGAAAAATAAGGAAATGAAGTGCTTCCCATACTAGCACTGCAGAAGAATTCACGTGGTCCAAGTCAGGGTAATTGCTGACTAATAAAACTGCTTTAATTTGGAAAACGTTCAAGGAAATAAATTAAAAACAGTTTGGTCATTTGGCGAACAGTTCTCCACACTCCATGTATCAGACAAGCATACACCAAGTCAGAGGAAACAGAAATGCAGGCGCATATACAAAAGGTCAAAGAGAATTAGAAGCCTCTTATATAACTTTTGGAAATTCACAAATGAAAAGCCCTTTAATAGTACAAAACTCAAACACTAGAATGTTTTTTCAAGGCCATGAAAAAAAATGAATTCCAAGTCTATTTGTAAACCTAAAATAGTACAGCATCACTGGCTTTTGTTCTAACAGATGAGTTTTTAGAAAGTGAACTTGGCCGAATTCTTGAGCACTTACTCTCTGAATGGAAGGGGCCTGAGAATGCCATGCCTCCCTAACCGAGTGCCGGAGAGCAGCAGGGAGCCGGGTCACCTGGCGCTCTGGGTCCTGCCCTGCTGCACGAGGGCCGGTGGGACTCCAGGGCCCGAGCGGCAGCACTCGGGCTCCTGCCATCCAGCTCCAGACCGACGGTGGACAGAGCTCTGCTCTCTGAAGGAAGAGAAAGGTAGGCTGCATCAGCTGCCAGTGACACGGTTCTGAAACCCTTGGCTTCCCTCTGGAGGAATTCTGAAGAGCAGAAGGCGCCAGAGGAACCCTGCAGAACCCACCCAGCGTCGTTCGAGACTTGCTGGACGCCGCTGCTGTGCTGGGGCTGCACATCCAGAGCCACAGACACGGCCTCCTGAGCAGCGGACCCCGGACGCACAGGGCCACTGCTGCCCATCGCGGACCCCGGCTCCCTCACCGTCCGCTCTCCTCCTACCCTTCGGCCTGCTCTGACCATCGCCAGTGGCACTTCCCAAACCCTCTCCCTAGCCCTCCACCTCAACTGTGGGTTCGTCCTTGTCACGGGCTCCCATGGGCGTCGCCCACCTTCTAAGGCCCCAGGGGTATTCAGGGGCCTCTGGAGTCCAGCTCACAGGCAGCAGGCTAGCCCTGGGCCCTCACCTTCATGTCCAGGGCAGCGCGGAGGAGGGAGCCCCCCACCCCCAGACCCAGGGAGCAGCCAAGACCCCCTCCCCCACAGGGCGCGGGCTGCACCGCTCACCTGGCTTGTTTACCCGACACACCTCCTCCCAGGTGTAGTCAGCCAGGTTCACGGGCTGCGTCACCCAGGGGTCTGTCACCAGCTTCTCCAAGGTGGTGCGCTGCTCAGGCACAGGCTGAAGCAGCCCAGACATGAGGTTCATGAGGTCTGGGGACAGAAAGGCATGTGGTCAGAGGGCTGGCGGTGGCCCGGGCTGGGAGTGGGTGGCACGCTGAACGAGTGCAGGGCCTGGGCTGAGTGGACAGGAGGGGCCTGGACCCCCACTTCTGACCAGCACCGCGGGGCTTCTGAAAGGCAGGATCCCCGGCTATGCTTCCGGAAGGGCTACGGGACGTGTGTGTGGCTCCAAAATGATAGCACTCGAACTCCCAAGCCACTCACTACAGCAGCGTGCGGCAGCCCTGACGTGTGCTGCCCTCTGGTGCTCTGGGGACACACAGCTGTGGACACAGGGATCATGTGACAGGGCAGGGGAGGTAGGTGGCCAGCCGCGGAGCCCCAGTCTCTCCCCACAGGAAGGGAGCACAAGCGCTGAGAAGAGCCCCAGCCTTGAGTCTGGATCTGGTTCCCATTTTCTTTAACAGTGTGGGTGTCACCTCAACCAGGGCCACTCCAGACCTCAGTGCCCGGGTGAGTGTCCTGAGAGTCCAGGGGGCAGAATTCGGAGCAGCCCACTCCCCCCCCCAATGCAGGTGGAGCAGCACCCTCCCCAGCCCCAGGATGGAGCAGACCCCCACGGTGGGGCAACCCTGGAAGGTGCAGCAGTCCCCCCCCAAGAGTAGAGCAGCCCCCCAAGCCCCACGCCAGGGTGGAGCAGCCCACTCCCACCCCCTGAGGGTGGAGCAGCCCCTCAGAGTAGAGCAGCCCCCCCAAGCCCCGCCCCAGGGCGGAGCTGCCCACTCCCACCCCCCTGAAGGTAAAGCAGCCCCCCCAGGGTGGGACAGCCCCGGAAGGTGCAGCATGAGGCTGCTAGAGCCCCCCTATCACGGGGATCCAGAACATTAGGAAAGCTCTACAATTCTTCCAGGCCGCTCTAGACTAAACTGTGCCCCCTGCAGATTCCCAGTGTGATGATATTAGGAAGTGGGGCCTTTGGGAGGTGAAGGAGTTCAGATGAGGTTGTGCGCCTGCCCGCCCCCCCAACACACACAGCATCAGTGCTTATCAGCAGAAGCATCAGAGGGCCTGCCCTCTCCTGTCTCTGCCCCGTGAGGACACAGAAAGAAACAGCTGTCTACCAGCCAGAATCCGCCAGCACCCTGACCTCAGGATCTCCGCCTCCAGAAATAAACGTCAGTGCTATAAACCTCGGCCTGTGATTTGCGGGCATGGCAGCCCGAGCGGACTGAGACTTGGGCCTCCAACCTGAGCGAAGAACCCAGGGAGAGGCCTGACGCCTGAGGGCGCCCGTCACCTCACCACCTGTGACAATGAATGATTACTCTGGGATCACATGTCGCGACTGGGAGACCTCAGAACCCCGGTCCGGCTCCCTGGAGCTCCTCCTGGCGTGGGTCTGAGGGGCCCATCCAGGCCCACCAGCAGGGATCGGCACTGCAGGTGCAATGCCAACCTCGTAGCTCTGCGGGGAGCCAGCTCACAGGAGCTCCAGGTGGGAACCCTGGTTCCACATGAGGGGCTGGGGGCTCAAGTCCATCCTCCCCCTCCCCATGGCCATGGTCAGAGGCTGCTAATGTTGTGTCCCTCAGAAGAGAGCCACTCTGGTCCAAACTTCCCTAAGATCAGTCGTGACATCTTAAAGTCACATCCAAATGGCCCTTGCATTCAGATCAAAGTCTAAGAGGAATAGAAGAGAGAGCGAGCCGGCTGTGCCTGTGTGGGCGATACCGCGCACTGCTCTGAGATGGGAGCCAGCCCAGGACGTCCACCCGTGCGAGCTCACCTTCTGACACCAAGTACGGGGGGTTTATCGCGGCCTCCATGGTCTCCTCCAGCTCGCAGAAGGGGTTCTCCTCAAAGATCAGCGTGTACAGCGTGACCCCCATGGACCACATCTCCAGCTCCGGCCCCCGGTACCTGCCGGAGGAAGAGGAGGCACTCGGGGCACTGGGCCAGCCCTACACGAGAGCCAGGACCCTGCACATCACCCAAGAGCAGCTCCCAGTGAGAAGCACCACACTCCTTGACCACGTTCACCCCCCACCAGGCGCCCACCACCCCCTGGGGATCAGACGAGCTGAGAGACCAAGTCAGGAGGTGGCAGAGGGCCGCGCACAGTGTCCCCCGGGGGGCTTCCTGGAAGAGGAGGAGGGAAAACCCGGGAGTGCAGGCAGTGTGCAGGCCCCCAGGGACCTGGGGAGCCATGGCATCTTCAGGGCAGCGTGGCCGGCCCTTCAGAAAAGAGCTGAAGGATGCCCGAGGTGAGACTGGCACAGTTGAGCTTCCATAAGGATGAAGCAAGCCCACGGCAGCGGGAGGGAGGAGACGGTGGGGGCGGAGTCCAGGCGGCTGCCAGCTGGAGGAGGGGCCTTGGGGATGGCGCCCCAGGGTGATCTTCGTTCTCTTCTGTGCTTACAGACCCCCTCCTCCCAGCTACTGTTCCTGGGCTCTGAGAGGCTGGCACCCTGCCAGCCGTCTACATGGTTCAACCCTAATGCCCACAGCAAACCAGCAGGATAAATGTTCTGCACAGAAAGGCCAGGCCCCGTGCTACCCAGCATGTTGGTCCCTCAGGTCTGGCCCCCAGAGCCCTGGGGAGCAGCTGTGTTCATCAGACAGGAGTGTAGCCACGGCAGCTGAGGGAGCCTGGTGAGCAGAGGCCCAGGACAGAGCCTTCCGCCTTCCAGGGGCCACAGAGAGCCGGGGACGCCAGGAGGCAGGAACCAGGGGGCAGGGGGGCCAGGGGGCAAGCATGAGGACAGACCTCAGGGCAGTGAGAGGAGAGAAAATGCCAGAACAAGAAACTCAGACTTCAGTAGAAAGAGATTTCAAGGATTCTGGAGGCCGAGGAGAAAACTCCAGTAGAGCATAGCAGGGGTCAGCACACCTGCCCAGAGCACCGGTGACCAATGTAGGCTGGAGCTGCATGGCCTCTGTGGACACTAATCCTCTTGGTCACGGCTGCACAAAAGCAGCCGCAGACACCCGTGAGCCCAGAGCCGTGGCCCTGGGCCAACAGGACTGTCCTCATGACAGCAGTGGGGGCCGATCTTCCGCCCGGGGGTGGAAGGACGTGGAAACAAGAAGGGGGATCCACGCATCTCCAGAGTACATGCTAAAGAGGTACAGTGAAACACCCACAGTCAGACCTGCCTGGAGCTCAGCTCACACGGGTAAAGACCAGTTCCAGCACATGTGGACAAGACAGAAACCCACGCATTCGGGGCGGAAACGCTGAGCACATGCTCTACAACCCCTGAGTTTCGCCTCGTCCTTACCTCTCCTGAGCTCCCTGAGACCGGGCCCTGCCCTGGCCAGGCCCCCAGCACAGAGCTGGAAACCCAGCCCACGCCCACAGGACCCGCTTCTCATCTCAGCAAGAGCAGGGGGCTACCCTGTGCCCAGCTGACGTGGAGGCGAGCCGGTCAGCGACAGCACAGGTCCTCTGCATTAGCGCTTCACGTCTCACGCGGCCAGCCCGACCGTACATCACTGGACTAGACTGCTAGTGCTGGCATCAAAATAAACAAACCAACTAAAAATAATTCTCTTCATTCCTTTGAAGAATCCCAAATTTGGGGACTCTTTATCTTCTCTTATCTTTTGATTATATTGAACTCCAAACATAAAAGGTGAAAAGACAGTCTAATGAACCCCTGTACCCAGCACCGGGCTTCCTTTGACTGAGCTTCCTTTTCCTGCCCACTGACCTCCCAAAGCATACTTTAGCACTCGACACCCTCATCACAAAGAGGCACAACCTGAAGCTGCTTCCCTCTGCTACCGCAGAAGGTGTGAGCACAGGCTGCCTGCCCGGGACACCTACGGGTTCCCCATGAGGACCTCAGGCGCGCAGTACTCGATCGTCCCGCAGAAGGTGTAGAAGAGCTTGCCCCGATCCAGGTAGGCGGCTGAGCCGAAGTCAATGAGCTTGATGGAGAAGTCCTCGGCGATGACAATGTTCTCGTCCTTGATGTCCCGGTGGAGGATGCTCTTGGAGCGCAGGTATACCACCGCCGACACCAGCTGGAATAGGGGCCACGGGCGTTGGTTAAAAGCTGACTCAAGAAGAACATGCATTTAAATTGAGGATTAACAAGAGAAAAAGATAAAGCAACAGCAAAGAAGAAAAAAACCTTCTCTAACTGATAAACAGCTGGGGGCAGGTCAGACTCTGGATGCCGCAGACAGGGGCTCTGAGCCGGAGGAGAGCTCCAGGCAGCGCTTGCTAAGGCGGCATGCACAGGCCCACAAGGCAGCACCCGGACCTGTAATCTCACTGTCACTGGACCTGTAATCTCACTGTCATTGAACCTGTAATCTCACTGTCATTGTGATCACTGTTGTGATAAGGACACTTAACACAAAGCCTCAGAGAAAGAAAGAAAGTGAAGTCACTCAGTGAAGCTGACTCTGTGTGACCCCATGGACTGTAGCCCGCCAGGCTCCTCCATCCCTGGGATTCTCCAGGCAAGGATACTGGAGTGGGTTGCCATGCCATCCTCCAGGGGATCTTCCCGATCCAGGGATCGAACCCGGGCCTCCCACATTGCAGGCACTCTCTACCATCTGAGCCACCAGGCCTGCCCCTCGGCAAATTCCCAGGAACACCAGGCGGCACCTCAGCTAGAGGGACCGCGTGCACGGCAGCTCTGCAGCACCCACTCCCCTGTGCCTGTGCCCTTCCAGGGGCGCCCCACATAAACTCAGTTTCTAAGGTCTCGGTCTGTGTGCTACCAGTGACCTCCCCGGCAGACACTCACTCACCCCACGACAGGCAGAACCATCATCTAGGGAGGAAAGGCAGACGGCCACAGAAGCCGCAGGATGCATGGTGGGTGCTTGAATGAGTGTGGGCTGGGTTGGGTGGGCAGTGATTTCCCCAGAGTTCATCAGGCAACTCGAGCAGGGCTGGGAGCAGAAGCCCAGCTTCCACACTGCGACTTCCAGGCTCCGGCAGCTTCTCAAAGAGCAGTGCAGAGTGGAGCCATGCTTTCCCCAATGCGTGTGGCCTTCCAATGTTGCAGCCTCAAAGGAACTCCCCGGGAAACGGGCCAAGCGCATCAGTCTCCACTGTCTCCACTGCCAGAGGGTAGTTACTAGGATGTACTGCTGCCTGCCTTCACTGCACGTGCGGTGAGGCAGATCAACAGCAGTAGCACCTCAGTGAAGTTCGAGTAAAATTAGCATGACTTCTGACCCCACTCATAAGTTGGACACCAGCTGTACCAACCGGCACAGGGATTTCAGGGACACAGTTAGGCATTCAGATCATTAGAGACCATTTTACATTTATAAATGAATATCTCTGAGTCAGAAGCAACAATTAATGGCAGACAAACTAGCTGAATTAATAACTTTAAATAAATAAAGAGGGCTTCTCCGATGGCTCACCAGATAAAGAATCTGCCTGCAATGCAGAAGACACAGGTTCAATCTCTGGGTTGGAAAGATCCCCTGGAGAAGGAAAAGGCAACCCACTCCAGTATTCTTGCCTGAAAAATCCCAGGGACAGAGGAGCCTGGTGGGCTCCAGTCCAATGGGTTGCAAAGACTAACCACGAGCAAAGTAAGAGTTCTATTGGGTTGGCCAGAATAAATAAATGAACGTATATTTACATACACATACATGCAGACATGTGCATGCCTGCACATCTGTGTACAGATCACGTGTGTGCCTGTGCACGTGTAACACTGCACAGATGTGCGCAAACACACAGATGTCTATTCTTACAGATTCACATACACACATACACACACTCACGTGTATGTACATACAGAGACACACACACATAGACATGTACTATCAGGCTCCACGTGGGAAGCAGAAACCACACGTTACTCTCAATATGGACAACTTCTTCGAGGGTTATTAAGTACAAAGCAGTAATGAGCCGGAGCAGGACGAGAAGCTGCTCACCGCAGAGGAGAGCTGTGCTCCGAGCAGACGGGACCCAGGGCTGGAGGCGACACACACGCGTACACGTGACACTGTCGTCCTGTAGAGCCCTGAGTCCATCTCGCTGCCACGTGGATTTGCGAGGGGCCGTAGAGACTCACTGCAGAGGCTAAACAGCGTCGGGCCCTCGAGTCCCCGGCTCAGCAGCCCTGAGTGAACAGCAGTCAGGTGGCAGCTGTGCGTGCGTGACTGCACGTGCCACGTCACACGGAGACCTGTCTGCCACGAAGACTTCAGAAGCAAGCCTCCCGTCAAGTAAAGGGGACGCCTTTACTTGTGTAACCTTCCAGAGCAGGAAGACGGGGAGAGGCGGCATTCTTTGGGCACAACTGTGATGACCAAAACTTACAAGTAGGTGCCTCAGAAATTTAATTTCAGAAATCCAGTAATTTCTGGGAGTTCATAGCTTTGAGGAAGAAATACCAGTTCATGGAAGCTGTTATTAGAAACCAAGTCAGCTCCAGGAAACCAAGAGCAAACCTGTGGACTGGTCACATCCCCCCACCCCGTACCCCCTGGCATCCCTCCACCTTTTCCAGGGAGCAAGGAATCGTCTGGAATGAAACTTCCACATTCCCCAAACTGAAGAACTGTTGTCTCCCCCAACCCATCCCACCCCAACATCCAATTTCTCTTTCACAGGACACCTTTCTACTTAGCTGGTTACTCTCCCTTTCCAAAAAATAACAAACAGACTAAGATCAATACACGGATAGACACGAAAGAAACCAAGACAAATACTCAGTGTAAACTGATGGCCAGAGCCACAGTCGTTGCAGGTTAATTAACTGGACAGCTACGTGTACTCAGCACTTCCCGTGCGCCTGACTCGGGGATGCTGCACGGGGGCCTCTGCACTCTCTGATTTAGCCCCAGCAGTCCTGTGAGACGCTGGCTCAAGTGAGGTCCATGTACAAATGAGCAGGGTCTCCCCGTGGTGGACAAGAATTCAGATCAGATGCACAGCCTGCAAGCCCAATCTAAGAGCTTCACTGGTTCCTCTTTGAGGCTGGGTGGGTATCATTTGGATATAAATACACTTTAATCTTCATCCCACATCCCCGGTCACCCCAGGGTGACGCCTGGCCTCACTCTTCCTCCCCAACCCCAACAACCTCACTCTCTCTACTTCAACAGTAGAATTCTCTTCTCAAAACACATGTCCCTACTTAGTAACATCCCCAAGCCGGAGGCCAGGTCCAGCATCACTAACCCTGGAGTCCTGGACCCAGGTGGCCGGACCCGCTCTCACCTGTCGGAAGATGTAGCTCGCCAGGGGCTCGTCAAGGCTGGGATGGTGGTCAATGAATGCAAAGAGGTCCAGGCCAGAGCCGTGCTTCTCCATCACCAGCTGAAAGAAGCCTTGGTTCTCAAACACGTCCAGCACCTGGAGAGAGAGAGAGGCGAGCTGGGTCTGGCCCTACTGGGACACCTCCAGGGCAGCGTGCTCGGGCGCGGATGTGAGACAGCACCCCACCTTGATGATGTTGGCGTGCTCCACCTTGCACAGGATGGCGATCTCTAAAGTGACCTTCCCAAGCTTGGGGTCCTCAATCCAACAGTCCTCCAAAACCTTCTCCTTCTTAATAAACTTCACCACCACCTACGAGGGATACAGGGAATGTCACTGCAGCCCTTCCCACTGGCCCCGCAACAGCTGTGGAGCTTTCACCTCTACCCTAACCCCCACCTCCACCCCCACGAGTCCTGGGACATGAAAGAAGAAACCTAATAACCACCGTCCAATGTGAGGGGACCAGGAGCAAGTAAGCAGCCAGCCGGAAGTCCCAAGTGGACCTGCACAACCTGCACAGTAGGAGGATGGGGGAAATGGAGGAACTGGGTGGGCTGATCGCAAGACCAGGCCCTGGAAGTCTTGGAGAGGGTGTTCCCTAGATACCCCACATCACCCCGATTTCTTAACCAAGGACTGGATGTCCTGGCCAAGAAAATGAAACAAGAGGCCTGAGAACTGGAAAAAAATGAACAAAAATGTCACTCATTTTGATTTTGAGAACTAATCAGAGAGTTCCACAGGATGGACGGACACAAGACAAATACATGGAAAAAGTGGTGTGGTGCAGCCACAAAAAAAGAAAGGAAGCCCACAGTGCCCGCTGGATTGCTGATCCAGACCAAGAATGAGATGACTGCCCTCAGGTAAATAAAGATGGCAACAGAAAGTTGAGATGAGTCAGCCAAGAGGCACGTGATGCCCAGAGCAGTGTGTTTAAGCCTCTAGGAGGTGTGAGCACACTCAGACAATTCCACACAGCACAGCGCTCAGTATTAAGTCACAGCTTAGAAACACACACTCAATCCAAGAAGCCAGAAAAACAGCAAAGTTTACAGAAAGTACCAGAAAAGCAACATAAAGAAAATGGATACTTGATGAAAAACATGAGCAATTCTCCAGCAAGTCTGGTAAAGAGGAGAGAGTGTGCACACGAGAGTGAGGAGAGCAGGGGGAGCAGCTCTCGCCAGGAACACCTGCAGACGCGATGTCACGGCACCAGCCACCACCGGTGTCCCCAGCTCCACAGGCTCCACACAACTGACGTGAAGAAAGGAAAAACACTCACCTACGCGTCAACATAAATGAGAAGATCCCACATGAAAATGCTAGCAAGCCAGGAGGCTTCCCTGGTGTCCTGGGGCTAAGACTCTGCACTCCCAATGCAGGGGGCCCGGGTTTGATCCCTGGTCAGGGAACTAGATACCACATACCATGGCTAAAAGATCCCACATGCTGCAGCTAAGATCCAGAGCAATCAAATAAGTAAATATAACTATCTAAAAATATATATTAGCAAGCCAAGTTCAGCAATGCACTAAAAAATGTCACAAGGCAATAAAGGATTGAGTCTGCAAATAAAAGTTGACTGTGGTTATTCATATATTAATAAAAGAAACAAGAACATGATCATTGCAATAGATGCTGAAAAGTCATTAGACCTAAGTCAACATTTATTCCTTAAATTAAAAAAAATTGAACTTAAAATAAAATGAAATAGCCTCAAACAAAAAGTATCCATCAAGAAATGAAAGAGCCTCAAACAAAAGTCAAGAGATAAAAGGAGTCACCGGAGTGGGCAGAGGACCACCAGGAGGCTGGGTGGCATACCTGTTACTCCTCACGCCTCTGCAGGTCCCAGTCAAGGTGACAGCAGGAAGGAAAAGAAGGCAATGAGATACAAATAATAGAGAAGGGGGCACAATCACCAGTGCCAGCAGAGGGAGAAACCAAACAGATCGACTGAAAAATCACTAAAACCAACACGACTTTGACACAGACGCCCCTGCTGTCCAGCCAAGCATGCAGCTGTGGCAGATTCCAACAATGACGAGCAACGTGGCGACAGGTCCCACATGGGCCCTCCCAGGAAGCAGCGGGCCAGGCCCGGGATATCCAGGCGGCCTGGGGGTTTACAGGGACAGGCAGTATGGTCACCAAACGCCCCGGCAACTACAGGTGTACCCACAGTGGGACTGGGAGGGAGGGTGAAGTGCATCAGAGCCACCTCCCAGCACCCCCACCCCTCAGGAGCCCAGTACCTCCTTATTCTCCTCCTTATCCACTGCCGTCCACACGAAGCCAAAGGCCCCGCTGCCGATCGGGCTGAGTGTGCTGTACTTAAGGGAGTACGCCCCCTCGCAGGCTGCCAGCCCCTCCAGCTCCACGGCCTTGGGGGGCTCCTCAAACCAGGGTTTGGTTCCAAGCACCTGTGCCCACAAAGGCAAGTCTGAGGGACCACACGCAGCACACTGAAGGTGGGGCAGCAGAGACAGCCGTGGCCCCCTGCCCGCAGCAGGCAGAGAGAGCAGCACCCACTGCCCCGCCTGCTCCTCGGGCCCCTGGGGTCCCCAGCCAGAGACATGCTCTCTAGAGGGTACGCCCAGGGCCTGAAGGTGCCAGTCCAAACTGGCGCTCACCCAGGCCCCACCGTGCACACGGAGCACGTGCAGACTTGAAAGCCCACGTGTGGCTCGCACCTCACCCAGGAGGCTGGACGGCAGTGTGGGAGCCACAGAGCCTCTGCCGCCCCGGAGGACGTGGGTGCTGACGGGACGGGCGGGTGGACAGCAGGCGCCGTCCACAGACACGCACCTCCCCCAGGCTGGCCGCGGACAGCTCGCAGGTGGAGTGGGCGGAGCTGGGCAGGCTGGCCAGCAGCAGGCGGCTGCGCAGGGCTGAGTCCAGGCGGCTGTGCAGCAGGTCCTTCACCAGCCAGCAGCAGAAGAGGGTGGCTGGGCCCTGGAGCTCCACGCGCCGCACCTCAAACTGCACACCTGCGGAGGGCGTCGAGACCGGACCCCCGCTGAGCCCCACAGCCGCGTGTGGCCTCCACGCAGGGCAGCCACGCGGGCAGGGCCCCCAAACCCGCAGAAGGGCACGGGTGAGGCCGGCGGCCACACCTCCCCGGCGCAGGGCCAGGGGCCGGCCCGTCCACCAGGGCAGCCGGAGGCCAAGCGGCTCAGGGGAGACCCACCACTAGCAACCAACTCAGATGAGCCTGGAGAAGCTGCCCCAGCATCCTCCAAAGTCTGGCTGGGGAGCCACGCACACAGGTGCCACCCCACTGCACACACTGTGCACACCACGGCACACCACCGGGCACAGGTGTGTGCGGACACAGCCTCCTGGGGACACAAGCAAAGCAAACGTGCCTAGCTTCTTCCTGGCAGGGGGTTTACAGGTTATTTTCTTTTTTTTAGTCTTTTATTTCTAGTATTTCTGCAAATAACATATATCACTCATAAAACTTTTTTTAAGGTTAGGAAAAAAGCCCTGTAGTCAACACTAGGAAATTGGCAATGAGGAAAACAACTGGCTGAAATACAGCACCGCTGGAAAATTAGGAAAATAAAAAGAGAAAAGCTAAAGGGCTGACCGCCACCCCCCAGAGCAGAGGTTCCAAGAAGGGCAGCCTCCTTGCACACAGAACACGTGCAGACTTGAAATCCCACATGTGGCTAGAACCTCACCCAGAATGTCAGAAGACCATGTGGAGAGCCACACAGAGGCTCTCCCCACCCCGGAGGACTCAAGGCACTGCCAGGAGGGCGGGCTCGGTCCTCACCCAGACCTGGCTGTCCCTGAACCCCGACAGCCTGTGGAGATCCGAGCCCCACCCTCCCCTCCCGGCGGGACTGCTGCACCGCACAGAGCGGCCGGGACCCCTGACTACCCCCGCCAGCACACGTACTTGTAGTCCTAACTTTCAAGAGGCGCGCTATAACTTCAAGTTCTTCTCTTAATATAATTCATCATTTCTGCCAAACTATTCCAGGGGTGAAGCCCCCCGAGACACCAGGATGAGGAGCCCCCCACCCCACAGAGCCCACTCTCAGGGCAGCAGGGCAGCAGAAGACCAGGCCCCCCGCCCGCCCCACCCGCCCACACATACTCAGCTGCGAACCGTCCCGGTGGTAGCAGCTCCCCGTGTAGGTGCCCTCCTGGATCTCCGGCTGCAGGTCGGCCACCCTAAGGGGTGCAGGGCCGGGGTCCTCGGCTCTCACGGGCGTGGAGGTGACCTGGAGGCTCAGCCCAGGCGCCTCCAATAGGCAGTCATCCTCAGGGCCGGCTCCCGGCACTTGGGAGATGCAGCTCGGGCTGTCGCGGCCATTCGCATCCTGGTGCTCGGAGGACACCAGACAGGTCTGGGACAGCTCTGTCTCCTCCAAGCCCAGGTGGCTCTCGCGGAAGCGCCGGCCCCCACCCAGATCAACACAGGTGCCGGTCAGCAGCAGCAGCTCCCGGTCGTCCAGCATGTCTGACCGCTGCCTGTGCAGGGCACCCACGTCTGCGTCAGAGCCCACCATGGAAGGCGAGGGCGTGCCCCCAAGTTCAGATGTGGCGCACGAACAGTTGGAAGAAGTTCGGTCTGTCCAGTCCCTGAAAACAAGCTCCTTAAGGTTCCAGGAAAACGAATTCTCGCCAGCCTCCGGGGCCTCCACAGCCTCCAGGGCACCGGGCAGGTCGGTGGCCAGGGCGTAGCAGGCCGAGGAGCTGCCCGAGCGGCCACCCCGTGGGTCTATGGCTCTCAGGTCCGACAAGGATGCAGGGGCAGAAGGCGGGGACTGCCCCATCAGGACCAGCTCAGCGTAGGAGACGCCCCTAGGCCCCGAGAAGCTCGAGGCGGAGAGCTGCTCCTTTATCAGGCACGTGTGCAGCTCCTCTCTGTCCTGCTGCATGCCCAGCCAGGGCTCGTCCAAAGGCGGCGTCGAGAACAGGAGCTGCAGCGTCCCTGGGGGGCTGGGGGCTGAGGGCGGGCTTCCTGGCAGCATGCTCTGCTCCCCCTGGGGACCCTGCCCGGCCAGGCAACCCTCGGTGTGGGGTGCGGCAGTGGCGGCACTGTCAGGGCCCTGGTCTGAATCGCTGGTGCCGGCCCGCCCCACCCGTACCTCCTGATACGGACCCCGAGACTCATCCCCACCACTCCTGTCTGCACCCAGGGCGGCAGCTTCCAAGTCTTCCTGGGAAGCAGACGGCTTTGTGTCCCCCAGGTCAGACTGATTCCCCCGCTGAAGGCCCCGGCTGAGGCGCTCTGCTGTCGCCGGCTGCTCTTGCTCTGAGACGGAACGCTGCTGGCCCTCGGGTGACGACGAGCCGCTGCGGGCGGATGGGCCTCCCTCAGGCACATCTCGCAGGCACTCAGGCGGTGACCGGCTTCCTCCTGGGATGCTGTCCCCCCTGCGGGTTGTGACATGGGACGACAGTCACTTAGGAGCCACAGAGGAGATCACACGGACTCCCCCTCCAGCAGAGTCAAGCACAAAGCGATGACAACCATGAACAGGACAGGAGAGAAGATGAACTTTCATAACAAAGTTAAAAAGTGAAACACCAAGTCACGCGTTCTCCAGGCAAATTCACACTTAGCAGTGACTCACCCAGGCACAGTCGGAGCGCTAGGACCCTGTGCTGAAGGCTGTGGTCCCCACGCTCACCATGCAGTGAGCAGGCCCCGACAGTCAGGCTCCCTATGCCCACGCAGCAGGAGGTATGGGGAGAAAGGGGAGGAATCATGACGGCTACAAACACCACCAGATCTACAGCACAGAGCGGGAGGGCAAGAGGAGTCAGGGCTGGGAGAGCCGGGCACGGGGTCCTGGAAGCCAGAGCACAGAGCCCCCAGCATGCTGGGGACGGGGGACCACAGAGGAAGAGGCCACCGCAGTGAATGCAGGGACCGCTTTGCAGGTTACTGCAAAGCCACGGATAGGGGTCCACCCCGGCCGGCCACTAACACCCCGGCCACTAACACTAACGGCACAGTGCTAGGCGCCGCCCTGGGTCGGCCCAGGCCAGACAACAGCCCCGGGAGCAACAGAAAGTGGCGGTGCCCAGCCTGGCTGGGGGACAGGCGTGCAGCAATGGGTACACATTGCAGCAGAGGGCTAAGAAGAGGCACTGAGAGGCAGGCCCCGCTCGAGGACCGCCGCAGGGAAGGTGGCTGTGAGTGGAGTTCCGAGGACCTGCAGGACTCTCTAGGGGAACCGAGGGGCGATGGGCCCTCCCCTCCTCACCCCGTGCATGTGAGCGCTCAGCAAGGACTGATGGGGTCATGCTGCTCCAACCACCGAAGCCAAGCCAGAAGCCAGGGGTTGACGCAAACGGCAGGGGCTGCGTCCACGAGCCGTGGGGCCACGTGAGGAGCAGGCTTGCTCCGGGGATGCATGGTGCCTCCAGCACGTGCACACGTTTAGGAGGGCGTATGCAGGGCAGCCTGTCTGTGTAGCAAGAGCTCGATCTCAAGGGCATGGGGAGGTGGTCTGGAAGGAGGTCATGGCTGGGAGAGTTGGGGGACTTTTGCTGTTCACCATTATTCCTCAGTAGTTAAACACACACATTCACGTAGCACGTGTTTAAAACATCATTTCAAGAAAACTAGAAAACTGTGTGGTGTCGATAAATCTCACACAACGGAGAGCTAAAGAAGCCAGAAACAAGGACATGCTTCTGGTCCGGTTCAGGACAGGCACTGCTGACTTGTGTCCTGACCCCAGGGCAGCGAGGGACGCCGAACGGAGCGGAAGCAGCCCCTCCCGGGGGAGAGGAGAAAGGCCCACCGAGGTTAGCGCGTTACTGTACACTCAATCTCAAAGTGATTTTCAAAATGAGAAACTGGTGGAAAACACACCAAAACGCTGCACACAACAGGACTGATAACTGAACAAGTGGACGTGTCTAACTTTCCTAAGTTTTCCAAAATGAACCCTTCTCGTTTAAATAGAATACTGTGTTATTTAAAAACACACAGCAAACAGAGTCAAGAGATTTTTGAAATGAGGAAGTTATGCTGGGACCAGTTCCCTGGATCCTGCCTAAATGCTTCCTTACCCATGAAACAGGCCGGCGACACGGCAGCAGCACGGCCATCCAGGGGCGCCGGTGTCACCACTGTCATCACATGCAGAGCACCCTCCCCCTTCCATGTGCACCTGCCCCTTCCTTGGAGGACTTACCCTGGAGGGGGCGGTGCTGGCGGGGAGGCGGGCAGGGAGCGCCTGGGGTCTGTGGGGACCGGGGCTATAAGGGATGTGTCCTGGCTCTCCGCTGGCTTTGGGGTCTCGGTGTCCACCTTTGGATCTGGCAAAAAAAGAGTGTTTCCCACTGGCTGGCGCATCCCACTGAAAACCACCTCCTGTCCGCTGAGTGGGGGCCTGACCTGACCTCAGAAATGCTGCCAGGCCCACGTCCTCAGTGCAGCCCTGGCTCCCAGCCCAGGCCCTGGGCCCCTCACTGCTGACAGCCCCCAGGAGCTCCTCTCTCTGATGCCGGGGGAGAACCAGAGGCCTGTGACCTAAGCCTGCTCCTCTCCTCGGGGCCTCTGGCCTCCCCACCATGCCTGGCCTGCTCCCTTTCCCAGAAGTCCTGCTTCTTCAGGCCTGGGGACCCAGAAGGCACAGGCTCCCCGGCTCTGCTTTCCTTCTGGAGCATGGTGTCTTCTCTACCTCATGCCTGCACATGCATCACCTGGATCTGCCCAGGCTCCAGAGGCCAGATAGAGTGCCAGCCTACAGCAGGGCCAGGCCACCACAGTAACCAGGGTGGCAGGGGCACGACTGCGCAATGCCCACAGGCCCACCCTGGAGACCAGGAGGGCAGAGGTCCTGTTATGCCGCCCACCCAATTTCCTACAAAGAACGTGAATTACACACACATGCTGAAAGAACTTAGATTCTAGAAAAAGAGAAAAGGGAATGTAACAATGACAGAGAAAAATAAACTTGAAAAAAGAGTCTTTGCAGATAGAAAAATCCAGATACAATGAAGGAAACCTCATGTTAAGAAACGGGGCCATTCAAAGAGAGTCAGTAGCCTGACAAGGCATCTTTTAAAAACTGAACACCAGGGACATCCCTGGTGTCCAATGGTGAAAAATCTGCACTTCCAATGCAGGGGACATGGGTTTGATCCCTGGTCAGGAAACAAAGATCCACATGCCATAGACACACTAAGGCCACACACCACAACTACAGAGCTTGCACAGGCTGGGGCCAGTGTGGCACGAGAAGGGAGGCTGTACACCACAAAGAGATCCTACATGACATGGGAAACACTTCAAACACTGCAATCAAGGCCCGACACACACCATCTGACAGTGAGCACTCACGTCCTGTCAGGCACCAGACAGTCACATCTAAGGCCCGACACACACCATCTGACAGCGAGCACTCACGTCCTGTCAGACACCACAGTCACATCTGAGGCCTGACACACACCATCTGACAGCGAGCACTCACGCCTTGTCAGATGCCACAAACTCACATCTAAGGCCCGACACACACCATCTGACAGTGAGTACTCTCGTCCTGTCAGACACCACAGTCACAGCTAAGGCCTGACACACACCATCTGATTGTGAGCACTCACGTCCTGTCAGACACCACACAGTCACATGAGGCCCGACACACACCATCTGACAGTGAGCACTCACGTCCTGTCAGACACCACAGTCACATCTAAAGCCTGACACACACCATCTGACAGCGAGCACTCACGTCCTATCAGACACCACACAGTCACATGAGGCCCGACACACACCATCTGACAGCGAGCACTCACGTCCTATCAGACACCACACAGTCACATCTGAGGCCCGACACACACCATCTGACAGCGAGCACTCACGTCCTATCAGACACCACACAGTCACATGAGGCCCGACACACACCATCTGACAGTGAGTACTCACGTCCTGTCAGGCACCGCACAGTCACATCTAAAGCCTGACACACACCATCTGACAGCGAGCACTCACGTCCTATCAGACACCACACAGTCACATCTGAGGCCTGACACACACCATCTGACAGCGAGCACTCACGTCCTGTCAGGTGCCACACAGTCACATCTAAGGCCCGACACACACCATCTGACAGTGAGCACTCACGTCCTGTCAGGTACCACAAAGTCACATCTGAGGCCTGACACACACCATCTGATTGTGAGCACTCACGCCCTGTCAGATGCCACACAGTCACATCTAAGGCTCGACACACACCATCTGACAGTGAGCCCTCACGTCCTGTTAGACACCACAGTCACATCTGAGGCCCAACACACACCATCTGACAGCGAGCACTCACGTCCTGTCAGACACCACACAGTCACATCTAAGGCCCGACACACACCATCTGACAGTGAGCACTCACGTCCTGTCAGACACCACACAGTCACAACTAAGGCCCGACACACACCATCTGACAGTGAGCACTCACGTCCTGTCAGACACCACACAGTCACATCTAAGGCCTGACACACACCATCTGACAGCGAGCACTCACGTCCTGTCAGACACCACACAGTCACATTTCCCCTAAGTTACTGTATTAAATCCACTGGTGTTTCCTCCAAGTCCAGGTCTTTCCCCAGACTCGCCCTCAGGTGACGGCACTCGTGGGCACAGACCTCGGTGGGCCCCCGAGGCGACACCAGGGCTGCCCCATTAAGCCTCCTGGAGGGGAATTGAGCCCCCCAGAGGCTGCCGGATCCTCCGCTGGGCCTTTCTTCCCCAGGCTCCACCTCCAGAGAACAACCAGCGGTCGGTGCAGCGGGAGCCCCACACTGCACCCCTCACATGGTGCTACAGTGTCACAGTGTGGACTCAGGGCTTTTATTGGAGTCATCTAAATGTTAAGTTAAAAGCACTGGAAGGCTTCCCTGGTGGCTCAGTGTAAAGAATCCATCTGCCAGTGCAAGAGACACACATTCAGCCCCTGGTCTGGGATAAGCCCACGTGCTGTGTGGCAGTGAGGCCCGGGAGCCACCACTCCTGAGCCTGTGCTCTAGATCCTGCGAGCCGCAGCCAGGAGTCACGAGCCTCAGCTACTGGAGCCTGCGCACCCTAGAGCCGGTGCTCCCCAACAGCAGTCACTGCAGTGAGAAGCCCTCGCACCTCGACTGGAGAGGAGCCTCCACTCTCCACAACTAGAGAAACGCCTGCACAATGTTTCTGACCCTATACAGCTAAAACTAAATAAGTAAATTAGAGGGAAAAAAAGAAAAAACACTGGAAATAGACAAAACTAAACAAATTCTACGAGACTGCTGACTCAGGGATGGATCTGACATCAGTCCCACCTTCAGCTACTTACATAAAGCTACATCACTTACTCGCACAGCAAGACTGCCAACTAGCTATGGCGCCAGACGCAGGCACACGTGACTTACTTGGGCATCTCCCGTCCTGCGCTCTGTGCAAACACAGCTGTGAGTCCCACTAAAGTGTCACATCCCTGGAACGTGGAAGGCCCCCAAGACACAGAGAAGAACACCACCAGCACAGCTGTGAGCCCCACACACGCGTCCCATCCCCTGGAACGTGGAAGGCCCACAAGACACAGAGAAGAACACCAAATCCACGGTACAGGGTCCCCACGCCACCACCGCCCCCCATCATGCCCACGCCCGCCCCCAGCCGCAGCCCCTTTCCCGTGGAGGGGGTGGCCCAGGAGGAGGAGGGGGCTGGCCTCACCCTGGGCTGTGCCAGCAGGCTCGTCCCCCGTGCTGACCCCAGGCCCACTCTGGCTGCCAGCGTAGAGGCAGCTGGCCAGGTCCCGCAGAGGTAAGGAGCTGTCATAGGCAAGGTCCATGTGGTGGTAGAAACCAGGAATCAGGAAGGTGATATTCTAGAAAACAAAGGGTGCTTTAGGACTCGGCGAGGCCCCACCCGGGCAGAGTGTGAAAAGGACGTGAGCAGGCCTGGACAAGGTCCGGAAAAACCCCGGGTCAAGCTCCTCTCGGCAGGTCCGAGCACCCCTGACACCCACCATGGAAATCACAACTAGTTTCTCTTTCCCTTAGCAAACCCTAACTGCTTTCATGTACTCCCTGCAAGGACTCGGTGCCCCTACGTTCCTGCGGGAAGCCCTTGTCCAGAAATTACTCCAACTGTGTGATCGTTAACTTCAATTGAACTGTTTCACTTAATTCAAACTAGTATTTCTATTAGAAAACAAGGCAGGACCTCTTTTGAGGCTCTAGTTAAAGCTCTGGCTGGCTGGTTGGTGTGCAGTGCTGGCCCCAGTGAGGGTGGCGAGAGGTGATGGCTGCCTGTGGGCATCAAGGTACTCAGCGGAAGGTGTGGGGAGCCCAGGCCAGCACCCACCTCAAGAGCCGGACCAGCCAGGCATGGGGCCAGGGACAAGGGGCTGCTCAGATGTCGAGTGACGCACCACATAGCAGCCTCTCCCTCCAGCATGAACCACTCCCTCAACCAAGTGCCTTCCTCCCCAGAAGCCCTGGAGGACCGTGGAGACCACGAGGGAGGGCCCCTCTCAGGCGGCCTAAGAGGCTTGCCTGCCCGCAGAGCCCAGCCCAGTCCAAGAAAGAGGTTACCGAGACGCCTCCTCTGAGCCGACCCACTGTGGCCCCCGGATGGCTGGAGGAGGTGTGGAGGCTGTGACACCACCCTGCAGGAACTCAGACCAGACCTCGTGTGGGACAGGCTTTCGGGCAGAGCCCCTTCCCTCTCCTGAGGGGCACCTGACACGCAAGGGCTCTGCCGGAGGTCCAGACAAACGGGCACAGGCGGGGCGTGGGGCCAAGGCAGAGGTCCCGCTCTCTGGGCCCAAGTTCCCAGGGAAGCCGGCCACTGCAGCAGCAGGCACGGTGCACAGGCCTGTGGGGGTCACGCCCGAACCCCCAGCCCACCTTGCCCAGGAGCTCAGCCTTTCCGTAACCAAACAGCATCAGGGCAAAGCTGTGGTTGATGCCGTAGATGGTCCCATCGGGCAGGAGTGTGATGAGCCCACTGATGGTGGAGAACACCCAGATGGATGCTGAGTAGCCCCCGCCAGGGGACACCTCGCCGTCTGCAGCCTCCTCGCTGCCGGGCTGGGACTTCAGCTTCAGGCTCAGGGGGAAGGTGGCGCCATCCCTGGCTCTTCCGACGGACCTCTGAATCTTGAGATTCTGGAAGAAAGGCACACCACTGCGCCCACCACGGCACCTCCAGTGGCCCAAGCTGTGAGGTTCTGCTGCTCGGCGGGCACCCCCAAGACACCCACCCTCCACCCTGCTCTTCCTGCCTCATCTCCCCACCTCCCCCCCACCCTAGGGAAGGCAGAGACCTGACCAAGAGCTGCGGCCGGGACCCAAGCCAGCACAACTGCTCCCCACTCCAGAAGAGCCCAAACGCAGTGCACACAACACCGTCAAGCCACGCGCCAGGACCGGCCTGGCCCTTCCTCCAAGCCTGCAGGAAGCGAGTCCCTGTGCTCCCCACCTGGACCACCAGGCCCCCAGCACCTGCCCTGCAGCCGGGGGGCAGGGGCTCCCCAGACTGCTGGCCTCCGGGTAGTCTGTCCATCTCCGCTCTGCCTCCACGGCCCCCCATCATCCACACCACCAAGTCCTCCATCAAATTTCTCTGCTTTAAACACTCAGAACCTGTCCGCTCTCCCAAGCAAGTCCCACAAGAGCAACATCTAACAGGCTTTCCAGGTCAGCTCCTTTCTGCTCTCAAGACGGCCGGTCCCCAGGCCTGTGTCTACCCCTCACCCAGTGTGCCTGCCTCCTTTTTAAGGGTTCCCCCGCAAGATCTGCAGAGGCCCAAGGCCCGAACATGGGGAAGCTCCCTGCACCAGCCCTGTACCCTGACCGGGGGCGGAACTCAAGACCCCAGACTCCCCCTGGGAAGACCCCAGGCCCCAGTGAGCCCCAAGGAAAGAAGGGCACAGCCACTTTTGCTGCAGAGGTGACAGGTGGATCCAGCGTGGAGCTGCTGGGAGTATGCCTGCACATGTCTTTTGGTACACACACACGTGTGTGCGTGTGCCTCCTGGCACACACACCTCCTCTGGATGCGTGCCTGGGGTGGGGCAGAAGTGTGCTTATGTTCAGAGTTAAGCAAGGGCTTCCCAGGTGGCGCTAATGGTAAAGAATCCACCTGCCAACGCAGGAGACAAAAGAGACGTGGGTTCGATCCCTGGGTCGGAAAGGTCCCCTGGAGGAACACCTGGCAACCCACTCCAGTACTCCTGCCTGGAGAATCCCATGGACAGAGGAGCCTGGCAGCTACAGTCCATAGAATGGCAAAGATTAGGACACAACTGAAGCGACTTAGCAAGTCCAAAAGGACTTATGCCAGCATGCCAGAGTTAAGCATAAGAGGCTGCCGAACAGTCCCCTACAGTGGTTGCACCAACCGAGCCCCACAGCTTTGGGCTTCAGGAGGTCCGCTGTCTCAGGACAGAATAAGGGGCATAAAGAGAGCAAGGTGAGGGAGGAGGGGCTTCCCGTCGAGCTGGAGGGACTGAAACTAGCACTCCACCGCCCGGAAGGGCCTGGCTCTCAGCCTGAAGGCAGAGGAGAGCCAGGGAGAGCCCACGACGTCCTGGAAGGGTCTATTTCCTGCAGCAGCAAAGCCGACCTTACCCCAGCCTGACCACCCCTGACCATCTGACCCTGCAAGTGGCTGATTTTGACGTCAGGTGAATCCTGGCAGTGCAACCGCTGTGTGAAGGCTGCACGCTAGATGTGAAACAGGGCCCCTGGGAACTGGGGGGGCCAGCTGAGAAGAGAACCCCCAGCCCAAACCCCCACTGCCCCCCAGAGCTGCCGAGCGACCGCCACCACCTGACCCGCAGTCCTGACTTCGGTGGGAGACGACACCCGCCAGTCACTCCTCCTCCTCGCAGTCCCCAGACCTCTCAATAAAGAGGCCCCAACAGGAGCTCCAGGAAGGGGACCAGGGGCAGGGGTGGCCAGTCGGGGCGCCGCAGAGGCTCTGAGCCTCGGTCAAGACTGCAGTGCAGACATTCCTGCTGTCAGGTCATGGAGCTGGGTCTAAGAACTCAACTGACACTAGACAGAGAGACTCCAGCAGCCACAGGGCCCAGCTTCGGCCAGGCAGCGCCAGTGGCCAGGGCCCTGCCCTGAGGACCTACCATGGGGACGTGCTCGCCAGGAGAGGGGAGCTGCAGGGAAGGGATGAGGTCTGTGATGTGCTGCCCAACCACCTCCTCCCCAGACGCGAAGCCGTGCAGGTGCGCGAAGAGCCCATCACAGGACGTCACGGTGCCCTAGGAGGAAAAGCCGGTGTTGAGCCTCGTGATCCAAGTTCCCTGCGCTTCAGCTTCAAACTTCACTGAACCTCCGTACCTTCCAGCCAAAGGCAAGGCTGTGGTGCGGCCCCCGCCCCAGCCTCGGAAGTGCAGGGGCAAAGGGAGCCGCCCTCAGAACGCTGTCTCCCAGCCCTGCCAGATGTTCCCAAACGCCTGTTCCCCCAGGCACCCACAGAAGCCCGGCTCACACTGGAGGCTCACAAACCACACACACAACCGGCATACCCACGCCAGACTTAAGTGCAGCCTTCGTGTCAGCCACCACCCAGGGGGCACACGTATGACTTTATCCAAGTGTTAAGATAATCCTGTCGGGGGCCGGGCTCATATCCCAAGAGCATAGGTGGGGGAACAGAGGCCAGGGAGGTCGGATGCCCTGCCCAAGCACAGCTACCAGGAAGGCAGCCAGGCACATCCTCCAGGCCCCAGGCCCTCTTCCTGCCCCAAGGCCCCGGGGGACACCATGTGCTGACATGCCTGGACGGGGGCGGGGGCGGGGGGTGCCCAAGGGTAAGGCAATGCACAGCTGGGAACCCAAACGTGACTCACGTCGCTCCGGAACGCCACCCAGGCCGAGACCCGCTCCACGGGCTCCAGCACGACCACGCAGCAGAGGCTGCTCTCCTGCTTCACCCTCTTTATCCACACAGACACCGGGATCCTCTCCCCGCTGCGGCTCACAACGTCCACCTGGGGCACAGAGGGGCTCAGAGTGGCCCAAGCCCGGCCCGCGGGCGTGCCTGCCCACTGCTCACCCGCCTCCCGTATAGAAATTAATCAAAGCGCAAACAAGGCTTCCGACGCTCAACCATATGGTCTCTGAGTGAGTGATCTATCAGAAGAGTAGCTGTTCTCATACTCCGCTTCAGAGCAGAGTATAAAGCAAGGGAAACGCGGTGGCCAGATTTCATAAAGGAAAGACACCCACACATGTTCAGTGTTTGCTTTTCCTTCTAGGCAGTAGTCCCGTGGACGGGTAATTTTCTGTGTGTACGTGATCCTATCTAACTTGTTTCAAGGCCTGAGGCTCAGGGCTCAGCATTTAACACGCAAGTCAGCCTGTCAGTGTCCAGCCTGGATACACCCTTGGTGGAGCCCAAAGCTCCAGGGAATCCTTGTAGCCATGCCAGCCCCCAACACCACCAGACAGGTAGGCATGGAGATGGAGATGGGAGATGACAGAATTGCCAGCTCCCCGGAACCTGGCGTGGGCCCTGCAGGCTTGCCAGTGCGGGTCAAGCCTCCTCCCTCATCAAGGAGCACCAGGAAAGCGCAGCATCTCCACTCTGATGTGGCCTCGCCCACAGCCGCCCTCTACGCCAGGGCCAAGGGCGGGACGGCCAGCCGTGAACGGCAGCAGGCCAGAGGCCTGCACTCACCACGGCGCCGAAAGCGACGGCGGCATGCCCGTCGGCCTCCACATGCTCCTCGCTGAGGGCCTGCACCACGTCGGGGTCCGGCTTCAGGAAGAGCTGCGTGAGCTTCTGGCCAATGAGGTCATGGCTGCTGTAGCCCAGGAGCCGGCACGCTCTGTCGTTGGCCACCAGGATCTACAGTCACAGAGAGGAGGCCCCGCGTCAGCAGCAGCTCCTCGGCCCCCGGAGCAGCCGAGCGGAAGGCGGTGCAGGCCTCGCTCTCCGCCCCGCTGTCGCAACTCTCAGCAGAGCCACCGCAGCCCCCCCACCCCAGAGAAACAGAAACAACTGCCAGCAGTGCAGCAAGGAGACTGGCAGCACGCCGGCTTCCCCCACCAAGACGGGCGCAGGGGCGGGGACCAGCCCCATGCCCAGCCACCTAACAGCCTCAGCTCAGTGCACACAAACACGATCCCGCCAACGCATCTGCTTTAAATCCTGGCTCTCCACGCTCGGCAAATAAGATTACATGACGCACTACCCCCTGCATCTCTGCATCAATGGGAGGACTTGATTTGCCCAGACAGATTCATACTGAGGTCTCCAAAGTCATCGCTCTCGCCGCTGCAGAGGTAGACCCGACCGCTCTCCTAGCTGCACTGACACGCTCAGGTGCCTGTCTGAGGCAGTAAGCTGAGGCCGCAGACCCCAGGCGCACGGCTGGGTCACACCCTGCAGCACGCACCTCTGTGGTCTTGGCGTCCACGGTGAACACGGCCTTGTTGGGGTTGCACACAGGGGCCGGGAGCAGTGGCGGGGACCACCCCAAGGACAAGCCCCGCAGCAGGGAGCAGCAGGACGTGCTGCCCAGGGACCCCGCGAGGTCCGTCTGCCCCGGCGTGGCCGAGCAGGGCAACTTGCTCGTGCAGATGTTTTGGGCAGCCAGTGATGACAGGCAGTAGGAGCTCCACCTCTCCTCTGGAAAGCAAAGGGATGCATTAGAGCCCACACGGCCCCTGCCTCGAGCTCCTGCAAGAGGGCCCAAGGACGAGGTGACTACAGTGTTAACAAGCACTTGGCCGTGCATTCCAACACCCCCCGGGGCCTGCCGAGACCCGCACACAGCAGCACGAATGCCAAGCTCCCCACTGTCCCACTGCCCTTCCGGGCCCCCCAGCCGCAGGGTCGTTCACCATCACTCCAGAAAGTCCACTCCCGGCAGCGGGCCGTTCTCACCCAGCCCTTCAGGTCCCCCTCTGCTTTCCCCACCTCTCTCCCCCCAGCCCGCTCTTCCAGCTCCAGCCAACTCCCACCTGCTGCCCCCCAGGGGGCCCCTCCAACAAGGACCTGCCCTGGCAGAGTGGCACCCTCCCCCTTGGCTGGATCTGGGCCCTGCAGGCCTTGGGGAGGCTGGCCGCATGCGGGCCCATCTAAGCCGCCTGCATCTGAAGGAGAGCAGGAGCCTGGGCGCGCACAGTCACCACGTGCTGAGCCCAGTGAACAAAACTTGGTTGGGCTCCAGGCAGCCCACCCACCTGGCCAGCCACCTCACACACCGCGGACGAAGCCCGACCCTGCACTGCAGGCCGATCCCAGCCCTGCCTGGATGAGGAAGTAGAGTGTCTCATCTGCTCAGGAGTCACTGCAGGACCAACGAGGCAGAAACACAGGCCTCCCTGCTCCCGTCAGAGCAGAGTCACCGAGTGAGGAGGCCAGCATGGCCCCATCCCGCACAGGCCACTGGCCGGCGGGGAGAGGCTGCTTACCTGACAGCAGCATGCGGCTCTGGCAGAGCTTCGACAGCCCGGGCCTCCTGCTCGCGTGTCTGTGGGCTGAGGACCAGGACTTGCCGGGCTCCAAGGCAGTGGGCGCGGCGGGGCCCTCCGGGGGCACCGGCAGCAGGGGGCTCCCGCCCGGGCCCCGGTTATCCTCTGCAGAGGCCGTTGAACCCCCGTCCTCCATGAGGAGCTAGCGAGCCAGCGGGACCGCTGTCCACCGGAACACAAAGGAAAATGACCAACGTCTGCCAGGCAAGGACAAAGGCAGCTTAGCTAGTTCATTCTTCAGCTCAGTCCCAAACAGCCGTCCAGGGTCAGAACCTACGATGCGAGGACAGTCAGAGCAAAGAGAAAGGGGTGGGAAAGAGAGAAGGGAAGAGGAGGAACCCCAGCGGAGCAGGCGGAGCCAGGAAGCACGCTACAGTACAGACCCACGGGCGGGGGGCCCAGCCAGGGGCCGCCAGGGCCAGGGCGCTGTGCGCCTAGAGCCTGCACCCCACTTCTGCGTTACCGTCTGGGCATGCAGAACCAAGAGCTGGCAGCCAGGGTTACAGGAAACAGAGACCCTGCTCTCAGAGGTTGTACACAGACTCTCACGCACTCTCAACTCCCGCACAGAGGCCATGCTCCCAGAGGGGCTTGGCCAGACCGTCTGTGGGTCTCAGAGAGCCTCCTGGAGAGGCAGGCGGCAGCGGGGCTTCACCTGGGGACGGGGATGCTGGCTGCAGTCATTTCTGTGATCTTGATCCCAGGGCTGACACCAGGGCTGGTGGGCATGATCCTGGAACCCTCCCTCTAGCCCAGTAGCGCCAGGCTTCTGCCCAGCTCACCAGTGTGCCCACAACAACGCCGCGAGGCTAGGCCTCCCAGGCAGCTGGGCTGCGGCCAGTCCTACACACCAGCACACCACAGCAGCCAGCCCCATTGGAAAAGAAAGGTGCACGCCACCCACACAGGAGGCAGCCCTGCCGCCTCGGGTCCTGCTGCCAGGGCGGGGCGTGCTGTTGGGCCCCACAGGACATTGTTCACACAAAGCCACTTCTCCAAGGCTGGCAGACATAACTAACCTACCTAGTATGAAGAAATAAAGGTCAGCAAGATGAAGAGATGGAAGAATATGTTCTAAATGAAAGAACAACAGAACACCTCAGAGAAAGAACTTAACAAAACGGAGATGAATAATCCACCCAGGTGGCTCAGTGGTAAAGAATCCACCTGCCAGTGCAGGAGACCTGGGTTCGATCCCCAGACCAGGATGATCCCCAGGAGGAGGAAATGGCAACCTGCTCCAGTATTCCTGCCTAGAGAATCCCATGGACAGAGGAGACTGGTGGACTGCAGTCCATGGGGTCGCAAAGAGTCAGGCATGAGTAACCAAACACACATACAATCCACCTGATAAAAAGAGTCCAGAGTGTTAGTCACTCAGTTGTGTCCAACTCTTTGTGACCTCATGGACTGTAGCCCCAGACTCCTCTGTGCATGGAATTCTCCAGGCAAAAATACTGGAGCGAGTTGCCATTCCCTTCTCCTGGGGATCTTCCTGATCCGGGGATCGAACCTGGGTCTCCTGCATTACAGGCAGATTCTTTACCATCTGAGCCACCAGGGAAGCCCCAAAGAGTCCAAGACCACGACCATAAAGATGCTCACAGGATTCAGGAGGGCAGAGGGACAGACACAGTGAGAACGTCTACTGAGAGTGAGAAATACGTAAAGGAACCGATCAGAGCCGGAGAATACAAGAGATGAAAAATACACTCGAAGGAATCAAGTATATCAGATGAGAGAGGAATAGACCAAAGATCTGGAAGGCTGAGTAGTAGAACAGAAACCACCCAAGCTGAACAAGAGAAAAAAAGAACTAAGGAAAATGAGAATAGCTTCAAGGACCTCCAGGACAACATCAAGCAGGGCAACATTCAAGTTAGAGAGGTTGCAGCAAGAGCAGAGAGGGAGAGAGAGCAGAGGACTTACTTGAGAAAACAACAGCAGAAAGGGACAGACCTCTAGGTCCAGGAAGCACATGACAATACAGTAACAATTTTGTGAGGTGACAGGTAGTTACTAGACTCACTGTGGAGATGGTTTCCTAATGTACATAAATGTCAAAATCATATGATAAATACTTGAAACCAGTATTGTAAGTCAACTATATTTCAACTTTAAAAAAGGAATAAGAAAAGAAAACTAGGCAAAAGGAAAAAAAATTTCACAAGAGAATATCCTGTAAACCTATGACAAGAAGCTCAATCATGACATTTGCATAACCATGACAACTTTCCACCTACTAAATCAGCAAATTTGGAAAACTCAGCAGTGGCCACAGGACTAGAAAAGGTCAGTTTTCATTCCAATCCCAAAGAAAGGCAATGCCAAAGAATGCTCAAACTACCACACAATTGCACTCATCTCACACGCTAGTAAAGTAATGCTCAAAATTCTCCAAGACAGGCTTCAACAGTACATGAACCGTTAACTTCTAAATGTTCAAACTGGATTTGGAAAAGGCAGAGGAACCAGAGATCAAATTGCCAACATCCGTTGGATCATCAAAAAAGTGAGAGTTCAAAAAAAAATCTACTTCTGCTTTATTGACTCTGCGATCACAACAAACTGTGGAAAATTCTGAAAGAGATAGGAATACCAGACCACTTGACCTGCCTCCTGAGAAATCTGTATGGAGGTCAAGAAGCAACAGTTAGAACCAGACATGGAACCACAGACTGATTCCAAATCGGAAAAGGAGTACATCAAGGCTGTACATTGTCACCCTGCTTATTTAACGTATATACAGAGTACATCATAAGAAATGCTGGGCTGGATGAAGCACAAGCTGGAATCAAGATTGCTGGGAGAAATATCAATAACCTCAGATGTGCAGATGACACCACCCTTATCGCAGAAAGCAAAGAACTAAAGAGCCTCTTGATGAAAGTGAAAGAGGAGTGTGAAAGAGTGGGCTTAAAGCTCGACATTCAGAAAACTAAGATCATGGCATCCGGTCCCATCACTTCATGGCAAATAGATGGGGAAACAGTGGAAACAGTGACAGACTATTTTCTTGGGCTCCAAAATCACTGCAGATGGTGACTGCAGCCATGAAATTAAAAGACGCTTGTTCCTTGGAAGAAAAGTTATGACCAACATAGACAACATATTAAAAAGCAGAGACATTACTTTGCCAACAAATGTACATCTAGTCAAAGCTACAGTTGTTCCAGTAGTCACACATGGATGTCAGAATTGGACTATAAAGAAAACTGAGCACCAAAGAATTGATGCTTTTGAACTGTGGTGTTGGAGAAGACTCTTGAGAGTCCCTTGGACTGCAAGGAAATCCAACCAGTCCATCCTAAAGGAAATCAGTCCTGAATATTCATTGGAAGGACAGATGCTGAAGCTGAAACTCCAAAACTATGGCCACCTGATGTGAATAATTGACTCATTGGAAAAGACCCTGATGCTGGGAAATATTGAAGGCAGGAGGAGAAGGAGAAGACAGAGGATGAAACGGCTGGATGGCATCAACGACTAGGTGGACATGAGTTTAAGTAGGCTCCAGGAGTTGGTGGACAGAAAAGCCTGGTATGCTGCAGTCCATGGGGTCGCAGAGAGTCAGACACAACTGAGCAACTGAACTGAAATCAGCAAAAGTTAAGAGTTCTAAAAACTCTTAATACCAAATGTTGATAAAAGATGTGAAAAAAAAAAAAGATATGAATCAATGGGAACACTAACAAATATAATCTCTTCAGAAAAAAAATCCAAGTCCAATGTTCACCTTCTCTGACAGTACTTTCCACCCTCAGATTTACATCCTAGATTGGATACATCCTATCCAATCTTTGCACATGGATAGCAAGTCACACTCAAGAATGTTCAGGGCAGTATGGTTCATAAAGGCAAAAGAAAAAAATAAAAACCTAAGCATTCCTCAATTAGAAAACAGACTTAAAATCCTGGTACATTCGTGCTGTGAATTATAGACTGAAAACAAATTCTGTACACACACGGATAAGTCTTAGTAATAAATGTGAAAAAAACTAAGTTACAGAAGACTATCCTCAATAGGATTCCTTCTGTGTAACATCCCCTCATCCACATAGTTTAGGGATACACACTTACATGACAAACCCAAACGTCAGGCCGGAGGTGTCTTTTGAGGGTCCTCTGAGCTGCAGTGAGGGAGGGAATGAGGGCACATCCTAATTCGGGTGGTGGGCTTAAACGTGCCCACTTTACTCTTTTGATTTGTTACTGATATTGCGAATCAATCAACTAGTATACACTGAAAAATTGAGATATTTTACATGTACCTGTTTACATACCTCATGGGATCCTAAACAGTAATAGCTGACCATGAACCAAATAATGAATAGAAAGAAGTGAAATAATGAATAGAAAGAAATAGCAAGAAAGAAGTGAAACAATAAACTACTAGAAGATGCTGCTCTCCTTCAAGGAGCAACATTTAAATGTCAAAGGTTGAGATTTCCTTCTTTCAGCATCTCAATGTTCTAATTATTTCTATAACAACAATGACATGATCATATTTTAGTTTTCCGCTTCTACAACCAGCATGTAGACAAAGTCCAGCAGACTTGATTATGACTTCAGACATTAAATGTTATAGAACTTTACATTGTAAAAGACAGTAATAAAACTCTTCAGAATACACTGTAAATGTTACAAAAGCTTACTTTGTCAAAACGACAAAAACCAGGGAGAGGAGAGAAGGAAATAAAGGGAGGGGAGAGGGCACAGAATGTTTTATACTTCTGATGCGAAGACCTGACTCAATGGAAAAGACCCTGATGCTGGGAAAGATTGAAGGCGGGATGAGAAGGGGATGACAGAGGATGAAATGGTTGGATGGCATCAGCAACTCAACGAACATGAGTTTGAGTAAACTCCAGGAGTTGATGATGGACAGGGAGGCCTGGCGTGCTGCAGTCCATGTGGTCGCAGAGTGAGACGCGACTGAGTGACTGAACTGAACTGAGGAAGTAAAAAATATCAAAAGTTAATAAACCAGGAAGTGGCCACAGAAAAAACCATCCCTTCTCCCTTTGCACCTTCTGTACTGAGTGTAGTCTGTGGGGCCAGTTCAGCCTCACACAGCACATCCAGACCACAGACCCAGGTTGGCCCCTGAGAGCACAGAGCCTGGCTTCACACATCCTTAGATCACTTCCTTTTTCACCCATTCAATTTTGACTCAAACTCTAATCAGAAATGCCTGCAAATCCAGGCCAAGGGTTTTAGAATAGGTGGGCTGGTTTTTAAGAGGAGGGGGGAGGTGTATGATTATTCTGTTTTGTATCCCCTCTGAGCAGAAGCCATGGGAAGCTGGACGCAGACAGCACCTGATGGTGCCTCAAATTAACCCTGCTCCTGGTGCTGATCTTGATTCCAGAAGGTGTGAGTGACGCTCTCCACCCCCAATCAAACAGAAGGAGAGGTTTTCAGGGAGCTTCTGGAAAAGTACTCCTTGCTCTTACAGGTGAATGTCTAGAAGCAAGTAACTTTCTCCCAGAAGAACAAACGCTAGGAGACAGCTGGTTCCAACTGCTCCCACCACTGCTGTACAAGCAGAGCAGTACAGCATAAGGCTAACACGCTGGCGGGCAGAGCTGAAAATGGCAGGATGTCATTTTGAGCCACAGGATGACCCTCCCCTAACACCTGCCTTCCTCTGGATGTCAGGTGTGGGGCCCATCCTGAGGCGGTCTGTTTCTCACGTCCAGGCCCCCTCCAGAGTATCCAGGGTGACGCTGCTGTGATGGAGGGTATGAGCCAAGGGCACCTCTCAGACTTGAGAGGCCAGCACAGGCGTCCTGGAGGAGGCACCAGCAGAGTTGAGCCGGCAAAGCAGAGTGAAGGAACCTTTCAGGAAGAACTGCAGTGAGTCCTACAGGGCCCCTGGGGAGGGGTCCACCCGTAAAGACGGGTCTGAAGAAGCTGGGCTGACTCCCAGGGCCTCTTGTTGCCGCACGCAGTATGGCTCTTACCCCAAAGACTGACTTTCAAGGCCTGCTTGGTGGTAATCTGACCAACACGGGGAAGGGGGAAATCACCGTCATTCACGCAAGAAATTATAAGGTCTTAAAGCAACGGCAGGAACACACACAGGGGAACTCGCAAGAGAAAGTAAGACACAGAATCGACATAGGTTTACTTTGCCAGATGTAGAAGGTAAGGGGACAGAAGGCATCAGACCGCACCGCAAGGCCACGGTCCTTGTCTAGGAAAAGAAACGCTTGCGAGAAGTTAAAGACAAAGCCCAGGTGTGCAGTGGGGACGTCGGGCAGCATGGGTGAGGCTCACAGCATAGATGAAGCTCACAGCGCACGGCTCTCCGCACACACGTCCACTGAGGGGCTCCTGGGTGTCAAGCTCCGCGAGCCTCCTCCTGGTCCCTTACAGCGGTGGGACAGGTGCACACAGACCCTCTGGGGGCAAGGACCGAGCGCCGGGTGGGGCCAGGCCCAGGCCGAGACCCTGAGCAGCGCTGAGAGGCGGGCCCGGGCAGGCGCGAACAGCCACAGAGCGGCAAGCGAGCCGCCACCAACCGAGCGGCGCGGAGCGGGCAGTGTGACAACGTGGGGCGCCGGGCGGTGCTCCCACGCGGGTGGCTCACCTGAGGTCGCCCAGTCACCCGCCGAGCTCTCCTCTGCGCGCCGGGAGAGCGCCAGTCCGCGCCTCTAGCGCCACCAGCCAATTACAGAGCGACGGGTGCCGATTGACAGGTCCCAGGGGCCAACCGCCGGCGCCTGTGGGCGGGGACCCAGGGAACCCGCGAGGGGACGACCGCGCTAACGGTTGCTAGGGACGCGACGGAGTCGGTCTACGGCGCCTCAGTGGAGCCAAAAGAGACGGCGCCTCCGCCAGCGCGGTCCCCGGACGCCGTTTCCTCCGGTCTCGGGATCAAGAAGGGTGAGGACCGCGGACCTCGCCTCTCGGAGGCCTCGACCTGAAGGCGCGGAGCAGAGGGCGGCTCCCTCACGGCTCACGATGCCCGCGGGGCCGGGGCCCGTTTCGGGCTGCGGCGCCCGCAGTAGCTAAATCGGCATCCAGGTCCGACCAGCTCTCCTGGACCCGTTAGCGGACAGGCCCTGGAAAAGAGAGCGGGCGCCCTGCGCTAAGCGTTAACTGGAAGCGGCCCCTTCGTACGGGTTCAGTCCACACCGCGACGCCGGGACAATGTCTGCCCAATTCTGCAAACGCCGCCGCCGAGACTCGGAGTGGCTGGGGAGCCGCCCCGCCGTGTCCCGCCACCAGCCCATGAGCGCAGAGCCACCCCCAGGCTCTTCTCCGCTCCCCCGCAGGCTCGGCTGCGTGCTTGCGACCCCGAGGGTCCCGGCCCTCATCCCGCTTCCCGCCTCCAGAGCCTCCAGTGCGCTCATCACCTGCCTGCCGGACAGGGAGACCCGCGGCGCGGAGGCGGAGGCACGCGCGGCCTCGCGGGTGAACTACAACTCCCATGAGGCTCTCGAGCCGCGCAAGAGCGCAGGGCCCCATTGGCTGGAAAGCCTTTGAGCTGGGAGCCCTGATTGGCTGAGGGGCCTGAGGCGACAGATTCCGGAAAGGGAAAGAGCAGCCAACATGGCGGCAGAGCGCGGCGCGGGCCAGCAACAGTCGCAGGAGATGATGGAGGGTGAGCGGCCCCACGGGTCGGCGACCGAAGGGCCCGGCGGGCGGGGGCGGAGGCGGCGGCCCGTGCCAGGCATGCCCGGGAGAAACGGGGAGGCCCGGGCCCAGCCCCGCGCGCCCCGTGACATCTGCCAACCGACAGGGCGGGGATGGCCCCGGACAGCCGGTCGCGGACCCCGGTGCTGAGGCGGCAGTGGCCGGGAGGGCGCGGGCGGCCGGGTAGGCGGGGGCCGCAGGGCCGGGGCGAGCGGCGGGAGGACCGGGCTTGTGGGTGAGGACTAAGGGCGCGGCGGTCCCGCAGCCCCTGCGCCCGCCCCAGCTACTGGGAGCCTCGCACCGAATCCCTGAGCTTGACCCGCGAGGCAGGTCCCCAGGCAGCTGACCGAGAAACGAGGCGCGGGCTCCCTGGGACCCGCCCGAGGCAGCTCATTGGTGGACGCGTAGGGGGTGGAGAAGGGTCCTCTGGAAAGCGAACCGGTTGAGGGGAACGGCTGACCCCAGCCGAGAGTTGAGTGATAGAATCGACAGGTACCTGTTTTCAAAGCTGTCATAGATCCAAAAGACTAATTTCAAGTCTTTCGCTTTGTTGAAAAAAATCGGCATGCATGTTATGTATGTATATAATTACATGCACACCTAGCCCCAGTGGAGAGCCAGATCGTGTCTTTGAGCACTCATTGTAGTTTTGGCTCTGCTGGTTTCCTGAGGGCTCCCGAAGAGAAGCCGGGGTCTCCAGTGTCGAGTGCCAGGGAAGGGGTGGAAGAGGCGGCAGCACGTTTGGGAGTGATGGCTGCAGCAACCAGAGCCAGCCCCCTGCTGCACCTGGGAGGATATACCAGTCAGCCAGGCTGGAGACAGGGGGCAGGAAAGAGCAATGGCCGGGTGAAGGAAACCACACACAAGCAGAGGGGTGTGAGGGAGTGTGACCTGTCTGGAGTGACCAAGAGTGACAATGGTATTGGAGGAGGTGAGGCGGGTGAGGCAGGCGGGGCACATGGTGGAGGGCCTGGGTGGACGGGAGGAGCTCAGGAAGGTCTTGGATCTGGAGACCTTTGGGTCTTTCTAAGCAGGGAAGCACCTCTTCTTATCCGCCTTCTCCCTGCCCTCCTACCTCTCCCACTTCCTCTTCAGCTGTCTCCCTGTCTTGGTAAATGGCAAATGGGAGGAAACCTAGGCAATCCCTTCTCTCTGGCTGCCACCCATTCCACAAATCAGCAAGCTCTGCTGCCCCCCACTTCCCCAGTATCTCCAAGTATTTGCTACCTCTCCCATTCCCCCTCCCAGTACCTTGAGCCAGGCCACTGTCCCCAGTGCCCCACAGTCACCTGGTATGCTGATCTGCTATCCCATATTTCAATTTGGCTGTCCTTCATGAGCTAAGCCCCTCCCACCGTGGGCTCAGACCATCACCCAGTAGAACTTGCTGTCCCTTAGCCTGGACCACAGAGGGATTGTGCCTGGTGACGGCTAATTTACTACATGTCTTCATGCATGTCATGCACATGCTGTTGTGCCTGACAGCGACTCTGATATGTGGGTACTATTCTGGCTCCTTCTACTCATGAGGATACTGAGGCTTCACAAAGGAAGTAACAGGCCAAAGCTGTGTCTGTCGGGGCAAGGTGCAAACTCAGGAAGAGTCACGGGCATTCTAGACATTTGGGGAATCAAAGATCAGATTTGGATTCTGGGCTCAGATCAGAGTCTCTGAAGAATAGATTTAAACAGACAGACAAGCCACTGAGAGACCAGTTAGGAAGGCAGGCAGGAGCGCAGACCACAGGTAGTGAGTAGCTGATCCAAGACAGTTGCCAGAAAACTGCAGGAAGAAGGAATGGGTGTGGTGGTGTTAGAGGTGGGTTCATCAGGACTTGCCCAACAGCCTTTCCTGGGTGCTGCCTTGCTAATCCCAGTGGGAGACCTGGAGGTGAAGCAGCGCCCTTCCCCACAGAACGCACACCCCTCTGTAGATAAGCTGTGGTCAGAGAAGAGAGACTCCTTGCCCTGTGACTGATGATGCCACGCAGCCTGCTAGTGCTCTAGCTCTTCCAGACAGGCTTCCACAGAGGTTGCCAAAAAATTAAGCAAAAGGAAAATTATCTGACAGTCTTGCCAAAAGATTTTTACCAGTCAGCCGCATTTAATTGGGCTTCCCAGGTAGTGCTAGTAATAAAGAACCCTGCCTGCCGACGTAGGAGACATAAGAGACGTGGGTTTGATCCCTGGGTCGGGAAGACCCCTGGTAGGAGGGCATGGCAACCCACTCCACTGTTCTTGCCAGGAGAATCTCCATGGACAGAGGAGCCTGGTTGGCTACAGTCCATAGGGTTGCAAAGAGTCAGACACGACTGAGGCAACTCGGCGCTCAGTATAGGACTGCGCTGGGTTAACGGTGCCGTGGCGTTGAGGACCGTGACTCGTGTGGGGCGTGGAGCACTGCTGGCTGTCTTCTCCTTTTCTAGAGCGCCCCACTGCCCACAGTCTGATTTGAGTTAGTCTTGATTTCTTTCAGAACGTGGGCCTGTGAACTGGGCTGGTTTTCTTGGCCAAATGGATAGTGGAGCCTGGATGAAGGTATGTGGCGGGAGGGTCACACGGTCCCCTCTGTGTGAATATCCAGGCCGAGAGGGCGCGGACAGGAGGTGTTTCTCTGCGTGTTACCATCAGCACGTTCAGCCACACGCCACCCAGGCCTTCCAGATACTTGCTGTTCTTCTTGAGTTCCTTGAGAGCAAGAGTAGTGTGCTTCTGACCTTTGTACCCCGCGGCCTCCCTGCTCTCCCCTCCAGCACAGCCCCAGTCCTCCCCTCCTCTGGCTACCTCACACGGTGCCCAAGACACACGTGGAAAGTACTCAGATGTTTGTTGACCTGAATTCAACAAAAGTTCTTGAATGAAGTCTTTTTGACTTCCAGCTGGATGTCAGTCTGTTGTATGTTCCTCACAGAGTCCGCTGATATGAATATGCGTTCTTACGGGTGTGTGTGGATTCAGTTGACAGGCGGGTTGAATCAGAAGAGTCGGGCGATGAAGAAGGGAAGAAGCAGAGCAGCGGGATGGTGGCAGACCTCAGCGCGCACAGCCTGAAGGATGGAGAGGAGCGGGGGGCGGAGGACCCAGAAGGTACCGGGCGAGGGGAGAGCCTTAAACACACAGCGGGAGGCTGCAGGCTCTGTCCGCTGTGCTCAGCCTGGGGGGCGGGGCGGGGTGTCACCAGGCACCTACCCAGTCCACTCAGGAAGCCCCGCAGGGCCTGGTGGGCAAGGGCTCAGAGCCCCCCCGGAGGAGCTCGCCAAGTCAGCTCCACGCTTAGGGCACTTGCAGGCAAGATGGATGGTTTCCTAATTTCACGGAAGGCAAATACAGCCGCTAGTGATACTGGTACAAATGTGTCCTCTGGAACAGAACCAGGAAATCATTTATTACCCACATGTTCAGAAAGTGAGATTGAAGTAAAATAAACATTGTATGCCTTCTTTTCCTACCTCGGTCACGTAGACTAATTTTATCTTAGAGAAGTCATTTCTGAGTCCTGCTCCACCATACTTGTAAGCCTGAGGATCAGCTTCTAAATTGTCTTCTTAGTGATTAAAAACAGCAAAGGAATTTAGAGTTGAAAAAAGAGTAATGATGGTTTTTCACCCCCTTAACCATGATCTAAACCTTTTTTCTTTGTTTGCTTAGAAAATCAGTTTCCATTGAAAGAAGGGAGAGAAACCATACACACAGAAGGATATCCAAAGTATACTAGGTGAAAAAAGCAGACTTCTTTTACAGACAGTGTGCATGTTAAAATCCTATCTTTATTTTTTAAATATTGATAATAGCATGTAGTTTTACCTACTTGAGAAAGAAAACACATCAAACAATTGGGGTGGGGGATCTCTAAGGAGCAGGTTTGAGAGGGTCTTGTGCATTCTGCATTTTCTAGGTTTATCTCCATTGTGTGGACTTTTAAGGTATCGATACTCGTGCATTCCCCTTATGGTAATAGAAGTAAAAGTAATCTTTAAAGTAACATCATGCTGTGTGCCAGCACAGATGCTTGGTAACTATGGCAACCTAATTTTAAGGCAAAAGGCGACTACCACAAAAGTACGAGTCACATTATTTAGGAACTTCAGAGGCAACGTTCTGGAAGCCATGTGGGTGGAGAAGCACATGGGAGGGGTGGGTGACAGCTCTCCTTGGGGCTGAGTCACTGGAAAGGGGGGGTGCGCCCCCTACGATCACGTTCTGCCGCCTAGCCTAGCGTGCCGACAGACCTGGCGTGGGCGCTCCCTGGCTCGGGAGCCTGGCTAGCAGTGCCCCAGGGAGATGCGCCTCTGTAAGTCCTTGGAGAGCCAGGACCTGCTCCTCCCTGTGCCTGTCTAGGTCTTAGGTTCCGATAAACAAATTCAAACCTGTCAGCTGCTAACCTTTCACTGATTTTCTGTAAGTTAATGTTTTAACACATGAAACATATGTGATAGGTTCAGGAAGATGGCTGGTAACTTTGTCTCAAAGGTTAAGCAGGCGTGTTGAACGCCGCCCTGTGCTGCGTGTATTACGGACAGAGCTCTTAGGCCTTGTGACCTCATGTCCTGGTTTGGACCCCAAGTGGCCTGGACACCCTGCCTTTGTTGTGGCGTGTCTTTCTTTGCAACTTTGGAGTTCCAAGTTGTTGGCTGTGCTGTCTTTTGAAGAGGGATCATTTGGGGCAATCTCTTGGCTTTGCCCAACTCCTTTTATTTAATTCTTGGGTTTGTTGACATTCCATAAAGCTATGGCTGACCTAGAGTAAATGATGTGTTTTGTTTTTTAACTAGCCATTGTTGACGGTTATGGAAAAGGCAGTACAATGAATTTAGCCAGTGTGGGGTCAGGAA